GTAATTTCTATTAATCCAAAAAATGATTTTGCATAAGATAAAAGAGGTAAATATATTATTTATTCAGGTTAACTTCTACAAAAATTATAGAAAGATATGGATGCACTTTCAAGTTTTGAGCAAGCCCTTAAAATACAAATTAGCGCTCCAAGATTTAAATGTAAAGGTAAATTGATATCTACACTTTTTTAGCAGATTCATTATTTGAATTACGAAGAAAATCAGAAGCTAAATACTTTTATATAGCTGCATAGGAAATGGGTTTAGGTCAGGATGTTTACATAAAAAGTTAATTATCAAAGTTATGAAGTATTGGTATATTCGATTATTTTATATTTTTTAAATGTAATAAATTACTTTGTATGTGAATATTTTGTAAAATCAAAATATGATTCGGCTAATGAATGGTGATCATTTTGACTTGACAATTAAAAATTATTGTAGCTGTTGTATAGTAAAACTTGAACAACATTAAATAATATTACAATTTCAAAATTTTAGAAGCTAGTTTTGAATTTTGTTTTATTTGAATGTTATTTATTATATAAAAAATAGAATTTGAGATTCAGCATTTGGATTACACATATCAAAAATAGTTAAATTACGTTTTGCATTTTCCACAGAACAAACACTTTGATAAATACAAAATAATAATTTTAGCTTTAAAGGTAGCAAATAAAAAATTTAAAGTAAGATTTAATTAGACATTCAATCTTCAATAGATGAGTAGCTAAATTTCATCTCAGCAGAATTCAAATACAAACATTTTAGTCATTCAACTTTAAATTTGAAGTCTAATATTTTTTTTAATAGGGTTGAAAATTAATTCGGCATATATATATAAAGAAGGCAAATTATGTTAATCAGTGATTTTAATTCAAATAAAATAGATTTGAGTAGTTTAACATTAAATTGAAGTAAAGAGTTCCTTAGTATTTTTCTTGTTTTTGAAAATTTAGGTAACCATCAAAAACGCATTTAAGATCAATAATAATGGTGGTAACCGAATAAATTCAGCAGTTTGAATTCTATTGAAATCAGTCATCGAATTTTAATTTTATTGTCTATTATTTTTTTTATCAGGTTGAAAATTGAAATATGTGTTAATATTTACCTAATTATAAATTGAAGACAACTTATATGATATATACACTTGTAATTTGTAAAAAGCCATCACATTCTCGTTTGTAATGCAGATTCGATTAGAGCTAAAGCTTTACATAAATTTAGAATGAATACCATTGAATTATAGATGGTGTATCAATATTTACAACGATTATTGAGAGAGTTAATTTTATACGCAAGCTAGCTTTAGAATTGTTAAATTTACAAATTTAATTTAATATTATATATTTGAAATAATTTCACTCAAGTAGTAATTTTAGAATTGCTACATTTACAACATTAATTTGATATTCTTAATTAAAAATAATTGTCCTCAAATATGTAGAATGCTATTATTAACAGTCTAATAATCGCGAAAAAGTTTATCATTAAATAAGAATAGGGATATGTTCCTCGACCTGCAATTTTAGAATTGTAATATTAAATGGTGAGAAAAGATTTTTCTCAAACTGTAGTTTTAGAATTACAATATTAATAATATTAGATTAATGAGAGTTTGTTCTTATTGTCAAAGAAATGCAATATTATCAATATAGGAATAGAGAGAAAATTTTTTTAACACCATATTAATCAATCAGGCATTCTAATCAGATAATAGCTACAAAGATCTGCTAGTCCAGTTTAAAATACAACTTCAGAATAGTTCCTTATTGCCAAATGGTATTTGTTATTAATTTTTATTTTGTTAATCTTCAGGAACACTTATCTTATAAGGGCAATTCATAAATCATTAAGGGATTGATTTAAAACCTTTATTAAAATCAAAAGGAAGTTGCTTTTTAGAAGACTTAAAGCAGAAGTGAAATTGAAATATTCATTAAGAACATTACAATTAAAATTTTATAAGTTTTACTTTGTTTTAATGTTGAACTTCATTTCTTAATTTAAATAATTTCAATATTTTCCAAAAGTATTCCATTTCAAGCAAATGATTACACCATTTTATTTTAGTATTATTATACTTTATAGTTCACCATTTTAAGCATTAATGTATTATTTTTAATTGAGTTCATAAAACTAGTTCAACCTTAAAATTAATAACATTCATTATGAAATTAAGAAATTGACTTGAATTATTATTGTTATATTCATTACAATATAGCATAAAATAAGGAAATTTGTGATGTCTCTCTCGATGAAGTAAATGAATGTGTATTTAGGTTTTTATTTAATGTTATCATTTAGAAATAATTTCCTTCAACTTTCAATTATTCCTCCTCTACTTCCTACTTTTCTCATTTTCTTTCTATTCTTCCTTTTTACCTCCAGTGGCATAGGGGGTTTGGCTACCCTGCTGAGGAGGGCGGGTGGGTGAGGTGAAAGAAGGTAGAAAAATGATTCTATTTTACATAGAAAGCAGGGGTATATAGGGGGGCCTACGCCCCTTGGCTTCGCCCCAAATGTGCAAAAAATTTTTGACTGTTGCTATTTTTTTTTTTGCTATTCATGATTGATAATGTAAAATTTATTGTTCTACACCTAAACGGAGAGAATAGTCTTAACTACTAGATGCTAATTTAGTATTATATCCTAATATTCTCAAAACCTTATCCTCTAAAGACGCTTATCATCAAATTTTTTCCAATAATAATTGAGATAAATTTTTCTAAATCATTATTTGACAATTCTGTTGGATTCACTTTTTTTTTGATGAAATTCATATAGAATTTATCTTCCATCTCAATCAAATACTTCAAAAAGGTTTGGTTTTTTACTATCTTAACTTAACCCTCTATCTGTGTTTGGGGGAGTTACTTCCTATTTAAATTCGCCAACGCCAATTACAATGTCTATGCCTATGCCAACTCCATATCCTTTTTTGCATTTTTTCTAAAGGCCCTAACCATAGTACTATCGTTTTATAGATGGTTACGTTAAGATAGTAAAAACCAAACCCTTTTATTTCAACCATAATTGTTTCCACAATTTTACCGACAAACTATTTCACAATCTCTTTCACAACAAAAACCACAACCACCACCGCCAAAATCCCACGAGTCTGACTTACTTTCTCCGTTACATTGATGATTTATATGCATCTATTGAATGTAATTTGGGGTATATCACTTTAAAAGTAATAGAAATTGAATATAATTATTATGAATTGCTATTATCATATTCATAACCAAGTCACAACCATATGCATAGCTCCTCATTAGTTTTAATGCTAAAGGAAACTTTGCGCTGAATGCCAAGATGAACATGGTGTGGATGCTCAACACATGGTTTCAATTAAGAAATTTAAACAAATGGTTAAGCAGAAATTAGGAGATGCTCAGCTTGATTAAAAGTATCAAATAGCAAGCCAAAAAGCGAAATTTAAATCAGTGATTTCTTCAACTCAAAATATGCTGAAATAATTTTGGGAAGAGCTATCGGAAGCAATAAGATGGATATATGAAGAGATTGAGATAGAGGTGAACTCTTTTAATAATATCATAAACGAAGATGTGAATCCGACAGAATTGTCAAATACTGAAATAGAACAATTAGTTTAAATGGGTCATAGGAAAAACATTAGATGTTAGGAAAGATTTGAAAAATTCTATTCTGTAAAAGTTAGAAAAGATGTTGAATTTTCTAAACAATGAAACTACAACTTTTTCGGAAAGGTTGAATAAGAAAACAATAGAGAAGATACCATAGATTAAATAAGTATTTTAATAACAAATGATAATTAAACCGATATCTAAAATAGAATAAGGTTATTAAAGAAAAGAAGATATATATGAGGTATTTGTGTAAACAAAATAATTTGATGAATAATTCCTTAATCGAATAATTGAAAAGTTTAGGAAAGAGAAAGTCACAGATTGTATAAAATTTCTTTCAGCAAAATGCAATAAGAAGAATATAAAATAATATAAGATGTAGTTTATAACCGAGCTTATGTAAAATATTAATGAAAATGCCTTTAATGAGAAAAATTATTAATTTTTAGAGGCTAGAAGGAATTTAATTAAATAAATAGCAAATGATGACAAAATTGTTTAATTTTTAAAGTTCCTTGTTTAACTGACTTCTATTGATGAAAAATTTATTCAATGTGGATCCAACTCCCTCAATTTATTAATTGAAATGAAAGTTAATATGAAAGAACACAACTTAGAGAAAATAAGGATTAGAGACACTTCTTTAATTGGTGCTAATATGGTAAGATGCAATTTGAATGAGTCTACTTTTCAAAATGTAGATATTAGTGGAATGAATCTGAACGGTGCCTAATTGTTCAATTGTAAATGGAAAAATATAAAAATAACTGAGTAAAATAAAAAAGATACCAATAATATTACTGTTAATTCGGTCTGCTTCTCTGCTGACGGTACTACATTAGCATCTGGCACTATAGATCAATATATACGTTTATGGGATGTTAAGACAGGATAATAAAAAGCTTTATTAGATGGGCATTGTGATTCAGTTCTTTCAGTCTGTTTTTCTCCTGATGGTACTACATTAGCATCTGGCAGTGGAGATAAGTCTATCCGTTTATGGGATTTCAATACAATGTAATAAAAAGCCAAATTAGATTGTTAGGATTATGTGTATACAATCTGTTTCTCTCATGATGGCACTACGCTAGCTTCTGGCAGTGGAGACAACTCTATCCGCTTATGGGATGTTAAGACAGAATAATTAAAAGCCAAATTAGATGGTCACTAAGAATATGTGTACACAGTCTGTTTCTCTCCTGATGGTACTACATTAGCATCTTGCAGTGGAGATAAGTCTATCCGTTTATGGAATATTAAGACAGGTTAATAAAAAGTCAAATTAGATGGCCATTAAGAATATGTGTATTCAGTCTGTTTCTCTCCTGATGGTTCTAAATTAGCATCTGGTAGTGGAGATAACACAATCAATTTATGGGACTTTTAGACAGGATAATAAAAAGACTAATTAAATGGTCATACTGATTATGTTTATTCAGTCTGTTTCTCTCCTGATGGTACTGTATTAGCATCTAGTAGTGGAGATAGCTCTATCTGTTTATGGGATGTTAGAACAAAATAATTAAAAGCTAAATTAGATGGTCACAGTAGTGGAATATTGTCAGTCTGTTTTTCTCCTGATGGTACTACGTTAGCATCTGGGGGTTTTGATTGCTCTATCCGTTTATGGGATGTTAAGGAAAGATAATCTGATACTAAAAAAGTCTGTTTCTCTCGTGATGGTACTACATTAGCATTTGAAAGTCATGATCAGCCTATGAGTTTTTGGGATGTAAAATCAGGATAACAAATCAGGCCTTCAGATATCCGCCACAAAGAAATTTCGGCTTATTTTGATTCCTTTGCGATAAAAAATAGCATTCCAACAGAAACTGGTATTATTTTAAGCTATACCTTTTTAGCCACTTGTATTTAAGTTATTCTTCCAATAACTTCAAAACCTAATTTAGAAGCCAAAGGAGCATTAATTTTATAAGGAGAATTTCTAAATTCTTTAGGTCATGATTAGCGATAAATATTCAGAGATAAAGGGAGTCATATTTTAGAAGGTTACATTTGAATAAAATTAACAATAGTATTGAATATTATTGAAAATATTTCAAATAAAAAAAAAAATTTATTCAGTCCTACTCATTTTGTTATGATATTTCAAATTATTTTCCTCTTTATTTAACGAATAATACTATCTTATTTCACAATACGATTTTTTAACATAAAAAATATAGGTTAGAAGTAATTTAAATCCAGCTAATTATTTAAAGTACATATATTCAAGATTCAGAGGGAAAGATGACCAGATTGCATCCATCAACAATCAATATTCCAAATGATGAAGATCAAAGAATACCATCAATTGAAAGGAGCTATATCTGTAAAGAAAATTGTTGGATTCAGAATCAATGATAATCAATTACCTATATAATTGAGTGCTCTGTTAAAAAAAGGATACAATATGATTGAATAGATGGAATATACATGAACCAATTAAGATGCTTTCTCAAAAATTTATATTTTCATATTAACTGGGTGTTCTGTTAGTTATCATGTTTAGGTCTCTGATATTTTATGCATTTCGTTAATTGATTGTTAAATTGAATTAATTTAAATAGAGTAGTAATATAGAAATGAAAGTTTTATTTAAATTTACTTTAAATTTACTAATTGACAATTTTTTATAGTAGTTTGAATTGCATTTCAATCTAAGCTAATGTAATTTATTTTTTTTTTAATTAAAATTGGGAGAAATAATCTCAAAATCAAACTATAATTTAAAAATAAGCATCACATACAGAAATATAAATCATATTTTAAATGATTCTCTTTCACTAGGTTGATTTGAATCCTCAAATCCGGAATCATTTTTTTGAGGTTCAACAAAATAACCATTTGTTTGTCTATTAATTGATTTGAATTCTATTAATTTGTTATGGATAAAATTAAATGCGCCAGGATACTGAATTTCTAATAGCTGTTTAGTTTCTTCTGAAACTTGAACTCTTCCTTTTTCTCCATTAGACTCCATTTTGTTTGAAATCATAACATCTGCTCCATAAACATCATACCTTACTATTTCTGTTCCTAAAATTCCTGCAATAACTTTCCCCTAAAATATTTAATATAATTACAGTATGTATTCCTATTCTCATATCTAATCCGTCAAATCCAATGATTTATCTAACATTTCTAATAATTTCAATCATCCCAAACCCCAATTCAACAACATTCTTAGCCTCTTATGCAGGATTCCTTTATCTAATATCTATAATTCCAACTGCAACATAGCAATCTCCAATAGTATAAAGCTTGTATGTGTTCTATGTTAAACATTTTTTATCAAATTCTGTGAATAGATTTCTTAACATATTAACAACTTACTCAGGTTCAACCTTACTAGAATACTCTGTAAACCCAGCTATATCAGCGAATAATAATGTTGCTTCTTCTAATTATTCTACTAAGACCTCTCTCTAATTATTTGATAAAAACTGTTTTAGAATATGATTTGGTAAAAGATACTTTACTAAGTTTTCTGATTAATTCTTTTTAATTTCAAGAGACCGCTTATTATTAAATGTATTTAGATCTTAATAAAAAATATTGTATTAGACAGAGAACATCAGAATACCTTAATATATAGTATAGTATGCAACTGCCCAATCATTAAACTTGACGAGTACTATTATTATTTGAGCAACACAAAAGAATAATAAAAACGCAACTTTATGTTTAATTTGAACAATTGATAAGGAACAAAAGAAACATATTAAAAGTATTCCTTCTGAAGCTTATAATTCGAACAGTTCCTCACTTTTGAGGAGTACAAATTCCAACAAAATGCTGAACAAAAGAATTATGTAAGTTGCTATAAAATATTAACCTTGATAGAATTTGTGTTTTAATTTCTTGTTTTATAACAATGCAAGTACCAAAAGTACTATTGTTGCAAATAATCGAGTAGCGATTATCAACAATGGACTCTCTATGATAGATTATTATACCAGAATAAAAAGAGTAAGAGTTTTAGCGAGATATTGTAAAAGATGCAAATATATAGTAATAAACACTATATTTCTACCTTCAGCATTTTATTCTATAAATTCTTTTGCTAATTAATATTGATGGTCCTTAAATCCAAGATATAATTTTTTTTTTTCTAATTGTAAGCATTCACTTATCACATTACTATTGTCATCCTCTAAGTATCCTTTTATTTTATCGAATTCAATATCATAATCAGGAAAATCATCAATTACATCTATTTAAAGATCTCTTCTTAACTTTTATGAAATTTCTAATAAGAGATTTGATTTTTCGAAGTAGGATGCTAATTACTCTTTTTCCAATTGACTCGCTTCTTAATCAGCCTCTAATTAAATATTTTAATTGCTATTAATTTTAATTTAACCTGCAGTTTGATATTATTAAGGCATAGATCGCATAAGCAAAGTTTATCTTTGATTTGCTTTCCTTTTAAATTATTTAACAGGATCTTGTTATTATAGCCTATTCGAAACATCTTAAGAAGAATCCTGCTATGCTGGAATTGATTGTTTAGATGAGTGCTATTACATTATATCATTATTGGTGTTTGTGTTTTAGATATTATAGGGAACATTATCTTATAGATTAAATTAGATGCTTTCCTGTCTTCTTAGTGAGTTTTGTGCAAAGGATGATGGTTATTTAGCAGAAGATGGTATATTTCCTTAAATTGAAGGTTAAGGTGAGAGAATGTGATTATTGGATTCCTCGCTTTTCAGAATAACTCCTCTTTTTTTAATGTTCTTCTTTTCAGTATTTCTTTTAATTTCCTTGCTAACTTAATATGTTATTAGTTCTCCTTTTCCTTTAGCAGCTACCTTCCTTTAAGTGAATTGCAATTCAGGCATATTAATCTCTAGATATGCTTCATTTGAAAGAGTGACTTGTCCATCCTACCCAGTTGAACAAACTCTGCTGGTTGTATTGACAGTATCACCGATCAAAGAAAATTGTGGTTTATGATGTCCTATTACTCCAGCAATCACTCTACCATAATGTATTCCTATCTTGATTGTCAAATGACCAATCTGTCCATATTTAACTTTTCTTGTATGATCCATCATCTCTAAAGATAATTAAACTGCCTATAATATAGTTAGAAATCTTACTCTTTTAACACAATTTTAGTTATAAAACTTTGTTCCTTAGTCGACTGCCTTAAGACCTCCTGCTGCCATGTATGTTTTACCTACAGTTTCTACTTTTTGCATTCCATTTTATGCACACAACTGATCGAATGATCTAAACAATCCATCTAAAATCTTCACAATATTTTCCTTTTCAACTGTTATCAAATCATCAAATCCACAAATATCACAAAATAGAATTGATACATTTCCTTAATTCTCACTTATCTCGAACATACCCTCTAAATAATATCAATAATATTTATATACTTGCATTAATCCTATCCCTTATAAATTTTGGTAACAAAATTGATAAAACATTTGTCATTTTTGATGTTTCTTGGTTTAAAGTCACATCAAGCATAAAATCCTCCCTTTCTAATCTTATCAATTTATATTGCAAAGCCATAAATAAGATACTAGTTGCTATAACAACTACTTCTCCATTGATTAAGGAATAGTAAGTAATCTATACTTAGGAAAATTCCATTATTGAATATTTTTTAATGAATCCGATTACTGACAATATTCCAAGGATAAAATTGATTATCGGTAAGTGGATCCTTGAAAATAACAAAACTACTATGTAAGTTTAAGTGAGTAATAATTCATAAATTCCTTCCTGTTATGTTGTTCCTAAATCACAAATAAATTTTATAAGAAATCTAATGAAAACAACCGATAAATTTATGAAAAAGAAATGTTTAGGATAGATATTTGAACACACCAAAAATAGTAGCACAAACTCTAAGGCTATTCCTAAAATATAGGTTAGAAAATATAATTCAGTTGAGAAATGATCAATATTATATACAACATATAGTACTAAGGCGATTACTTCTAAAAATAATAAAGTTATTATTAACTTATATCTTTCAAATTTTAACCAAAGAATTTTTGATAATCTTTTGAATTTCATTTCAGTATCTTTATTCATAAATTTCAAAGTAAATGGATTGACTTTGTCCTAATTTACTTTTAAATTAGTTCCAGAAACCATTTCTTAAATGGATAGATCAAGTTCATCATTATTTCTTTTAAATATCTTACCAGCAATGACAGCAATTCTTTTAATTAAATTATGATATTTTTTGTAATTGCTTTTATTGTTCTATGTATTTACTTTCTATGAAATAATAGAAATTTCTTCATAGCATTAGTCTGTTTTTATTAAACTTTGACAAAATAATGGTTATATGGCTTCTATGCAACTACTTAAACATAATTATGCACCGATATAAAAAAAAAACACAAACCAAGAATGAGGATCGGTAAATAATTGCTCAAAAGTCTCAATATTATCATCAAATGTATATTTCACTGATAATAAGGACATACCTAACCAACATAATAAGTAGGCAAAAACCAATATTATCCAAGCCAAAACCTTCTAGACTGAAGAGACACACAATTTTACCAAATCACTTCCTACTAACAATATCAAAAGCATTTATCTGATGATTCCAATTTGAGTGTTTCCATAAAATAATGAAAAGCATGTCAACCAGAGTAAAACTGCATCTAATAAGGCATTACCATTAATTTTAAAAATGAATGATAATACCTTCTTTTTTTTGAATGTCTTAATGTTAATTTTAAACTATTCCTAATACATCTTAGAATCTCCATGATAATTTTCATTTAATTTAGATATTAAACTTGATATCTATTGTAAAAATAACATTAAACTTTGATAAACAGTTAACCAACTTCCTTCTACTAACTAATTATTCTATGAGCAGTTAGTAGAATAAATAAGAAATAGGGCGTACAATATCAATAAAGACCTATAGAAAGAAAATACCAATAGATCATCATAAACCTCAGCAAATATTCTACTCTCAAAAAACATCAAACCGCAGAGATCTTCAAAACTATTTACACATATATCAGATGTAGCCATTTTTTGTATATCTTTTATGCTATGTTGCCTTTTTAAAGGGTTCTCCAATATTTTATTCATGGATAATCTCTAAGTAAGTTTTCTTTTCGTGCTCTATTTTAGTTACTATTAAGAAATTGGTAAATGACAGTATTATATTCCTATATTTGCTTATCTAAACATTTAAATATCATTAAACGAATCTCCAATTGATAATACTTTTTTATTTCCTTAAAATTATGTTTAGATGATCTTAATAATTTCGGCCTTTTAAAATGCATTAAATCTATAAGCAATAAGAGAATTGCAAAAATACAAAAGGAATGTTAAATGTGCTAAGAATACACTATCCTCTTGTATAATATTAAATTATTCACCACTTAGCACAATTGAAAAAGCTCTTATCTCTCCGTATTATTGTTATTATTACAATTGTTGTTATTATTATTATTATGTCTATTGTTAAAATTGATTATGTGAACTTTTTCCTACAGATTTATTTTAATTAAATGTATCTGGATTATAATAGTTGTCTATGCTTTTATGAGCTTTATCGGTCAATGTATTTAAGCGAATCGTTTTTGACTGTACTGCACTGCTCACATTGAGATTTTGATCAGGCACTTTAAGTTATTAAGCCATTTAAGCCAGTTAGTTTTTAATGACTAATTTGGCATTATCAGAGTCAAGGTATAAAAGTTGATCCGTATTTTAAAGTAGACCAGATCTGTAGGCAACAGGTAAAACTCGATTCATTTCATCACCAGACAATAGAAATAAACTCAAGTCTGCTTATTTCATTTATTAAATCAATAATTTAGCATCAGGCCTTATCTTTTCTTTAATTCCCAAGACTTGCATAATTTACATATCTTTTTCTATATCATTGAACAATTAAATTAGTTCAATTTATGATTGTTGAAATCGAATTTAAGAATACTTATCTAAGAATTCGTTTTTTTCATTATCCCTTAAATAGATCTTTGAATAAACTACAGTTCTCATTCCAGCTATATGCAATTTATTAAAAACTCTATCCCAATACTCTCTGCTATTCTTATCAATATCTACATATGATGGAATTTGATTAAGTTCTTCTCTAACTATTAAGACACAATTAATAAAATCATTTTCTTCTTCCTATTCGTTTATAAAAAATTGAAATTAATCTGCCAATTTATCTGGGTATTGTATCAAAACTCCTAATCGAGGGTGATTTTAACATTATTCATTGATAGAGAGAATTTAGAATTCGTGCATTTCACCCAATAACTCTATGATATAAGTTATCTTTCCACCTGTTTCATTAGTACAAACAAATTTGACATCAAAATATTAAGCAAATCTCATTAATTCTGAATCTAAAGTTGATTAAGTAGAATCATGAATAAATTAATCATCATATTAAGTAAACTTAGATGCAATTTCTTAGCATAACAGTAGAGAGAGAATGGCTTCTTAATAAAATATTTATGAAGGACCACAAACAAGTTTTTAATAGAATTCTTAATCTTTCTAAAATGCTATATCATATGTGTCTTCGTCCATATAATAATATTATTAGGTAGCTTTATTATTATTATTTCTATTCACGAAGGATGATTGCTTTTTCACATGTCTGTATTCCTCCTTTTTTGTGGCATCACTATCACTTCTTGGTTTTTTTTATCTATCACTCGTTACAGATTACTTATCTTCTTAAGGCATAAGTTGTATTTCCTCAAAAGGACTAGATGAAGGGGATTATTGGATTGATATTGACTAGTTAACGATTATTGATTTGTTAAAGAATGGCTTAGGTCTATTTGCCTTTAAATCAGGAGTAATCCTGCAATGAGTATCGTCCAAATCTTCAGGTCTAATATTTTCAATTATATGTTAACCAATCAATTCAGTATTGTTTCCTTCAGAATTTTTAACATTCGCACTTTCTAATTCAGATTTACTCAATATAGCTGATTACTATAATGGTTAAAATGTTGATATTTTATTATTAAAGTTATTCTCATCATTTAAATGAGTTTAATGTAGTAATGTGGATCGAAACTTTTATGTTTGTTATTTTCCTAATGACTTGGATAGTCCTGACACTGTATTTTTGAAGCCATTACTTCTGCTTTTGGATTATTATTCTAAAGCAATTTATTCATCAGAATATTCTTCCTATTCTGGAATTCTAAAATTAGGATTTTATTTTAATTATTATTTGAAATTTTCCTTAAAAAGTTGCCATCCATTTTAAATTTTTTTCTACCCAAACTTATACATCATATCTTCTATAATTATGGATCTCACTCTGAATTCTCCAGTAGTTAACGTTCCTGTCTTATCAAAGCATACATATTCAGTCATAACTAAGTCGCCAATTGAAACCGAATTCAATTACTCATAATTTATTTATGGTTATACATTCTGGAAGTTAAGTCCTCCAATACTATTACCAACTTTAATTCTCATCTCAGATGATTTATTCTGATTAAATTTGACATATTTATAATGGGCATAACTCATTTCAATGATGTCAACACAATTGTAAAAATATATTGGAGTTGTCTTTAAATATTGAACCATATAAAATATGAGTGTAGTAGAATCAAAGATTGTTTCATTTTAAGATGCTTAACAAACTCCGAAAGATGCTATTAGCCAACTTATAAATGTTATTATGATGCTAATTGTTAAAGTTAAAGCGAAGAACATTCTGGACTTTTAAACAAAGAATGATTTCTTTTCTGCTTGTCTCAATTTATCATAGCATATGCAATTTTAACCTGCAAATAGCACTAGTCCTATTAAATACTAGCAGGTCTTTAGTTGTTCCTCCCTTCGAATGATATTATTTCGAGTAAAATTCTCACCTTTTGGATCTTTTTTTAATTTAATATAACCATAAATGTTTTCAGTTTTATCTTTATCAAATTATATTTAACCTGTCAAAATTTTTTTATAATCAAATCCTGATGCTTTATATTTTCCGTTTTTGAGCATCGTCAATGATGTAGGTTACCGACCCTCCTCTGTTGTTTATCCATCTAATTATTATGAGGATACTCCAACAATATCGTCTGAAACATCAATAATTAATATATCAGCTGGAGAAATCTCATTTCGTTTTAAATAAACTAAATCACCTACTTCAAGTTATTCCCAATTGATATTCTCATAGAGCATTAATTTTTCCCTTCTTTTAACTGATTAAACTGAATGAGGTTTTTTTTACATCTCCTGTTTAGTAATTGTGACTTGTGGTTCTTTTGAATTTAAGAAATTATCGATCTATTATTAATTTTATTACGACTTATTTCCAGAAGCAATTTCTTTCCTCAGTCTTCTATATCTTGTTATACCTCTTTGATTTGTCCTCTTATCGTATTCCATTTTTAAGTAATCAAAGTAGAATGCCTTCACTACTTACAAGACATAATGCATTGAAAGTGGCAAGATGTACACAACCAAGTCTTCAGGACTTAATAATCAACGCATTGTTTACTTAATTTAAAGGTAACTAAAATGAAGAATCATAACAATATAATATATTAGGACTCCTATTCTTTCAAATTATTTGAAAAATAAAAAGAAAAGCAAGGTCTTGAAATCAAAATAACCCGTATTGATCTTATTGCTTAATTCATATTGTTTCACTCCCTTAATATTTAAGACTTCTCCGCAATCGATTTCAATCTAATGTGATTTATAGTATCAATACTTAATAATGAAACCTGGTTTACTTCCTATTATTTTTGACATTGTCGTATTTTTTTTTCAATTGTTGATAAATTATTTTTCCAATGGTTTTCATTTATATTTATTATAAAAGTTTGAAAAAATAAGTTATTTCAAAGCAATTTAAATTTATTACTTGAAAATACTGCTATTATCTCTAATTCGTGAGCCATTTAATAAAAATTCATCAAAAAACAATTACAAGAAAATAACCTTAAGATAATAATTTAATATTAATAATGAAATTTTCATTCTTAAAACATAATCTAGAGAGCCTGTTGAATCACTCCGAATAATTGGATTCCCCGTCTTCAATCATTAGGAAGTTCGGTCCATTCTTAATGTCGAGCTTATTCAATTAGTAATTGGAGGAGAGCAAACAAGTGATAAAACATATGGAGCAGAACATAGATTAGGCTTAATTTATAAGAAATTTCTCCTATGAGCCTGGTATAAAAAATTGGAGGGTCAATTTGAAAAAATCATTAGAAGGTTTAGCATGTTCTTTAATCGTTGGCAATCCCAATCTTATTAATAAACATTATGTTGAATGTTTGTATGAAAGCCAAATACCAATTTATGATGCAATACCACTAGCCTACACTTTAGTCATACAACAGATAAAGAAGTGGCCTTTGTTGGAAGAGAAGGAAGTGTTGTCAAGATTAAACTTGTGTTTGCAAAGTTAAAAATAAGAATTTCAAAAAATAGGTCCCCATGTATTTTAGATGAAATTGCTTCTTTCAGATTTAGGGATATATTATCCTGAAGTAGCTAATTTCTTAAAAGGTAAAGTGTTTAACTCAGATTTACCATTGAATTATTTTGCCTAAGATTTGAGAATTGAATATTAAGACTTTTTTTTTGAAGATGGGAATCTAATCGATCTTAAAGTTGGAGATTAAGTGTATCTATTTCTCTAATCTGAAGATCACGAGAATCAAATTATGAGGACTTTTCTTCAAAGATATGTTAGGATTAAAAGAATATCTGAATTATACCCTAATCTACATGTGATTTGGATACATAATGACATGAAGAAAGAATAATTATATAAAATAATTGGTGCTTGAGTTATTATTTTTCATAAATAGCAGTATACATAAAAATATATTTATAAATTAATGAAGAGAATATAAAATCTGATTGCTAATGGAAAGCAATTCTTAATCGATAGCTATTCAATTCATAAATCTAAATAAGTATAATCTTAAACTAAATTAGGCACTTAAAGCATATGAGAAATAGTAATACGAGAAAATCATTTCCTTGTGTTAGTATTGGAATACATATAAGTATATTTAAATAAATCAACACAAATTTCTGTTTTTCCTTATATCAGAATAGAATAACGATTTAATCAAAAAAATATTAGATAGAAATCCAATAAAGGAATAAATCTTAGGAGATGATGAAAATCCAAATAACTTTTTTCCATTGACATTTTCTGTGTTAAATGATGTCAAAGAAACAAACGAAGTGCTTATTGAAAATGGAGCCAACATCAACTAGGTACATAAAGATGGTAATAATATTACTCATGTTTGTGCTTTCTTTAATAAAATCTAAGCTTTAAATTATTGCATAGAAAAAGGTGTAAATTATGAATAGTAAAATGAAAGAGGGGATACTCCGTTACATTTGGCATCTATGCAAGGACATTGCGAAATAATAGAGCGATTGTTGAATTTGAAATGTAATGTTAACATTGAGAACACAGAGCATCATCAACCTATTCATGAATCAGTCTTGTTTGGTTAATTTGATGCATTCAAAATTCTATTTAAATATTATTAAGGAATATAGAGGAATTCACAATCACCACACATTGTTCATTATGCTTCAATGCTTGAAAACACATTTATTTTAAGTGAAATAATCAAAAACAATACAGCTTTAGTGAATCTTAGAGACCCTGTAAGCAATGCAGTTCCACTTCATTTTAGTGTTAATTCAAATTCTTTGGAGTGCACTAGTTTGTTAATTGTAAATATTTTTTTTGATATTTTTAAAGGAAAGTGGGGCCTTGCCCAATGTAAAGGACAAATTTGGGAACACTCCTATGCATTTGGCTGTGGAAAAGAAAAATTTAGAGATATGCAAATTATTATGTTTGAAAGGAGCTGATATTGATATAGAAAATGAAGATAAATTGACAGCCAAAGATTTAGCTGAAGTTGATTTAGATAGATAAATTTTGGCATTATTTTAATCATAATCCAGATATTCAAATCTTTTCAGATAATGATGTTTAGAGATATTGTTTGTTTGTATTGGTAATTGAATTTCACATAAAATGAATTAAGACTCATTTATAAATTAATATTAAATTAATAGAAGAAGAGAATGAAATTAAAAGAAAAATTTTACGATAAACCAGATGCCACAACGGTTTCTTTGCTTCAGTCTATCAAAATGAATCCGTATTTCTAGAAGCTGATTTCATTTTCATTAAATTGCCTTTTCTCATAAATGTATTTACCTAACAACAAACATCGAGATAATTCGATCTACATTTTCAAAGGTAATGGAATAATGATCTTAAAGAGGGATATTCTATTCTAATTCAGTGTATTGATAATCATAGACAAAGTGATCAAGTCATTTAGAATGTGTGTGGTTGTTTGAATAGAATGATTGGTTTGCATAAATTTAGAGATGAATTCATAGCCAGGAATGTTATTGATAGCAATCTCAGCTATGTCATCTCATCAATAACTAATAGATAACTATCATAGGAAGCCATTAAGGTAATATTGTCTCCTATTTTATAGTCAACACTAGACTTATATTAAAATCTGACCTTTACTTAGCTCCAAACGGATTCGCTTGCAAAATCCAATATTTTAGTGGGATTCGTCTAAATTTTAATAGTTTCCAAACCTTTAATTTTAGAGATGAAAAGGATATTCGATTTGGAATATAAAATGCTAAGTAGATTTTTAAATCTATGAAAATAGTTTAGGAATGTACAATTGAAAATATGAATATTCACGAACTCATTACCATCTATATTTAATTGATGTAAGAGTACATCGATAATATTTTTGTTATAAAAGAATCTTTAAGAATATTATTGCTTTTAGTAAATAATCAGAATGCACTAAAAGTAATAAAATAGAAGCAGTCAATTCCTTTAAAAATAATGAGTGAGATTTTAATCTAGCATAATGATGTAAGTGTATAAATTGTATAAAGATCGATGTAAATGACAAAGGAGCTTAGATTCTCTAGAGCATCATAAACATAGAATAAATCTAATAAAGTATCCAATCAATTAAATCACTTGATTAATAAGCTGAGTTTTCCATGAGTCTTGTTGCATGCTTGATACCAGCTATTCATAATTAAATCAATTTAGATGAACTAATTAATATATTATTTGACTTAGTTAAAGGATACAAGAAAATAATCAAAAGAAAACCAATCCTAAGAGATGCTCTTAACTGTTTGAGCAGACTCTATGATCAAGATCAAGATTATGTAAATACTTCAAATTGATTTTTAGGCTATCAAATTGAAATAATTTTTGGCTCTAATGATGGAATTATATGAAAACGATGATGCTGAGGTAGTGGCTGCTTCATTCGATCTTAGTAGAAAACTTGGAACAAATCTTACCATAGAGGAACTCAATAAGATAATTGAAAAGGTTATTGCTTAATTAGCATAATTGAAAGGCGTTAAAGATGGACTTCGATTATTATTGACTTATGCAAGCAAGAATGACAAGACTTTTAAAGCTATTGCTAAAGGAAAGGAAGCCTTTTTTAAAATTATTGAAAACGTTAACAATCAAACTTCTTAAGAGTACAATTCAAAATTATTATTACTAATCCATCAAGAGATAAAAGATTATTTAATAAAGAAACTTTCTGTCATAGTTCAATTTATTCAAAAACACTATCTTTGGAAAAGATCATTACTGTATTACATATAGATTTTAAATAAATATCCTGAATAGGTAGCCTAACTAAAATCAAATTTAATGATTTCTATTCTATCATGTAAAAAGAACAAAGGTAATCATCATCATTAAGTTACATATAGATTACATTAGCATTGTCAGTACTTTAAAACAGGTGAAAACTGATTCAGAACCTGAGGAAGATGATCCAGAAGAAGTTGCTATAGAATTTCAGTAGAATGAAGAATTAGAACAACAATTTATCATTTTAGTTAGAAACTTAACCAAATAAGATGATGTAAAAGCATTGTAGAAAGAAATCATAGGGAATAAATTTAATGATGAGCTCTCCTAGGTTATGCTTGAGATTCAATTGCTTAAACTCTCTTATTATGTGTAAATTGAAGGAACTTTTTACTTGTAAAATGATTATTTCACTGAATTAATGAATTACTTGTTGAAATTTCTTAAATCTTATAAAGCTGATATGATAGATATTGTTTAATGCATATTTCTATTGTTGTAGACCATGTCAACTTTGTATTGGAATGATAAAACTGGTACTCTATACACTCAAAAGAAAACATCTTAGTTATGTTTTGACTTTTTGTTTCAATCACTAGAAAATGAAGAACTATTGGACTCGAGTTTGGACACCATACTATTCATGGGTTAAGGCTGCAAGAATACAAATAGAAAGCAACACTACTTGCTGGACATTCAGGATAATCAATATGTTATTTAATTAATAAGCTAATTGTAAATCTTGATGAAAAAATATGTCCAAAAAGAGAGAATTTAGTTGAAAATCTTGGATGTTATTAAGATATATCTACTTTTTGAACTGTTTAAATAGAATGTAAGAGATCTCCCAAAAATACTATGTAGAAAATTACCAGAAGACACAACTACTAAAGAAATGGGATTAGAAACCATTTAAATATTATCTGACATTAATTACACTGATAATGCACTTAAATATGTTACATTGTTTTAATTGCAGCATTAATATGATATTGAAGTCATCAATTAAGTTATTCCTTATATTGATACAGTGTAAAAATATGAGGGGGATTCCTTTTTAACAGAAGAGATGAAGAAATAAATAAAATAGATGATTCAGTATTTCGAAGAAATGGAGGATCCAGAAGTGGGAGCTGAATATATGGACAAGCTGAGTGTTTATTCCACAATTCCATAAGCCTTAGAATATGAATTTGATTGCAATATCCTTGATGCCTTAGTAAATGTTCTAAAATACTGTGAATTAGAGAAGAGTAAATATATTACAAATTATTTAGATAATGATAGGTTATTATGTTCTTCAATTAATATCTTAACTTAAATGTTGATAAATAATTACATTGAGCCAATAGAATTGGATAAGTGCTTCTAATTCTTATAACAAAAAAGACATAGTGAAAATCCTGTAAATTTATTGACATTCTATCTTTCCAAAGGGGAGGCAGTAATTTAGACAGATTACCTTTAATTTATATTGTAAAACTATCACTCGATATTAGGGATCTGATGGAAGAATACTAAAATAACAAGTTTGTAATAGCTAATTTATATGATATATTGTACAGGTCTTGTTTGAAGTCGAAAGATATTAGTAAAATCCTGGGAGATAAAAGATTTATTTAGAAATTAATATTACAAACTTAAGAATTAGTAATTGAATAAAGCAATGAAGAATAAGCGAAAAAGAACCTAGCCTGGTTAGAAATTTTATCCTAATCTGAACCTGTGGCTCTTAGAATCTAAAGGGAAAAAGGTAGAGAATTATGTTAGTTAATAATTAAATAAAATAGTGGTCATATTATGTTTGCCTTTAAAATATTGGCCAATTTGGCTAAATTTAGTTAGTCTATTCCTTTAAGCTTTTTTCTGGATTATTTAAAATAAAACTAATTTCCTTTAGAAATATTAACTTCTCTTGATATTATATTCGAAAATGAGGAGATGAAACAAGAGTTTCTAAAATAAAATGGTTAATAGCTCTTGCATTAGTGGTAAAATGATTATCCTGATTAATGTGAGAAACTGCATCAACATTTCAAACCTAAATAACCTGTGATACCGAGATAATCACTGTTAAAATAGAGACAATCATTATTATAATAAAAATAATTATTATTGTAGCTGAAATAAGAAAAAGAGGAATAGGAGAAATAATAGAAATTAGAGTAAAGTCAGGACAAAGAGAATATTAATGAGAGTTAGTAGATGATTCAATAGAACCAATTGCCTGAATAGAATTAATAATTAATTAAGGACTGTTTAGAATTAGCAGTCAAGAATCCTTAGTAGATAATAGATGAAGGGATGTTAGAAAGATTATTTTCAATTGAGGATTCTTGGGAGGTGTTTAGAAGGTTAACTAAACATCAAGATATAGCTGAATAGGTTTTATAGCCAAATTCAAAATTGTATTAAAATACTCTTGAAGAATTGAAGAATTAAGATTCTAAATTTGCTGAGTAAGTGTTAGAAACAGCGGGCTAAATCTCTTAAGTCCCTGAAACACTTAGTGAATTTGCTTAGACTGAGGGGCCAGTTTAAATGGTGAACTTAATATAACATTAAGCTGATAATCCAAAAGTAGTTGAGGCAGGTTTAGAAGCTTTAAAAAAATTATGTCAAGATGAAATGATTTTAAGTACAATAGGAGATTCAAATGGAATTGATTTATAAAAAGATTTACTCAGTAAATATTAGAATAATATTGAAATTATTAAGAAGTGCGATGAAATGATCTAATAATTATCGGTATCTGAGTCTTATTAGGATAAAATTGCTGAATTAGGGATCATTTAATAATTGATTGAATAAATAAAATAACATCCTAATACTCTTGAGGTTGTGTAACCAGCTATTGAAGCTTTAGCAAAAATTGTCTATAGAAATGCAGATAATGGAACCGTAGTGATGGAGAGTAAAGTTTTAGATGAAATTCTGCAATCCGAAATTTTAGATGATTTGGAAGAATCCTTACTGACTTTGATCAATAATATGTGCTATAAGAATGAGGAGATTAAAAAATAGATGAAAGTGGAATATCTTATCTAAATTTTGAGAAAGAATATTTAGTGTTTTAAATAAAAGTCTTTCGAGCAATGTGTAAATACATTATTTCATTTGGCTTCATATACATAAAATATCTAAAAAATGATTGAGTAGAAATTATTAGAAATTATCAATGAATTCATCAAAAAGCATCAAAAGGAAGTTGATTCCATTTTACTATTACTTAATTTAGAATTGAAAATAGCTGCTTAAATAAATGTTCCAATTGATATACAAACTGTAGAATGCACATTGATGTAATAATTATTATGTCTAATTTAGATGTTTGTAAGTTGAAAAACTTGAATAATAAGCTCTACGTCTAATCAGATAAATCTTAGCCAATTGTTATCAGTTTATTGATAAATTAAATGGATTCACTTAGATTGCCAATATTTTGAAGAAAGCAGAATAAAGTTCTTGTGTTCTTACTCTTGATGTTATGCTAAAGATGGCAGCCATTAATAAGGAATCAATCTCTAAGTTTGAGTAATTAAACGTAGGTCTAGACTTTTCAGAAATATTGAGAGTGAATAAAAACGATAAGAAATTATATGATTAAATTTTAGACTACAGTTTAAAATTGTTTAACAAAACTAATGAATTAGCAAATTAATTAATGATATTTATTTAGTAAAATGAGGTTACTGAATTACAAATTGATAAAACCTTGTTAATTGTGGAATAGGTGGATGACAATGAAAACTTTATACCTATATTAATTGAATTGATCTAAAAGAATAATCACAAGCATACGAAAACAATTAGTGTAAGAGTTTAGCAATTTTATTTTAGATCATTCTATCCAGAGAATCAAAGGTCTATCCTAACCAAATATTTGTAAATAAAGGAATAGATGCTTGTGTAGCAGAGGTCTTAGGTACAAAAGAAAAAGAGGTTCTGATGAATGTAAATCCTTTGCTTTTCTTTTAGCTAGCCACAATTATACTTGATGTTGCAAAATCCTTGGAAGAATACAGATAAAATATAGCTGAATAGTTTCTAAATTAATTGGAAAAACTTAATGAGCCAGTCTTAAATGAATTAATTAAATTCTTATAAGGACCCAAAAAGCAATTATCCAAATTAACTGATGAAATCAAAAACTTTTTATAAAAAGGAGAGATTCTAAAAATGTATAAGGAAGATGGTAGTCGAGGTTATTATAGGTTCTTTTGCGATGAAACTCTTTAGCAAATAAGATGTAGATAAGAAAGTACAAAATTGGTTAAACAAAAATGGATCTTGAAATTAAACTAAATTCAAGAAATTAAAGGAAATTACGACAAAAAATCCTTATCATCAAGTGCATTTGAAAATCAAAATTGGTTGGTTAAATAAATTCATAAAATGAAGCATAAAGGTATCTAATTTAGTTATAATAATATAGTAATTGAGGCTGATAGATGTTTCACATTATTTGCATAAAAGAATGTGAAACCAAAAACATTAAATGCACTTTGCAAATCAGAAAGCTAAAAAAACAAATGGGTTGAATACATTAAAATTTTGATTGATGAATAACCACTTTTAATGTAATAATGATTATGGAAACATGTGTTAAATAATTAATAAAAGTTGTACATCTTATATTTAGTAAAAATAAATTTCATAATTGTATATATTAGAATTGATTTTTTTCAAATCTGATACTTGAGAAATTCAAAAATAATTACAAACTTCATTCGACTTTACTGATAATAAATAATTTTGAATCTTCTACATTTCTCTTAATCAAACTTTACTTTTTCTTGACCTTATTTAGTTGATTAATATTAATAATTGTTAATATATATATAGCAATTATATAAATATGAAGTAAACACAACCATGATAATCATGAAGCGGACAATTAAATTTCATTTCTTATCATAAAGAATAATCAAAATTTATAAAATATTATAATCTATGAAATTTTTGTGTTTCTTTAGGCAGTGAAATAGGTTTTAAAATTCATCAACTTCAACATTGTTTTATTAAATCTAAACAGTAAAGGTAAAATTGATTAAAGTGAGAGAATAATAAAAAATAAATAATTGAGAAAGTGTATAAATTAAAACTTTTTTATTATTGATTGAAAATAGGATCAGAATGAATCTAAGAATTCAATTTTATTTAATTAAATATACAATATTTTATATGTTTAATTGTATCATATGTACATAGAGAACGAATTTTATAACAAAATGTGGTTGTCACTTTTGTTTGCTTTGCTTACTCAATTGGTTTGAGGAGAAAAATAAATCTAAAAAAATAGAAATAATTGACTGCCCTAACCAAGATTGCAGTGATACCTACAATAGAAACGAAATCTTGAGTTATTGTCATAATCCACCTTATGAGAGAATTTTTTAAGAAATCTTATTCAAAGAGTATCTAAAGAATGACGATATTCGTCCATGCCCGAGTGTTAAGTGCAAATCTTATGGGTTCATAGAATTAGATAAAGTATGCGATGAAGAACTTGAGTGTTTAGAATGCGGATTCAAATGGAGGGACTTTAATTAAGCCCCATTCATTTTTAAGAAAGAATACATGATAAAAAATATTTTTGGTATCCTTAAGCAATTTGGTTATTGCCTAATAACAGCTAATTAGTGCCCTATCTGTGGAATTTTAATATAGCGTACTGGAGGTTGTAGACATATGACATGTAAGGCTTGTTCTAATCAATTTTGCTGGAATTGTAAGTAGGAATGGAAAAAGCACAAAGAATCCTAGTGTTCATGTTAATATTTAATTACCACAGGATTATATCTTACTCTTATAATAAATGTTTTCTATCAACTTGGAATATTAAATTATTTGCTCTACATTTTCAATCTATCGGTTTGGATGTTTGAAATTTTTATTATACAAGTCATAATAATTGGAACTTTAGCAGGAATAATTTTCTTCTTTAAATCATTATTTGACCTGAAAAGTAGAAAAAGACCAGTAAGAAGTGTTCTTAAAGAGTTGGGAGGATCAACTATATTATTGACTATTGAGTATTTGGTGTTATGGTTTTCAACTGTATTTTTTTAAATAACACTTCACAAAGCCTTCATTGGTTTTTTATTAGAATTCTTAGTTTGCATTTACATGTTCGGTTTCAATGCAAAAGTAAGAGTAGGTTATAAATGTATTTTTTCGATCATAATGGGTTTATGTTTGGTTGGTATTTTTGGATTAAATGGACTGGCAATATTAATTTGGTTAGTTCGATATATAATTCCAGTGGAATACATTCATACTTAAATTAATTTTAGTGCAATTGCTCTTGGTGTGCTGATATTGTTAAACATTTCCAATTTGCTAGAATTGTTGTATTCCAAGTTAGCATATTTTTTATTGGGATCAACAATACTTAATTACAAATAGGGTGACAAAGACAATTACTTGGCGTTATTAAGCATTTTAGCAATTTCCTATGTGTATGATATATTGTGATAATTATTTGATTAATGTTCTTCATTAGTATTTCTTTATATAATAAATTAAATGTAATAAAAATCTTCCACTTATGTTAGATAGGCCCTGACGCAAATTGCTTTTGAAATGGGAAAGCCCATATCTTTAGTAGAACCATATATTGAGATGTAAATCACTTATCATATATAGACTTGAGGAAAATTGGTATGAGACAAAGGAGTAAATAAAAATGATGAAATAGGAAAATTTCGATGAATTTAAGATTCCAAAGAGAATTGGTCAACTATTAATGGAGTTTGTTCAAAGAGCTGATGATATGAAATAAAATTGGCAATTAGAATTAACAAAAATCATTTCAGAAATCTCAGATTAGGATTAACTTTTTAAAACATTGGAAATAATTTTTAAAATAATTTCCAATGTTATAATGAGCCCACTAAGTTAGGATAAGCAAAAGATAAATATCTGCTCTAAAACTCTTTAAAATAACATACTGAAATACCCATCTGCATTAAATTATTTAAGTAAATTGGGTTGGAAGATTGAAGCAGAATTTTTATTGGTCGAATATAAAATGGACAATTAGAATGACTGGAAAGAAGCCGTAGAAGAATTAGTCAACTATACTTAAAAAAAGTCAGGATTCAATCCACAGAAACCATCAGTTCATACGTCTTCATAAAATGTCTCAATCACTTCAGAATTGGCCAAAAGTGAAGGCTATGATGTTTATTCCTTCTCTTAGAAGCTTGAGTAATTACATCAAAGAAGATTTGTAAAATTCTAACTTAGCTATATTAGGAAATTATGAATTAACCCATTACTAATAGAGAAATCAAAGTGTTTATTGGTAGGAAATAACAATCCCCTGTACAATTGCAATAACAAATTCAAGGATAGGAGGATTATGAAGAAGTCTAACCTTAGAAGGACCAATAACTTTTAAAATTTCTTTAATAAGTTGCTTAAGTAATTTAAATGATTAAATCTTGAATAGTCACTTGAAGAATAGCAGTTTGCTTCTAAAAGAAAGAAGGAATACGAAGAGCTTCTTAATAAACCAATATTCTGCAAAACAGACATTAGAGTCTAATTTCCAAATAGTATGATTGTTCAGGCTATCTTTGGTCCCCTTGAAACTTTGTAAGCCTTGTATGATTTGATAAAGGATGTAAGAATATCGATATTAAATTAGATGTTAGTAAATAGTAACCTTGAGTTCTATTTGTATACTTCCCCTCCTCCTCTGAGAATGACATAGAAGTACTTAAAACAAACTTTTGATGATTTAAGTTCGGTTCCAAATGGGCTATTTTATTTTGGAGTTGAAAAGCAAACATCTGAATTCTATTTGAAAGAGGAATGGATGAAATAAGCTAAAGAATTATGATTATTTTAAAAGTCAATGTTAAATAATTTAATTGAATTTTATATAGAATAATTTTATTAGTATTAATATTTCACCTTTTTTTCTAGATTTGAGCTGACATAAGTCCGGTTGTTGTTTCATACATCTAGGAAATAAATGAAATTTTATACGTTTTGCTATGACTTTTAATCAGTAGCCCATGGAGTTTAGGATTTGCTGTACTATTGTTGCTGATTCTTTGATTATGTTGATTAAATGGACATCTACGACATCAAAGTTCCTAATTATTCAATTTTCTAGGGTGTCGATGCATTTTAAGATTATGAATTTTATGATGCCAGTTATTAATTCACAATCTACTATCTATTCTCGAAATATTATGAAAAAATAACAAAATTGTTATTCTAAGGTATATAATTTGAGAGATGATAATGCTTTTTAAGAAAGCCTAATAATTTAGGAGAGGGTCGGTCATATGCTAATTTCTCTGGGCAAATAATTTCACATCTCAGCATTTCTTCAAACAATTCTTTTCCGATTCCTCTTCTTTGCATCGATTCATGTACATAGAAGTCCAACACACACAAAGGTTATATTTCTCTAACTAATCCATTTAAATCTCTATGAAATAAATTTTTTTTCCCGACCTTCAAGATTCCTAGGCATTGCTAAGTACATCAATTTGTATTCTTACTTTTCCTTCCGATTTAATATATAGTTTTTAGTCAGTTTAATAAAATCTAGATGGACTTGTTATAACTTATTTCAAATTTTATGCCTAGAATAGATTGATATCAAATACCTTTGCAGATGCTTCGCCCATAGTTGTAATCACTTCATCAAGTTATGGATTGCGTTATTGTGATCCATTCAAAATTGTCATTCCATTTTCATTAACTGACATGCATTTTGAGATTAAAAAGTTAAATTGCATTCTTAATAATAAAATAATTGTATTCAATTTTTCATTAAAAATTGTAAGAATATATAGGCATTCTTTTAAATGAATATCCCTTATAGTCTAATTGCTTTCTATAAATTTGAATAGTTTTCTGTTGTATCTGAATATTAATCATCAATAAAATGCAGGCTCTTAAGTATCAATAGGGAAAAATTGCTTAAATTTTAAATATATATATCCGAATTGATCACGTATATGGTTTGTAATTAATAATAAGTTTGAGGGTTTCAAGTTATCCATTGATCCGTTGAAATATGGTTATGAATTATATTAAAAATAAAAATTTAATAGAAAATGATTTAAGAATAGAAAAACTCTTATAGTTGGGCCAAGTAGAAATAACATAAGGGCAAAAATAGAGATCCATTGATTTGCTCAAATTGCAATTGCAAATAGGAAATATCTTCGAAAAGAAAGTTGGAGAAACCTTTTAAGTCAAATACTTCTAAAAATGACATCTTCTCAGATATATATGAGTTTATGGCAGTTACAAGTTGTCCTAATTGTGATTCAACATTAGAAATTGAACTCTACGAATATATGGAGTGTAAAAAATGGTTTATATAAGATCTGTTAGGATTGCAACAAATTTGGATACTTGTATTACTTTTTAATTCTTTATAATTTCATCATTACATTATACTTGTTAGATATATATACAAAATTTGATGAATTAAAACATTATCTTCTAACAAGCGAAGTAGAATTTAAAAAATCATTTGCTATTATAGCGATTATTTTATTTTTCATTTTGATTTTTTTATATCTCTCAGAAAAGGATAGGGAATTTCATGAAATGATAGGATAATGTGTACTAGCGGCAATCATATTTGTAATAGTGATGGGGGGATATTTAATAATTTCATGTATTTTTCACTTACCCAAAGGATCTGATACTGTTGCTTGGTATGTAGCGAAGGGATTAGTATAAGATTTACTTAATTTTGAGCTTTGATCAGTATGTTAAATTTTATTAATCAGGATAAGCTTCAATATATCTGATATAAATTATAAATAGTTTTGATAAAAATCACACAATATATAGATATGTCATTCCTGAGGTTCTGGTCTTAAAAGCCTTGGAATAAAACCTTTGACTAATTCAACTAAGGGTATCTTCCTTCCACCCTTTGGTTCATCATCATCATCAGATTCACTTTCACTTTCTTATAAATCTTTATCGACTTTGGCTTCTTTTTTGTCCTCCTGCTCTTCGATTTCATCATCTTGATCATAATTGTTGTTGCCTTTTTATTTTGCCAAATCTAACCATTGTTATTACAGTTTTTCTAGATCTTCAATTTTGCTAATGGTTTCCATCTGAGTTCTAGACGAATTCTTGGATATTATGGAGCAGATACCTGAACACAGTATGTCTATCTAATTCTCTTGATGATGTTTGTGGATAACCTAATAAGCATCAATATAATAAAATTAATAATAATACTAATTGACAATGCAATTGTTATTTTAGAATTTTGTGTTATATAATTAGTTGAATGATAAAGAAATAACACAAATTTAAAAATGAGATTAATAACAAATACAAATATCATAGTCGATGATTTTGAATTAGCAAAAGATTATAAACTTGATACTTTTATCCACTTCCTTTCTCATTTCCATTAGGACCATTGGTAGGGAATGAGTCCTTTATGGAATTATGGCAAAATCTATTGTAGTAAAATTACAAAGCAGTTCATATTGAATAAGTTTCCGAAGATAGAGAGGATTGTGGCATTAGAGTTTAATCATATCTATTATTTGAATGTCCTGAGTTAAGAACTTACAGATAAACTTGATGATGAGTTTACAATTGAAGTGGTTCTATTTTCAGCAAATCACATTCCTGGTTCTTCCATGTTTTTGTTTCGAGGATACATGGGAACCATTTTGCATACAGGAGATTTCAGATTCAACAGGAGTATGATTACTGACAATCCCATCTTATTCCCTAACAACGAGGCAATCTAAATTGATGAACTCATATTCGATAATACATATTGTGATCCCATGTTTAACTTTCCAACTGCTGATATCGTAGCCTAACAAATGATTAACATCATCGAGAATAATATCAAAAAAAGAGTATTAATAGCGATGGGAGCTTTGGGAAAGGAGGCCATTGTGATGGAGATTTGCAAGTACTTTAAAACTAAGATAATTGTAAATCAAGAGAAGTATAATCAATTAATTGCTAGTTCAACTAAAAATATTGATTTGTTTACGACAGACAAGAAAGGTAATTGGTATTATGTAAACTTTTAGAATATTTCATAGAGATCATAAAGAGAAGTCACAGAGAATAAATACTTTAACAATACATTGAATCGGGATAGTAGAATTTTATTTGTATAAATACTGACTTTTTGATGCAAAGTCATAGAGATCCAGATGGCATCAATTATATGGTGCCATATTCTCTGCATTCAAACTATCTTGAAATGAGAACCTTTGTAAATTCCATCAAACCAGCTATTTTGAAAGTATAGTATTTTGAGTCATGAAGAAATTAGTCATACCCTATGAGAATTTCGCTGAATACAGGAGAAAAGTGAGAATAAATCCAGTCAAAGGTTTTTAAGGTTATTTAAAGAGATTAAAAACAAATGGGGAATCTGGTTATTCGACTTTGATCAGAGAATGCACAGATTTTACAAAGATCTCTAAGAATTATACTAATTGGATGACAGAACCAAAATTTCGTAAGTTTGTTCTTTGCATATTAAGGTGGTTTGATGGAGAAACTAGGAGTGTAATTGGAGCCTGATAGGAAGAATCGAAAAAGAAAAGTAGATTAAGTAATGCCCAAGCCGACCATCAAGTAGTGTATTAGAGAGTTGGAGAAGCAGTGTATCTATTCAAAGAAACCAGAGAAAGTAGATTCCTTAGATGACATCTCAAATAGATTGAAAGCAACCAACAACAATCATTACATTACGAAATTCCTTAAGAAGCCCCAGTAGAGTTAAGAAGTCGAGCGGAGGGATGAAGATGAGGAGATTTTTAGTATCATTTAAGAGTATTTACATTTTCATGATGATGATGCGTGATATAATTAAATTAATTAAGATGAAATTTATTAATCGATGCTTATTTAAGTTTTCTGCAAATGTTATTAGAGACTAAATCTATGAATTTGATAAGAGTGCTATTAGTTTTAGTGTTAGACTGAATAGCTTAAAGGATTTCAACGATTTTCAAAAGTTAAGAGACTTAAAAATACATCGAATTATCTATAATCTGAATGATTAAGCAGAACTAATGGACTTTTTGGCTGAGCATAATGATGTATGTATAAAGAAGATATTTGATCCGTCCTTTTTTATATGTAAGTTTAAGAATAAATGAAAATCTTAGTTCGTGGTGTTAGTGTAAACATTCCTACAATTCTGAGGGATGGTCAATTTAGAAAATTGGAATAAAAAGCATTATTGTAGATTTGTTAACATCTATTTAAATTGAAAACCGATCAAAACAAGACTCAATTCTAGGTGTTTATGGTATTAATAATTAATTTATTTTTATGCATTAAAACATGATGGAAATATAGGTAAAGAGGAAGAGTTTCTGAGTCTAGTGAAAGAGGAGTTGGATGATTTACAAAGCGTGATAGAGAATTCATTCAATTTCGAAGTTAATCATGTACTTAGTTATAATCCAAAATTCACTTATGATTTATTATTTAAATTGGCAAACCAACAGAAAACATTAAAAAGTGTCAACTTTAATATTTACAGATATGCAAATCCTCAATAGAGCGAACTTGATTAAAATAGAGAAATATTGGCCACTCTCTATTAACATGTTAATGAACAATACAACACCATATTTTTGAAAAACTTCTTGTTCGAAGATCAATATGTCAAACAATAGAATTTATCTTAAGGCATAGTCAGTTATTCACATGTAATAATTTGAGAATTATAAATTGTAGTTGGTGGACATGTTGAAATTGATGCATTTCAGAGGTTCTTTGGTTTTTGAATATAATAAGAATTTGGAGAGGAATGTCGAATTTATTGATCAATTGTTGTAATCAAGTAAATACATTTTGTGTGACAAACATAAATTGGGAGAAGAGCATGAGTCTCACATTGTGGATGGAGATACAATGCCACCTATCGATGTTTGAGTTATATTTAGATATATATATATATATAATTCATTTATGGTTGATTAGAAATCCAACTTGAAACTGTTCTAACAAATAATGAGCATTGACCCAAGGATGATTTTACATGAATAAGGCAGTGCCATCAGTTCCTACACCCTTCATTAGTTCTTCTTTGCCTCCAGGATGTTTATTCAAGTATTTAGTAACATCATACACTTTGGAGTTGATGACAATCCATGCTGAATTAATGGTGTTATGTTTGGCCACCTACTCTCATTCGCATAGTCATACCTCGTCAATTGTACATTACTTTAAATCATTTTTCTTGCTACTATCGCTTAGAGATTTCCTTTGGATCCAACTAGGGGAGACACTATTCTTAGGAGAATACCCGAATTTCGGAGATTCAGGTTGGTCTTGAAATTGAATAGGCGAGGGCACTTCATTCTTCAAAGAGTTGCGTTTTTTTGGCTGGATAACCATTTCGTCGAAAATGCCTACTAAGGTGTCTACATATTTTTTATTCGCCTTTTTGATATCCTCAAGTCTGTAATTCACAGTCTCCACTTTGCATGTCTCCTTATATTTCTACAATAGAATGGTGTCATTTTTAATGGAGTATATGTTACGATTTCCCCTGACTTCATTCTTAGCTTATTGCACTTAATACCTTGGCCAAAGTCTTCACATCGTGTCTCTACGGTATTGTGATGAAAGTGTGAGGTCTCTTGAATTCCACTATCTGGTCGATCTCGTAGTATTGATTCTCTTGGTCTCTCAATGTCAGGAGATCAGTGTGATACTGTTGCTTGAGGTCATTGAGAATGAAGGTCACGACCTCATCAAGAGTCTCGATTTCAACTTCGTCGCCCATCCAACTCCAGAGTATCCTGTCTGTCTTCAATGTATAAATTGATTACTTCCTTATTATTTTTCATATAATTATTAAAATCTCATGGGTTGTACTAATGCCAAAGTTGACGAACCCTTAAGCGAGAAACTAAGAGCCAAAGCCATTGAGATCTTCAAAAAACTAGACATCAAAGGCAATGGAACCATAGACAAATAAGGAACCGAACAGTTCTGGTATTGCCCTCATTTAAACACTTAGGAAGTCTAACTTTGCTAAACTTAATACTGAAGCACTCTTTGAGGCAGTAGATTTCGATAAGAGTGGAGATATCACTGAAGATGAATGGATGGCTTTTTGGGAAATTGTTAAACAAAATGGTTATTCAGAAGAAGAAATCAATATTGAAGTATTCGCACTTATATGCTATTCCTAGTTGGATGAGTTATTGGAGGGTAAGGCATGGGTCTAATTCAAAAGAGTGGATAGATTCATTAAAATCGATGAGAAAAGAAGAGGATCCAGAGTTAAATCAATTGTTCAAGAGGAAAAAAGAAAGCTTTCAATCATCCAATCAGCCAGATTGCACAAAAGTAAAACTATGCAGAGTGAAGGCCAGGATTTACTATAAGAGCAATAAGAATAATCTTGATTATATTAATAATAACCATTAGATTTTATTATAAACAGTGATTTATTTATCATCCCATTCTAATGCAAATGAAGGGTGAAATAAATTTATATTTTTTTTAACAATACTTCATAATTAATTGATATTTTTTATCAAATTACAAAAATGTCAAACAAAAATTAATTCCCATTAAATGGTTTATATCCTGGTTTGAATCAGATTCGAAACTTCATTCGACTGAAGATACTTTCAAATTATTTCTAAAGTTCTATAAATTTAAACAATCTATTTAATGATATGTTGAAAAAATTCTTAAACATGACCTCCTAACCAAAATTCGTTTCGAAACAATTACACATAGATGGTAGTGTTATTATATATTATATATAAATATATGAATTATCCAAAATATATAGGCGAAGCATCCGAATTTGATCCTCTGTAGAAACCGCCTAAATTACAGTATGCTCTATAACATCAAGTAATTTTGGCACTAATTTATATTAGTTAGCCACTAGTTGTGGTTAGAATGGGAAAAATTCTGATTACTGTCAGTGTTGCGGACTTTGCATTAATAACATGCCACTTCCTTTAAATATTGAAATCTTAAATTTAGCATTTTTAGGATAAGGTGTTCCATTATTTTTCAATCTCATGATACTAGTTATTCTACTGCACTTTGTGTTGTTCTTTATTTTCACGGTTCCTAACGTTTCTCAAAATTATGTTGCAAATAATTGCTTATTAGACACTAATTATGCATATAAGTTTTGGAAATAGAACGGATGTGAAGGGAATTGTCCGTTGAAACATGAGGATTATTAATATTTTGAGAATTTCTTTTTAGATTGTAAAACTATCTGCTAACATTACTCCGATGTTTGCATGCAATCTCAAACTACTAGAATATCATACGTTAATAAGTAACTCGAAGGGGAGAGCAAATTAATCTAGTCCTCCTTGATTCTCTGTTCAGTAATAATTATCAAGATTTTGATGGTCCTCATTCGCGAGAAGTAACGTAAGATAGAATATGCAATCGATAAGGAATTGCTGTCGCCTTCTGATTTCACAGCCATATTGAACAATTTACCTAAGAATCATTATAATGAGAAGGAATTAAAAACAGCCCTGGAAGAATATTGCAAGGAATTCGATCCCAGAAACAATTATGAAGTAGTCAAGATCAACATCGCTTACGACATAGTTTAATTTGTGGATAAAGGCAGACAAAAGATATAATTAGAAAAATAACTTGAAAGCTCGACCTGTCCCAACAAAGAGAAATTACTAAAATAAATAAATGAAATTTCAAACTAATAACAAATAATAGAAGTCGAAATAGAAAATGGCTCGTATAATAAAACCACTCCCATAGCCTTCATCACTTTTCAGACAAAAAAATGTTTTAATATTTATATATAATTAAATAGAACTCCAAAATTTACTAGAGTAGACCAAACTCTCCTACTGGGAAGCATTTATGATGGCCATAAAATCGATTATCAAAAAGAAAGACAGGAGGGGATTCTACTTCAAACAACATTACATTGAAATCTCTAGAGCACCAGAACCAGACGATGTATTTTGGGAGAACTGTGGTACAGACGAGAATACTTAACTTAAGAGAAGGATTTTATCATGGTTTGTAATAGTGTTCTTATTGGCGCTATCGCTTTGTACACTATATGGCTTGAATGTTTTTTAGGTACGATTTAATACTCAAGTAGAATCACTTTTTCTCTAAGTCGGAAAGCAATCAATTTCTGATGAAAACTATGGCTTCCTTATCAAAATCACTTATTATTACACTAGTGGATGGACTCATCTATTATTTCATTACCTTATTGGCCAATTAAGAAAGACATGTTACTAAAACTCAGTAAGATACTTCTGTGGCTGAAAAGTTAAGTTACGTTTAGTTTATCAATTCTTGTTTGCTACTTATCATTATGAATGTGATAGGAACTTACTATGAATATTCTAAATAAGATGAATAACTATTTAACTTTGCTGTTTAATAACAGGGAGGTATCGTTGATGATATCCTCTATGTATCTGCTGCAAATGCTATTCTAGTTCCATTATCAGCCTATTTCAATTTGTTATATATTGTTCAGAAATTTAAATAAATGAGAATTGAAAAAAATACTAATCTGAATTAGATTGAAGCCAACAAATTATTTGAAGGACCTTCAGTGTAATTTTATGACTAATATTCATACTTGTGCAAAACGACTTGGCTAACTCTGTTCTTTGCTCCTCTAATCCCTATCTCAATTTTATTTGGGTTGATTGGATTAATATTATATTACTGGATACAAAAGTATTTACTGCTCCGAAGGAATCGCAAACCTCCCTTTCAAAGCAGTCATCTTGATAGAGAAATGCTCAATCTGTTGGACTTAAGTCCTCTTCTCTTGAGTACAATGTAATTCCTGATTGATTACTCATTTCATTCGAGTTAGTTGTGTCAAACAATAAATGTTGCTTCTTTGGCAATTTCTGGCTTAGAATTAATAATCCCTTCATGCAGGATACACAGGATCTTATATAAAGATGTTTATGAGGAGGAGGTGTAGGTTCGATACGAGGAGATATATTCTAAACTGCCCACTGATTATGACAGAACCAACCCTTTGACTCAATAAGTAGCGATGCAAGAATTTGTGAAGAACAAATTGAGGCGCAACACAGGTCCATTACTGTTGGAGCTCTCTTAGAATTTGAATGTCAATAAGCCTAAGAGAAATAGGGCTTTGCAAGATTTAATTTATAAAGGCATCTGTGATCCAAAGAAAATTAGAATGAAAATATTGAAATAGAAATTACAATTGATTGTTAAAATGAGGCAAATTAGAAACCTCAAAAATCCGATTGGTTTGGAAATGTCTTTTTAAGAGAATTAAGTTGTTTTTGATAAGTTTGAATCGAAGCAATCCAGCGAATTGAATTCACCAACTTATTTAAAAACTCCAGAATACAATTTTTCATCTATTATCAACTTCCAACCTTAAACTGTTTCCTATCAATAACAAATTGAAATGTTAGACATGACTTCCACAGCCTCTCAAAATAAAAGTGCATATCTAGATACACCAAAATATTATTTTAATTCTAAAAACAATTTATTATTTAAAAGTATCAAAAAATGTAAAAATTCTTAAGTTTGAATTAGTTAATTCGTTTATATTAATAATTAATTTTAATTTTTTATTATATTTTTCATGCTAATCTGCGTCTCATCCACATTTCATACAATAAATTGAATATAACTCCAATTATCCTCATAGTTAAAGGAGAATAACATATTTAGTTAAATAAGTGATGGATGTTATTTCTGAGATAGCATTCAGGAGATCCGTAGTAGTGCTGGACGTTTCAAAATAGGAGTGTCGAGATGCATAATTGAGTGAAGGGTTTAAGTTATTACGTTTGATCATAAACTAGAATGCTTAAGGAATATTTATATTATTAATTTAATGTTCCTATTTTTATTATTATATTTGATAGAGAGTAGGCAGATTGAGAGCTGCAAGCAAAACATGGACTCCTTTCAGATTAAAGGTTTGAAAATGCACCTTCATAAGTGTAGGGATTCATTTTTGTGTGAGTGACCATCATTAAGCTAGGGAGGCTCGAAATTAGGTTTTGTAGGATTCTGTGAGTTAGAACAGGGTCAAAGCAATAGTGCAAGAGATTGAAGGTCTAGAGAACCAGAATCCATTTTGGTATTAAGACCTAGCAATATATTTGAACATCGATGAAATTCATATCACAGGGGGTTTGATTGATCATTCATAAAATGTAACATAAACATGTCTAAACTTTCTAGGCTAGCATTGTGAACCAGTAAATACGGATTACCAAACATGTTTACTTTAAGAATCTGATAAACAAAGAACTCATGATAACGAATATATTCACTTCTTCTCCACTTTTAAAAGTAGATTTCGAAAAAATCGTTTTACCATCCAATTCTACCACTCAGAAAACTAGAGTTTGCACTTTGATTTACGAACAGTCACTCTCAGAAATTCGATCAAAAACATTTGAAATTTGGTTGGCAATAGAAATAGCATACTTTTTAAGAGTGCCAATAAAGTTGATCATCTACGATAAACACCTTATGTGTTAAACAAAGTAATTAGGTCAATGCAGTATCTAAGGATAGCACTAAACAATTGAATTTAACAACTTAGGTATTTATTAACAATACACAAAAATATTCTCTTTTTATAATCCAAACCCAGTCAAAATTGATGTGTCTTATAAATAGAATGAAAAGAAAAGAAATCAAATAAGAGTGTTATTAAATAATCGAAATGATATCAAATCAGCCTCAAAACGTAAATTTTCATTTGAGTTACTACCCTATACAAGAATTGAATTGAAGGTCATCATAAACACCAATTACTATGAAATAATGGCCAACAGCAAGTTAACTTTTAGAACTCAATATGAAATCATAGAAGTAGATGTGACTTATTCAGTACAACGGGGATCTGTGAATTATTATCCTTCTGTAATTACATTAGATCCAGGATTGACTGCAAAAGTCTAGTCAATAGACATTTATGTGAGAAACACCTTTAATCAACAAATTCAATTGCTACAAGTTGAGAACCAATAAATAAAACACCAAAATATATCTTTACTTACAATGGCAACCAACATTGCTACGAATTCTAGATCAGATATTCTTCATGTGGATTACATGGGTAAACAGAATTTCTACTCCGATTCTAAATACCACAAGTAGTAAGCCAAAGAATTATTGAACTCCTTTGGACGAAACAAAGTGAAGATCCAAACAGATGTTCTACAAGATTCTGAGATTCTTATCAATTACAGATCCAATTAAAAATTTAATGAATAAATCCTAAAGAAGATCATTAAACAAGATCCAAAGATACTGATCTCTTAATAAACAGTAGTTATATCACAATAGCCAAACATTTTCATTATAATAATCTCAATCCTCAATATGATGTATATAGCCTCTTTGTTAAGAAACAATGTGAAGAAATCGAGGGAACTCAAGATTTCCATTGAAGGGAACTTGTTGTAAGAGTAGATAGATTTTTAATCAATATTCAAGATTCAGGAACCTATTCAATTGCAAAGTAAATCAGAAACAAACGATGTGGTTTCGGACAAAGCAGATGAGATACAGGATATAATGATGGCTGAGGAAATGATAAGTAGAGAAAGCAACAATATCATTTACACCAATTTACAATCACAAATTGACGAGAGTTCATCTCACTTCAGTCAAGGGGAGAGTCTCGACGAGGATTAGATTTCGGAGTATCAGGAGAAAGTAGTGGAGTAGAGAAAGGTTTCAAATCAAAAGAATTTCAATTTATTCCAGCGGGTGGAATTCACCATTCCAACTTAAATCAGTATGAACACTCAATCTTCTCAGGAATGTTGGGATACCAAGGATCCAATATTTTTGCCTTAGGATTCTGACGAAGAAATGTTAGACAAGAATAGTGTTCAAAGGTTGGAATCTATGCGGAATCAGATTCATCATAAGTTACCTCAATTTGAACAAAGTACACTTAAATTGCCTATGAAATGGAATGAAAATAATTTAATAAACCCATACTTTCCAAAACCTCCTCCAGGAATTTGAATGTATTTATTTTAAATAAAAAAATATTAAAATCTTCATGAAATTCATCATAGATGACATAGAAGTTATTTTCCCTTACAAGTTTCTGTATAAGGAATAATTAGAGTACATGTAGGCACTGAAATAAACCCTGGATGAAAAAGGACATGGAATTTTGGAAATGCCTACAGGAACAGGGAAGACAGTCTCATTGCTGGCATTCATTCTTGCCTATTTAGCACAAAGACCGAACACTATTAAAAAGCTGATTTATTGTACACGTACAGTGGTGGAGATGGAAAAAACATTAGAGGAGGTCAGGTTAGTTATGAAGGCAAGAAAGGCGGAAGGTCTCAATGATAATTTTACTGCTGTCGGATTGAGTTCAAGAAGAAATCTGTGTATCAATCCAGATGTTGTCAATTAGAAAGATAGAGTGGATTCTGAATGCAGAAAGCGAACAGCTGAATGGGTTAAGAGGGGATAAAGTGAAATATGTATATTTTATGACAATTTTGAGAAGTCTGCCAAGGATTTCATAGCCAATCTACCTAATGATGTTTATAGTTTAAGTGATTTGCGTAAGAATGGAGGGTTTTCAATGTAATGTCCTTACTATACGGCGAGAGAAATGGTCAAGAAGGCCAATATCGTTGTGTATAACTATCTGTATTTGATTGATCCAGGAATATCTTCATTATTGTCTAAGGATTACATCAAGGAGAGTGTGGTAGTCTTTGATGAAGCCCATAACATAGATGATGTGTGTATTGAAGCCTATACAGTGAGATTGAATAAACCAATATTGGCTGAAGCAATCAATAATCTCAAAGTTGTGGAGACACAAATTTAGAGTGAGACTAATGAGATTTAAAATAGGTTGAATGAGGAATATAAGAAATTGATTAAGAATTTAGAGAAAAAACCTGAGGGAGAATTGAATCAATTGGTTATTCCTGGGTAAATTAGGAAAGCAAGGAACTTCATTGATTTTATGAAAAGAGTTATCAATTCGCTTAGGAAGAAATTAAAAGATAATTCAGAAGCACTAAAAACATCTCATGCTATTTTACATCATACCAAAAGCTTTACTGAAGAGATATAAAAGGAAGGGAAATCTAGACATTGATTCTCTCAAATAATGTGGAGAACGATTAAATCTACTACTAAACACTTTGCAAATTGCAGAAACTGATAAATTTAGACCACTTAGTACTGTTGCACAATTTGTTATGTTCTTAGTACAATATCAAGAAGGATTCAAAGTAATATTTCAATCTAATAACTACGAAGGAACCTTAAATGAAAAATTAATGACCCTGGCATGTTTTGATAGTTCATTAGCCATGAAAAACATCTTCGCTTCATTTCAATCTGTCATCCTCACTTCAGGTACCATGTCACCTATTGATATTTATCCAAAAATCTTAGACTTTAAACCAGTCGTTGCTAAATCTATCGACATTGAATTAACACGTAACTCCATTCAACCTATTATCGTTACTATGTCAGAAGATGGCACTGAATTGACTTCAGAATTTACATTCAGAAATAATGAGGATGTCTCTAGGAATTACGGTAATTTTTTGCTTGAATTGTCTGAAAATGTTCCTGATGGGCTCATTGTCTTCATGCCTTCTTATAGCAGAATGGAGGAATGGGCAAGGCAATGGCAAAAGGATAAGTATTTGGAATAAATTTCAAAAAATAAAGTATTACTTATAGAATCAAAGGATGTAAATGAGACATCATAAAAACTATAGTAATATCGTAAGTGTTGTGATGTTGGTAGAGGAGCTGCATTATTTTCAATTGCAAGAGGTAAGATTGCAGAAGGTATAGATTTTGAGGGTCATTATGGAAGATGTGTTGCTGTGATAGGATTTCCAGCCTTGAACAGTAAAGACACTTTGATTTTAGAGAGATGTAAATTTTTAGAAGAGAAATTTAAAATAACAAAAAATGATTTTATAGAATTTGATGCTATGAGATAAACATGCTAATGTTTGGGTAGAGTTCTAAGGGGTAAGCAGGATTATGGAATTATGATTATGGCAGACAAGAGATTTGCTTAGAAGAGTAAATTATCAAAAATGCCAAGATGGATTTATAAATAATTAGACTAATCTAGATGCTTAAATATTACTAGTGAGACTGCCATCACTGTAGTTCGAGATTTCTTTAGATAGATGGCACAACCTTTTAAAATTGCTGATAATAGTTATTTTACATAAGACACATTGTGATTATATATTTATAACAAAATTTATATTTGACAACAACATTAAAATAAGTATATGATTACAAAACTAATTAAATTGTGCTAATTAATTGATCTAAGTAATAGATTGGAAATTTGGGTTAAACTGATAATTTTTGAATAGTGGTTGATGTTCTGAAAGTTTTTTATATAAGTCGCTGGTTAAAAATGAAATTATTTAATAATTAATTATTTTATTTATTCTTTGTTACATATAGAAAAAACACTCATTTGTATTTTCTAAAGTATTTGATAGTCCACTGAATACCTAATTGTTGTTGATCTGTTCTGGTTTCATTTCGATTTCTGTCGAATAAGTAGACTTATGAAAAACTTGTATTTGGAACATGCATTCTGTTGACTTGTTTGTAATTGTAGATGATATATTAGGATAATTCTTCATCAGAGATGAAATTGTCATTCTTCCTAGCCATTGCTATGAAAGCCATGGCCAATTCTTAAGAATATGTAATATGTTGGACATCATGAGTAGCCTTGGTGATCCATTCAAATGGGTGTTTCTCAGGATGGAATTGATATCCATAGATAGGGACTTCTCTGCCTTCACAAATAGCGATGTATTTCAAGTTGACTCCATCTCTGCCATAACCTGTGATTTTGAAGAATGCTCCCAAAGAGTAGGATTTTTCGTAGGTTTGTTGTACGACTCCCCAGTTATGTGAGTAATATGGACCATCTATGATATTAATAAGGTGTAATTACCAACATTCTTGAGGTACTCCAAGGTAGACTTGTCTATAGAATTCAACACATATGAATCTTCTTCAGGAACAATCTCAAGCAACCTCTACCTACCTAAGTCATCAGTCATTCTAGTCAAGACTTCATAGTAGGATGAAGCGATATAATTGATCAATTGAAAACCTTAGCATATTCCAAGTAAAGGATAGAATTTACCAGCCTTGTTAAATTGAATAACTTTTTAAAAAATAAAAGATGCTGTATCAGTAAATTTATTAAAAGTGAATCCTGGTTGTGTGTTGTTTAAGTACAAGTCAGCATCCCCTCCTGTAAACAGAACACCATTAATCTGGCTCAATATCACGGTGATCTCATCATAAGAACTATCCCAATGAATTGGAATCACTCTAGCCCCTGCCTATTCAATCCACTTAACATAACTGGAAGGGAAATAGGAGTAGAGGGACTTATCATAGTCTTTCATATCAGAGGGATTGGTTAAGATGCCAATAGTTGGTTTGTTGTTGGCACAGATCACTGATGATATGAACAATGATGTAATGATAATTCTTAACATTTTAATTATTTATTTATTTAATATTTATGATTTAAATCAAATGTTGTATACGTCGTAACCGTGCAAGAAACGGGATCCTGGGATATCGAAATAAGGATAGGGATCCTTGGTTGCTCTGGTGTATTGATGAGCAGCTCTCTTCTTAAATGGAACCCTATGTTCTTAATTCATTTATCATACCACACATCCTTTTGGTGATAGATGTCGGTGATCTACTTGATGTAATCGGATCCGTGTTCAGCAAACAATTCCTCGATCAAAATATTCCTCTTGTCTTCTGCAGCCAGATACCTGATATCTTGCATGGCTTAATAAAATGGCAATGATTTCCTCTGCATCTTTTTCAACTCTAATTCTTTGCGTCTAATTTATTTAACCACTCAATCATACCTGAATTGTCTTCTCACTTCCACTATATGCATTATGCCCCACACTTAGAATAACACGCCAAATGCTAAGATTATTTTGCCTTTTCTCCCTGGGATTCTTCTCTTCTCTGGAAATAGCTTTGTTCTCAACTCAGATGTGTCTCCGATGGCCAAATGCAAAGGAGAATTGGCCTGATCGTATCTTCTCATGAATTGAGGCTTGAATAAATTAGCCTATCTGAAAATTTTGAGCATAATATTAATAATAATTAAAATCACAATTATGATGGTTTTTTAGAGAAATTGGACCTGTGAAAATGTTGCAGTCTATAACCCAAGGGAGAGTCTGCGAACTTACTTAAACTATCCCCGTTTTATCTTTGACTCTAAGGCTCAGTTACCAACTTTTAATTATTGACAGGCGAATTTGAAATTAATCTTCTATTTTTCATTTGAATTTCCTCATAGCTATATTTAAATAGATACCTTGCCAAGATCCTTTGAAACATTGATCATTCTCAATTTCTTCATCACATCTTGCGGATTCATTGAATTACTTTTTCTTAATTGTTTCTTTGCGAAATTCGGAGAGTCTACCTACTGAATTATCTCTGGAATCATGTCTGTCGCATTTCTACTAGTATCTCCAGCGAACGAATTACTAGCCCTATCATTATTCCACAATTTATTTAATCTGGTCTAAGATTTAATTATTAATTGACGAATCCTAAATCTATTTGAGGACCCCGACCCTTCAGATCCTATTATTGATATAACATCATTAGGTGATCCAGCCTCATTAATTTCATCAGTTTTCCCATGCATATCATTCGACATCACAACCAAATATTTCAAAAACACGAGCATTTTAATGTACTTAGCTATTTTCTATTCTTTATTGACTTGACATTTTATTATTTCATTTAATGTTAATGGGATAGAGATATCTCCCTTGCCTGTAATCCAAGGATGTTCCAGACATTGATCAGCTGTTAAACGATGTTCTGGTAGATATGCAATAGTTCTCTCCAAAAAGTTTTTAGTGTATATGTCCTCATTAGATTAACTGTTCAGTGAAAAATTTTTAATTTTTTCAAAAAAAATTGCTTTACTATCTCCAATTTAATAAAATGGATGTTGTCCATTGTATAACATATTGTAAACTACAATTCCCAGTGCCCAAATGTCGACTGACTAAATTTAATAATTTAAGTGTTACTCTAGTATAATTTGCTTTTTTAATAACTTCAGGGGCTTAATACAATAAGGTTCCACAATTCTTATTCATCAAACTATCCTCAACTCTATTGACTGAGGCTGATAAGCCAAAATCTATCAAGGTGACAACCAATTCTCCTTCTGAGACCCCTATCAAAATATTTTACGGCTTAATGTCTCTATGAACTATGTTGTTCTTGTGTAAATAGCTCAAAGCTTTCAAAATCTCCTTTGTTATCATAATCACTTCACATCGCTGCAATTTTGGAATGTAATCTTCTAAAGTAACACCGTCTATCCGGTTCATAACTATGTAAAACTTTTGCTAGGTTTCGTAAAACTTAGTTTAAGGTATATTCCCATACATCAAGTATCTTAATTATATTTTAATGAGACAAGGATTGCAGCATGATCGCCTCCTGACGTACAACCTCCTCTTAATTCTTGCATTTAAACAAAGATTTTTCAACTATCTTAATGGCCACATTTATTCTTGTAACTTTATCAATAGCTGAGATAACCGTTGCAAAAGCTCCCTTCCCAATAATTTCTTTCGGGTCATATCTACTCAGTTCAGGAGAGTAATCACTTTCAAAGTTTATCACCTCTTTAAGTAATTAAAAATTAGACATTAATATTGGATGATAAATCAAATTATGGTATATATACAGTATATATTTTTACTCATTCGTTTAAAGACTTTTTCTAAATTGGAGGTTTGTTTGTTCTTATCCTATGACTAGCCAGCAACTCTTATTATATGATAAGATTCTATCCTCTTGATACATGAGTTGTTCTCTTTATCTATTACCATTTATATACTGAATCTTACTTATTGAATAGTCTACTTATTGTTCTAGGATTGTCTGTTGTCGATAATGCCAGATTTTTGAAGAATAGAGGATTGATTCAAAGAATTATCAGCTGTCGTATTTGTAGTCTGAATTGACTTCACACTTCTTTCCAATGATCTTGGAAAATGAGGAAATAAAAATTTGGAAGGCTCCTTTGGTTGTTACAACTTTTACAATTGATCACAGGATGCCCTCTCCCTTCTTTAAGATTTCAGAGTAATCGATTAGATTTTGAATTACGAAACTCTATTTGATCCAATAGAAGCAGTATCAACATTGGATCCTTAGAGTGCATCCTACTTTACTTATCTGAGCTTCTCATTAGTGTGAGAAATAGATTATTGTTTGATTTTTGGAATCTTTATTGTTCTAACAGGTTCTTTGGCTAATGGAGTTGAATAGTGTTTGAATTAATCAGCATTGGGACATAAGACTTTGAGTTGCTAGATGAATTGTAGTGCTTGGATCAAGGACTTGATTTTCTAAAAATTACAGTGACTTTTGAGTATTTCTATGAAAGTGAAAGGCTCATCAGAGTCTTATTTGCCTGTGATCCAAGGATGATCCAAACATTAGATAATGTTCAAACGATTCTCTGGCAAGAAAGCTACTGTTCTAATCAAGAAATTAATTGAGTTGTTATTCATCCCTGGTTGCCAATTCCATTTCATCCATTGGATCCTTTCACAATAAGATTCTTTGTCATCAAACTATTAGTAAAATGGATGTTTGCCCTGAGTCAAGAGATTGAAAACCACAATGCCCATTGCCCATATATCCACACTCTTACTATATAAGGGAATGATCATACTCTGTTATATTTCTTTTTCTAAATCATCTCTGGAGCCATGTACAAGAAGGTTCCACAATTGTCACTCATTATTCCAGATCCCTCCAAATAAGTCAATTAAGCCGAAAGACCGAAATCAATTAAAGTTACTCGAACATCCTCGCCCGTTTGAGAAATCATAATATTTTCTAATATAAAATTTATTCCACATACCTGGCTTAATGTCTCGATGTATAATATCCTTGGAATGCAAATACTTGATTGCCTATAACAATTGTTTCACTATGTTATGCACAGTCTAATCGTCTAACTTGTTTAATTGAAATTGTTCCAATGTAACTCCTGTGATGAGATCCATCATTATAAATAATTTACTTTTGGTCTCTTTACTCTACAATAACACAAAGCAATCATACAAATGTAACTCTTACAATATTTTAATGATTCAATTAATTTAACAACTGAGCCTCCTTTCTTAACACATCTAATTGTAAAGTATTGAAATTTGACTTCTCAATAATTTTGAGAGCTGCCTTCTTATTCGTCATCAAATTCTGAATCTCAATCACTGTAGAAAACGCTCCCTTCCCCAGAATTCTCAAAGGCCTACAGTATTAAGTAATGAAATTAGGTTGTCTCTCCTCTTAATCAATTAATAGTTCACTAAGTTTACTCATTAAAAATAATATCAATCAATCAATTATTCAATTAATTCATTGTAAAGCATTTGAACAAATTCATTCTGGTTTTATCTGATCCTTGGGGGTTGATCTATCACTCTCAATTTCAACAGATGTCGATATGTATTATAATCTAAATACATTTAAAGAAACTTCTGAGCGATTAAATTTATTTAAGGTTCTCATTTGTCTCCTTCTTCACAAGTGAACCCAATCTCTAAAGAAATGATGACCTCATAGTATTAACATTAGTGATTGATGATGAACTATAAATAAATATTGTTAAATATCCTCTTTATTCAGTAGATACTCTTTGCATTATGGAATAAGTAAAATTCCAATTTTATTCTATTCACTTTACATTTAAGTTTTTTTACCTAGATAATTTACTCTAATTTAATTTTCATATAAATAACTCAGGCATTGTATTTGATAATGGATTTACATATATTTTTAACTATAGCCTTACAAATTATTGCTTAGGAATCCATTTGGTGAAATATAATTAAAATATGAATCTGGTTAATATTAACCTTACGTTTCTTCAGTAAGTTTATACTACTTCTCTAAAGAATCTTTAATTATAATTCTGATTAAAAATTTGTTCTATTTTAAAGATCATAATATAAGATCATAATATAAATATAATAAGATTAAATATTATTATATGAGTATTATTGTAATGCTCACTATAAAGTAAGAATTAAATCTATATTTTATTATAATTTAATCTAAACTAGGAAATTTATAATAATTTGCTTTATTACAAAAGATGAAACACTAAACTGATTAAGCTTACATTATGGTGATCAATAATATATGGATTTGTATTACATTTCCCATAATAACTATTTTAATTCATGTTTTTAAATTAAATACCGAATCATCTCATAAATTATTAAAAAGAATTAAAGCTGTATTCTAATTATACATTAATTGACCAATAATCCATGATTGTGAAATTTATGTTAAATTTGAGTCTATTTATATTTCAATAATTTTAGTGAGTTTTTTCTATTACATATAATTTATTATAAGAATCAATTTAACGATGTATGTTGTTTATTAATAGAAATAAAATAAGATAGTTGTTTATTGCAATTATGCATTAATTATATTAATATAAATTTTCAAGACAGTGTAATGAGTTTAAACGAGGAACCTGGAAGGAAGTAGCCAAAAATTGTTGAGGTTAAGTTTGAATCCGAAGAATTACGTAAGGACTTTATAAGAAATACTGAAAAGGATTAAAAATATTCAGAATTTATTTAAGAAAAGTTTAAATAATATGCATTACCTGAAAGTTAGAAGTTAGAAGATTTGAAGATTTATCATATTGATATGGATATTGAGGAATCGAATAAATTATAACGTAAGAACTTTGTAAAATCAAAAAGTGATGTTGAGATTTAGAGGTAAAATGAGAAACCTTAATATCAAATGAATGAGGAATTCAAACAAATTTAAACAAGAACTAATTCAATAATAATAAAAGAAATTGTAAATTAAAGTTCTCAACGGGACAATATCGAAATAAAAATTCATCAAAATATAAAAGAATAAGGCGAAAATGAATAATAATATATTACTATAAATATCAGTTTATCCTCTCCTAATAAAGGAGTGCAATAGCAATCATCAGAATAGCATGAGATAATAGAATAATCAAGTTAGTAATCTTCTATTTAATTGACACAAAATGAAAATGCTGAGAGGTATAATAGGTATGATGAGATTAGAGATAATGAAGGCAATATAAAAATGCAGTTAAAAAGATTTGAGTTAATAATATTTGAGAATGGTGTTCGAAAATAATAGAAAAAAAATGAAAATGTTGAAAAAGATTATTAATTCTCTGTGAATATTGAAAATCGAAAATTTGGTATGGAAAAACCAATCTCCTCATTTATTATTTATAATTAATAGATTGGAATAAATGATAGAAACATACTACTAAAATCAGATAGTTTTGTAACAAGTTCAATAATTAATGCTTATGCAAGTTACCTTTAAGCTAGGGATGAAAACTATTATTTTTCACTTAATAAGAATGAAAGAATAAAGCATAAAAGATTATTTATATTTAAATCAGATTTTCTAACTAATTGTAATTTAAATGAAAGGACAGCCTCCTTTGACAAGAAAGTAAAATATTTAATAATGGAGTATTTTTAAGACTTTAAAGTAATTTAGTATTAATTTTGGCTAATTTACAAAAAAATAGCTTTTATTGTTAATTCAAATAATATTCATTGGTATTTAGCGGTTTTGGACTTTTAAGATGGAATTTTGAAAATTTATGACTCCCAGCCTAAACAGCAATCTTACTACAATCAACTTAATACTTTATTGTCATAATAATTTTCATACTTATCCAAATAAGAAATTAAATTTACAACCGTTGTTTGCCCTACCTGGGTTAGATAGCAAGATCATTATTCGTGTGGCTATCATACTTGTATAGCTCTAGAATATCTGAGTTAATATACAGCACAAAATTAATTATTAACTTTAGAAGAAATTAAAAAAATCTTAAGAAAATTACTGATAGTTGAAGAAATCTAAAAAAATCAACAGTGAAATCAATGATTAATTTTATATTTATTATAAAGTTTTCAATAGGATTGATATATTTAAATGAAATTCAGTTTTAGATATTTTGTGTCTATTTTTATTCATCACATTCTTCGCAATAAGAAACACTCTAATTATTAGTCTCAATATAAAAGAATGAGCATTATTCACTTTTTTTTTTCTAGCATATTTTAAATAATTTTTATTAATCCATTTGAATTATTTTGAGTTGATTTGTAAAATAATTTTTAATTAGATCTTTATCAGATATATATTCCCTAACTAATTTCATTCTTATTTATTTATTACATTGGCATTTTAAACTTGAGCCATTATTTTTTATTTAATTCTTTATTAATTCTAAAAAACATTCTTAATGAAGATGATGTAAGCATTCCAATTAAATATAGTCCTTCAAGATCACACTTTCACAATTATAACATCTATATGGTACTTATAGAGTGACAGATTAGAAAATGTCATCATTTTAGTCTTCTGCTAAAGGTGTAGGATTAACTGCGTTTATAATAATGGTACTATGTAAAATTTATTCCTATTGATTTTTATCTTTTGCAATTTTTTCAACAGCAGGAATCTTTTCCTTCAATAAATCTTTAATATTGTAAATGTAATAATTTTTATTCTCTGTTTCGGAAAATTATGATTTTTTTCGAATAATCTAGTCATAATCATTATCGATTATTATGACAAATTCATCTTCATCAATATTTAGTAAATTTTGAAATTTGGTATAAATGAAATCATTCAATTTCACTTTCAAAGTTTGTGTTTAATTCCTATATGTATATTGAATTTCTGTATCATCATCACTCATTCTTATAGAATTTGCGGATTATATTATTATAAATAATTATATATTGAGTTTAAGACTGAGAATTGAAGTATATAAATTAATATAAAAAGAAGTTCAAATATTAGTATGTAGTATAATTAATTGCAATCAAATAAAACAACTTAATAATTCTTAACGAATTTCATATTTCTTTTTCTCAGATATTTTGTATTGTCTACTGATGTTAGAGACAATTTAATCTATGTTAGAATCTTCATATAAGTAGATTTTATTATTAGTATGAATTCCCTTATCATTTATGTTTAGATTAACTATTGCTATAGGGTTTTTGACATGTTGTTATAAAAATTAAACTTATCCCGCCGCAAACTATTCCCAATCATCATCATTAGAAGTCTTCAATCTTCTTTCGACTGATAACTTTTTTCTTTAGGCTGCAATACTAGCATATTTATTTGGTGATTATTATCGAATATTAGTAGATTTAGAAATTGTACATTATGAATTACTTGTATTAAAAGTAATATTTTCCTTCCTACTCTTAGATGTAAGACTGAGAACGTTTGCATATTCAGAGAAATCTCTCATCTTTCTGTTGTCTTTATATAAGTGAAGATATTCACTTACTTTCATTCGTTATTTATATATATTGTGTAGAAAATATTATTGTTTAATGTACGAATTTATGAAAATATCATCCATAGATTTTAATGGGCTTACCCATGGAAGTCTTGATGTGGAGCGTACCAACATTCTACCATCCCTTTTTCAAGAGGGACACCAAGAAGTTGATGGTTGTACTCAAGTTTTATCTGAGTTAATCTTCGGACATTTCGTCAGTACCGAAGGCTGTACCAAGTGACAATGTGTTTTTCAATTGGAATCTGAATTGATTTTTAAAAAAAGATACTTGACTGAAGACTTGACTTCGTTGACTTTGCTGCTTACTGATTCTGTTTCAGGGATGGCAATAGGGAATTTACCGATCTTGGTGAAGACATTACCAACAAGTCTTGGGATAACTTTCATGAGGGATTCTGAGGCAATGAGGATGTCAAAAGGTTTGCACCACTTTTTGATTGGCTTCTTCTCTTTGTTGAACTTCTTCAGGCCGTCTTGATCGATCGCGGTGAGACCGAGGGCCTTGGCCTGATCTGAATCGATGAGAGGTAAATCGTACCGCAATGAGTTAAATTACCGATAACACCGATTTTGATGTTAGGGTAAGGAGCATGTAACAAACGTGTTGAGCCTTAGAAACGCTTGTCTTTCTAAACATCGTAATCTCTCAATTAGATTTACAACTCTGTGGTCTCCTTGAAGTTTCTCTTCTTTCTCTCTGTCAACATTTCATGGATGTATTTCTTCAATTATTCACCTTGGAGCTTGCTAAAGAAGGATTAAGAGAGATTTAATACCTCATTGCTAATTTTTTAAAAAAAATTTAAATAAAATAAAATCCATCTAATCAACTCTTTAATTCATCATTCTCACTATAAATTATATTAAATTATTATTATTTGAATTCTCAACGGGGTGTTCCCCTTGATTCTCCTTCTTCTCTCCTCAAACTACCAATGAATATGTACATAGTAACAGATTAGGAAAAATATCCAAGCTCAATTACAGGATTACACATATAATTAGTGTTCCATCTAATGAATATATTAAAATAAACAAAATTCTCATATGTTACCAGAAAGGATAAATATGGGTTAATTATTTTTAACTTGATATAATTATAATCACAATTAAATATAATATATTAAATTATATGTTTCTTTAAACCTACTTCACTATTTCGTGATTATTTTATATAAAAAATATTATATTTACAAAAACATAATAACTTAGAGTACTAAACAATTTGAAGATATTAGTTTTAATATAAATCGTTCCATTATTTACTTGAATTAAATATTACATTCAATAACTATTTTACTATACCAAATTTTATTTAAGTAGAAGCTAATAAAACAATTTATCCATGTTATGCAACCTGGAGCAATTTAATCAAAAGTTGAACCATCTGTGGCTACACTACAATATGATTGTTTTTTTATATTCTAATAGTAGTAAGCACACACACGGTCTTCAAACAAAAAGTGATTTAATCAATCTCTATCTTGAGTCTTTGAAAGAGCCAACTTCATAAACTTTTCTATTAGCATAGTAGAAATTATGAAAATTTGAATTAATTACACAATTTTTATTAATAATAACAGAATAAAGGTTTTGTAATATATTTGGATTAGTGATAAGGTTTGAATGATATAGAGTTAATATGCGTGCCTTTTGGAGACAGTTTATGTTTTGGAAATGAATATATAGTTTATAGATATTAAGAAAATGAAATAAAAGAAACTAGAAAATTGTAAATAAATGGAAAATAGATAAGAATACGAATTTCGCTTTAACTTAGGGGAATTTATGGTAAATCAAGCATAAAATTCAGCATTTCAGAAAATATGAAATGTCAGTTGAAATCATAGAATTTTCTCGAATTGAACTGGGTTTGTATTTGGTAATAATACAACAAGATCTACGTAAGTTTTGGTAGATATTCCAGTTTCTTAGGGAGAAAATGAGAAACATATAATGGTATTTGCAAATATTGAAAATATTTCCAAATTTAATTTAGATCTATGCTGATTTGAGTAGTAAGTATTTATGATAAATTAGGAGTTCGTAGAAATGGATAAGCGTTGGTGTATTTAATGGAGTGGAAGATTATTTATTAGTGTTTTGATCAATCAAAGGATTCACATTATTATTTATAATTCATCAGCAACTTTGATAGCATAGCGGAATGTTTGCCAATGGAGGGTTAGTTCTTTCTTATTTAGGTCAGCATCTGCATAAGTAAATCTACTCCTTATTTCATGCACTGCTCATTCACATTCCCATTTTGATTTACATGGCCAAAGGTCACTTTGGTATATTTTTAGATCTCATTCACATCTGTGGGGATCTTGTTTCTGTTAGTCATGATGCTACAAAGTTAACTTACTTGTCAAAAAGTGCAACAATAATTGTTGTGATCACTTTTTTATTACGATTCCTTTTAGCCTTCTTCTAAACTCTTCCTTCCTTTAGATAAACTGATTTTACTGCTTTGACTGTTGACAGTGGAATTTAAAAGAGTTAAGCCACCTAAATAGTAAGCTACACTAATACTTCTCTAATTTTCATCTTCTCTTTAAATATCTTTTCCACTATTTCCTTTCGTTTTTAGTCGTCAATAACATTATATTTGGATGGTCTCTTTTATCTGGTTTAGGTCATTTTTTTCATTCTCTAGGTTTTTTATTAAAATTAATAATGTTCTAGAACATTAATTTATTATTTTAAGCGAAACTTACATTTTATTAATTTAATTAATTCCGATCTTTGTCCAGTATAAACAAGTTTAATAAATAATAATTTTATATATATATATTTATATATAATATACTCCACACATCATTGTTATTATTATGATATTTGTTGCGTCTATTATGTTGATTAGAATTAGCTAATCTAATTGTTTTGCCACTCCAAATTAGGATCATGTGTATAAAATGGATTAGTTGTCTATGATAAAAATCATCAATACTTTAGCAGTTGGATATTCCATTAAGAATTCCAAATCGTTTGATTCTAATTCTTATACATTAAAAGGTTTGTTCTATAAGATGTGTTCACAATGTGATTCTATTTAATTATTATATAATTAACATACTTATCGTTTTATCTAGATTAGTCTTGATCTCAACACTCTTCCAAAATTCAGCATCAAACTTATTCAAATCTTATTAGTATTCCTGAACATATTAAAGTTAGGGTCCCTTATATGTGTTTACTATTCAGAATATATAGGAAAATGTTACAATACTAAATGAGCATAAGTTAGTACTTATGATTCACAACTTGATTTGATTCTGTTTGATTGTTTCTGAGCTTGTTCAATAGTTTAACACTCAAAAGAGGTCTATTCTATTGAGTATAGAAAGAGACCAATTATTTAAATGCCTAAAAGTTAACTTCCTTATTATGATAATTGGTGTGAATCAAGACCTAAGCGAATTGATTTTACAACTTAATGATATCTTATTCAGTCTTCAATTAAGATAATAGATATTCTCCTGATAGATCAAATTTCTTTTGTAATTCACTGCTATAAATATGTCCTTCAATCGAATACTATTCTCTCAAATGCTTTTCCTCCTCCTACTTTTATTGCAGCTTTTATAACTGTTTCTTCTCCTTTGGTGTCAACTTCTTCTACTCTACCTTTCCTTAATCCTATTGCTTGAGTTTTAATCTATTCAAACCTTCAATCATTAGACCTGCAGTTTCAATGAAGTACTTAGCACTATATCTAGTATCCATAGCATCAAACATCTATAATAAAGATCTTAATGTGTATTTCCTTATTGAAAATTAATAGAAATCCAATTGATCATCATACATCTCTTAATAATGTTTGAAGATCAAATAAAATTGAGCCAATGCTGGTCCAAGATAATTCAATCTTAAAAATGTTCTACCAACTCCCAATTCAAACCAAATCATCTGTAATTCATACGGATTTGATCCATCTCTCAAGAACATCCTCAATAATTCTTATGACAAATAAACCATGTTTGCTCTTAAGGCATATTTGATTGTCTTATTGTTCAAGTATCTGTCAGCCAAATCCAATTGTCTAGCTCTATCTGCTGCCTCATAAGCCTCCTTGAATTTCTCTTACTTGTGCAATACCTTGGCCTTAATCAAATACAATTCATGCAAAGTGGGTGTGTGGGCAATTGCCTCTTCAACCAACTCCAATGACTTTGCGTATTACTTAATTTAGTAATAATGTTAAGATAATAACATCAAAGCCCATAACTTTTAGATTGGACCTGCATTTAAATATGACTCATATGCTTCTTTAATTACATCCAATTTCTCTTTCTATTTATATAAATGTTTGATTTCTCTGAACAATGAAGGAAGAGACTTCTAAAAGAAAGGATCAATAAATTTCAAAAAATTGGTTTTGAATTTATCTCCACTTTATTCTGCTAATAATTGACCCTAAACCAAGGTGTTCTCATAGATTGAGAGATCAAATTATGGATCTGCCTTCTTTAGTAATTAATAGTATCTCCAATTCTATGGCTATAATTCCAAGAGATGCTTTGCTGCTTCTACTGCTTCTTGAGTCGATCCCAATTTGATATAGAGATCATATTGGAGTTCATAATATGCCACCAAGTCAGTGATGTCGCTTTTTATTATAAAGAATATTGTACTTTTTGAATGCACTTATATTTTATTTAGCCTTTTAATAATCTTTGGCATCTATGGCGAGTTAGATTTGATATAATTTGAACTCGTTCATTTCAACTTTCTTAATTGGATTCTGCTAATCCTTTTGAATCAATTACTCGGCTGAACTGATGGCTTTAAAGGCTATTTCATAGTTTCCAATTAAATGCTAAGCAAATATGAATGCTATCCAATTCACTATCATGTTTGACTTTTTTGTCAATATCTTGTGTCTAAGTTAAGCATTGCCCTCATAATCCCTAGTGTGAATTTACAAATTGGCAGTATCCCTCTCCAATTAGATGTTTTCTTCTCCCTTTTTTATTGCTTGCAGGAAACATTTTACAGCCTCAATATAATTTTTTTAGGCCTTATAAATCAAACCATAAATATGCCAACAAAAGTCTGATCCCAAATTCTTAAACACTGCTTGCTTAGCCAATTCTAATCCCTTCTGTTGTTCATCATTGTAATACATAAAGATGGCCTTAAGAGACACCACCTCCCAATTATCAGGCACTTACTCCAACAATTTCTCAGCATTTCTGAGACCCTTTTTATAATCCTTAGCATCGAGCAATTTCTATTTTAAGGTGATTATTCATACCACTAAAGCTTTGAACTCCCCACTCTATTTAGCATTTAATGAATTTTAAGCAGGTCTCATATCTTAACAAATTAAATAAATAAAATTATTTTATGTATTATACCTTCCTCATTGGAAATTTATTGCAATTTCAAAAGTAGTTATATGGATATAAATGTTAAACTTAAAAATTAGATGATCAAAGAACCATTCCAAATAATTGCTTTTGTCTTCTATTAAAATTCCTGTATCAATAATATTTTTAAGCAAATAAGTATTCTTCCTTTCATGCATATGAAATAAGAATTTCAATTGCTGAATTTCCATCTTCCTAGTCTTATGGTGCTCTCAAGTTTTTGAATTCCTTCGAATAATTACTTAGTATCTCTACCATAATTTCTCAAGGCAATATTGCAGAGCCTGCAAACTTAACATTTATAAAAAGCTGTCCATATTTCCTTATAATTTAGTCTAAATATTACATAGAAACAGTAATGTGAATTAATCATTCGCATTACTGTTTATTTGAAAATACTATTTTCAAACAGGTAGAATATGGGCATTCACACTACCATAGACAATTGTCCACTATTCAAATAATTTTATCCATACAACTCTCACAACTTCCATATAAATTTCTTGTTCAAACTAACTTTGAATTAATTCTTTTAATCACTAATTATAACTTTCAAATGAAATCTATAATTAGAATTTTTATCATTTTATATTATAATCAAAACAAAAGATATAATCATTAAACATGATATTGTCCTAAATTTTTTTAAAACCACTCAAAACATGTAAATACTATTTGTTATATTCATTTCTACGGACTATAATATTTTACAATTAATTCTATTTTCTTACAGCCATATACTCTAAATTTCTAATTCATCTACTAATCAATTCAATTCTCTAGGTATTCGCATATTTTTTATGTATTTTTTCATTTAAATAAGAAATCAAAAATATATTCTATGATTCCTCTTATTATCCAAATAGATTTGACAAATGGAATTAGTTTTAATATTATGCAAATACTCATTCAATTGAAAGATGACTCCTCATATATTCTATATTTCGATAACCAAATAATTAATAATTTGTCCTTAAATTCATGTTTCTTATATTGTAAGGTTCATATACCTGTTATGGTATTAAAACACTCGATATATAGATTGAAGAATAGAAATTTTTTATTTATATAATATTCACTAAGAAAACAATACTAGTTAATGTTCAAATTATTAATAATTGGTTTAAATATAATAAGTTTTCAAAAATTTATTAAGGAGGAAGAAAGTCTAATTGGTTTATAGAATTCAATTTTTTCATAAATTCAATTGGGATTGCTTTTAATTTTGCAGTATTTACAAAATGAATCTTCTTAAATTTAAGTAATGAATCTCAAGAAAATTAGGGTGATTCTTACTATTTGACATATAAGTTTTATTATTAATTATAACTGCAGGTGCAAACTAATATTCATTTTGGAAAATATTTTGTTAGGATCAGTTAAATAAATATTAATTCTTTTCTAATGTGTCATTATTGAATGTATTTTTTATTCTAATTAATATTACTTTAAGTTTTCCTATTGATAATGGAGGCCTTTTTACTCTAGTTGATAAGAAAGCCCTTACTAAATTAGACTTAAATCACTTTGACTAGTAAGCATTTTATGTGATCTAAGTGTCGCAACAGATGAAGGAAATAAATGATGATGGTTCAAAAAGGGGGCTTTTTTGTAGAAAGAAGATTAAAATTGATTAAAATGATAATCATCGAAATTATTTTGATGGAATTTCAAAAGTTAGATGTGAAAATGAGGAACAAAAGGAAGAAAATTTAGGTAACAAAAATGATATGTAATGAAATGTATATGAATTAGGAATTTATCATTCGAGGAGTAGAAACAAGATTTGATATTGGAATATCACTTAGAAAATTCGATTCAATACATTAGTGGTGAAACATTGGTACTATTTAAAATGACAATGTAGGTGCAAAACATGAAATTGAATCATGTGCTTCTATACGATTGTCGATATCAATATGAATTTTAGGGTGGGCATATAAGAGGTGCAACCCATCTGAATCATTTAATAAATTTATCTGAAGAATTATTCGGAGTAACTCAATAGTCAAAGAAAATTGTGGTTTTGTATTGTGAATTTTCAATAAAAAGAAGTAAAGAAAAGTAAAAATTTAAAATTATCTAGATATTTCGAGATTCGATAATTGGATAGGAGCATGAATATATATCCAAAGTTGACATACAAAAACCTATATATACTGTCAAAAGGATATTCAGAGTTTTATAAAAAGTTTTAACATATGTGTAATGGATGTTACGTAAGGATGGACGATCCAACATATGAATAGGAATTGGAATAAGAGGAGGAAATTAGAAATATTGCTAAACAGAAAAATAAATTAAAATAAATATAAAGAATAACTGGTTGTTTAATATGAAATGAATTATAAATACATATAATAAATATATTAAAATAAATTTATTAGAAAATAAAAATCTAATTTTAATAAAATTAATGTCATCCTTTAAGATTATTATGTAATTCTTAATTCTTTTTGTTGTTTATGCTAAAGGTGAAATTTCTAGGGCAATGGGGTGAGGTTGGATGATGTTTCAGAAAAAGATGAAAATGAAGAGTTTATATTTAATTTGTTGTCAGTTACAAGTTGAATTAATTCATCTTTCAAGCGAAGTGAATGTACTGTTATAAATTATTATATTTTTTAATAAATAATATATAATATGGAATGTCGTTTGAAATATTTGATGTTCACAATTTGACTTTTTTATATCCACATCTCTGAAATTGATTCTCTTGAAGTTGATAGTAATGGGAAATGCAATTGTGTTGTCTGGTCCTTTTATCATTAGTGTTGAATTAAATGCGATTTTACTGTGGTTAATAATTGTAATAAATATTAAAGTTGATAAGTTAATCTTCTTCGGTTGAGTTTGATTAGTGTTCGACTTAGAAAGATACCTCTGTCTTTATTCCCTTCCAGTTAAGAATTAAAAATACCTCTGGATATAGATGAGAATATAAATAATATTCTTGAGACTATTGCGGATGCGCTAATGGCTTGGCGAATTCCATTATGTTTTTGTAATATTCTTAATTTGTACTTCCGTATTTGAGAGAAATCCTGGAAAGAATTCAAAATAAATAATTACTCTGGAATTCCGTATTTAAGACAAGAATCGATGAATGTCGATACATTGTAGCCAAGTTCTTCGATGAGGTTAATGTCATATTAAACTTGGGAGATAAATAGCTGGTCGAGATCTTTGATATATTTGTATTGATAAAGTCCTGAGGCTCTATAATGGGGGACATGATTCTAAATATATTTATGTATATTAGTGTACTTCGAACGTCCCTTGCACTTGTTACAGGCCATTTTTCAGAGATTCAATGTATTTTTAAATGTAAAGACTCAGTTTATGGATATCCTCGTCACCATAGCTATCCAATTTTTTGACAACGTATTCCCATGGCGTAATCGAAAAGTCAAGTTGGGTGTACTAAATGACGAGTCTGCCCCTCTCGATTAAAACCTTAGAGACCTTTTTATAGGGGTTTTGGCTGCTCACTCCCAATTTAAGATTATTATTGAAGACAATGTTTCTGGCATCAGAATAGAGGTGAAAATCCTAATTTTATAGAGTGGAAAAGGAATATTACTCCATTCATTCTAAAGGTTGAAAGGGGATTAAGAAACCTTTTGGGAAAGACAACGAGTTGAACCTTTTTTAGAGTTTAGTTTTCCTCTTCGTCTTCACTACAAGTTGTGGTTAGTAAATGTTACTCCATCTGAATTTTTAATCAAATTAATTAAACTATATCCATTTTTAATATAAGCATATATATATGGCATTAATGATTATATTGTTATTTTGAATAGGGAATAATTATAATAATAACATTATTATTTGAACAGAATTAATTAATTAAATTAACTTAATGATGCATCTATACATTTATAGATTAGTAAATATATTAATTAATTACAATTAATATTTAATTAATTATAATCAATCCGAAAATACAAGTAAAGTGACCTAATTATTTAATTCAGTCAATCTCTGAAATCGGACACAAAAACGTACTCAAATCCCAAATTAATACTCACTAAAATGAGTGTATTTAATAAAATAATCTACACCCATAAATATATAAATATATTTTAAATTATTCATTAATGATTTTCAGAATCTCCAGGTCCTGCTTTTCGAGTATATCTGTCAAATTAGTACAATAGAATTTATAAACTCTAGCCATCTTTCAAAGTGCATCATTTGGAACTCGACCAACTCCCCCAAACAGCCACCACAACATCAGCTGAATTGCTCGCATATTATAAGAGTATGCAATTGCAAAGACGTATGGAAATTGCTTGTGACAATCTCTACAAACAGAGATTGATTAGAGGTACATCTCATCTGTATGTATTCTAGGTTTCTTGCATTTGGCCGATGGTCAAGAATCAATTTATGAAGGATTACATGCAGGATTAACATTCGATGACTGCGTTATCACAGCCTACAGAGATCATTGTATCGCATTGCTCAGAGGTGATACTCCTCATCAGATTATTGCCGAAATGATGGCAAAACAAACAGGCAGCACAAAGGGTAAAGGAGGATCAATGCATTATTACAAAAAAGCCACCAATTTTTATGGTGGCCACGGAATTGTGGGTGCTCAAATTCCATTGGGAACAGGATTGGCATTTGCTTAAAAAGTATCTCAAAAAGCCAAATGTGACTTTGATCATGTTTGGTGATGGAGCAGCCAATCAAGGATAATTGTATGAAGCTGCCAACATGGCTCAACTTTGGCATTTACCAGCCATCTATTTCATTGAAAACAACTTGTTTGGTATGGGAACATCCATTGACAGAGCCAGTGCCAATACCAAATTCTACACCAGAGGAGATGTCATTCCAGGAATATAAGTATATATATTGACAATTTATTAGATTGATGGAAACAACGTATTCTAAGTTAGAGAGACACTCAAATTCGCCAAGAAGCACTGTCTCGAAAAGGGACCAATCTTCATTGAAGCCATGACTTACAGATATCATGGACATTCCATGAGTGATCCTGGTGTCACCTACAGAACAAGAGAGGAAGTTCAATAATAGAGAAAGACTAGAGATTGTATCAACTATGTTAAAAACATTATTCTTGAAAACAAAGTGGCTGATGAACATTAATTGGAAGTATTTCATTACTTTATACTTTTTAGGAAATCGATAACACAGCTTAAAATGAAATTGATATTGCTGTTGAATAAGCCAAAGTTGATCCAGTTCCACCAAGCACTGAATTGGCAACCGATGTTTATGTTGACAATTAAAATCATTTCATTAGAGGAATCTTATATAAGGATAGCATTCTACCAAAGAGTTAATGATAAATTACCATTTAGAAAAATAATATATATACACCTAATCTATTTTATTACTCTCAACAAAGATTCAAATATCTAAAATATCATGTTCTCCTGCATTGAAGACTAAACTGAAAAAGATATGGTTACATGTGAGTATTCTTAAAATATGTCTTGTGCCAGTCTGACGATATGCCATAATGGTGGCGTTAAAATTCTGAAGAGCAGAGAGCACTGCATAACTTGCTGTATTATATTATACTTCTTCCTGTGTGTTATCTTAATCATACGCGTAATCAAAGGAGAAGATATACATTGTATACTATTTGGGTTGTTAAAGTATTCTTTAAGATGCTCAGGACCAACTAAATAAATGTTTATATTCATAAGTCTTCGAGAAACTTTGTAATTTAAGGATCTGCATTTTTATTTTAGTCATGCGCTCAATGTCTTTCCTATACCCTAAGATTTTTGTTTGACTAAACACCTGAAAATATACATTCAAATACTTTAGTTTAATACAACATAACATAAGCGATCTGCAGCTCCTATACCAATTTATGCTTCCTGTAAGTAATTTCGATATTAAACAATAGAATTCTTTTTGATGGGACAAAATCATTACATAAGGGTACAAAAAATTCCTATTTAATAAATTCCTGTCAATATGTAATACTAACTACTATAATGCAATGATTATCTTTAGGGATGTTCAATTAATGTATCTTACTATACTTAGAGTATTTCTTCTTCATATTCTCCAAGTTTAATTCAAAAAATTCCTTCAAGATCTCAGGATCAGTAATCCTAATATAGCCAGTTCTTACTATATATTGTTATTTCATTGCTCCAATTGTTTCTGATTATGGATCGTCACAGGCTTAGAGTGGATGGAAATTTGACGTTTATGAACTACTAAGTGAGAGAGTGTCGATAAAAGAATCTAATTGACGGGGCTTAATGGTTCTCTTTGGATTCTTGATAGATCGATGTCAATATTAATTTGATAGAACTGCTGGAATTAAAGTTGATTTCGTAAAATATATAAATTTATTATTAACTTCAGATTTTTTTAACAATTTAAACGATATCTTCATCTAATAATTAATGATCCTTTCCTACTTTCTATGGATTGTATTTCACACTAGCTCCCCAAACTAGTGCATATCTGAAGTCCTTAATCATGCTTTTGTGTAACTTATTACAAAAATCGGTGATTGTTGAAAACTTTCTTTGCACAATAACAGGAGCATTGTAATCTATTGTAATCTACGATAATAAGTACCTGGTTCTAATCCTTTTGGTTTAGTGTAGATACGAATGAGATCTAAGTAATCCCAAATTCTTTCCACTAATTCATCCAAATTCCATTCCAAAAAGGCAGAGATGGGCACGTAATGTGGAATCTTGTCCAAAACATTGAGTTCTTCCAAAGTGATATCGTCAATCTTATTCATTACGTAAAGACATGGGATGTACTTACGATTGCCTTCAATAATGTCAATCAAGTCTTCATCAGTAGCATCACATTTAAGGTTGATGTCACAATTGTTAATCTTATATTCACGTAAGATGGCCTATTTGATATTAATAGTAATATACTTTAATTGTTTCATCGTCTAATCTTGGAGCATCCTGTGTTCTAGAAATGGTGATACCTCCTTTATCTCGTTTCTTGAATTCTATTTATGGTGGTTATTTATTTAATCTGATGCCAAACCCTTCAAGTTCTCTTTCAATGATTTTTTTATGAACCATAGGTCTTGTGGCATCCAACACAATCAATATTAAATTGCAAGTACGAGCCACAGCAATAACCTGTTTACCTCTACCTTTGCCATCCTTAGCACCCTCGATAATTCCTGGCAAATCAAGCAATTAGATTTTGGCACCTTTGTGTTGTAACACCTATTAAAATATTGAATAATCTCTACTCCAGGTATGCAAGGTCAGAGTTGTAAATTCGTAGGCTGCGATTTTAGAAAACACTCCTGTAAGTTTGGTAAGCAACGTACTCTTACCCACAGAAGGGAATCCTATCATACCAATACGAGAATCTCCACTCTTAGAAACTTCAAATCCTTCTTAAGTGCCACCTCCCTTTTTAGAAGAGGAATCGATCATTTCTCTCTTCAGTTTAGCCAACTTAGCCTTCAATAAACCTAAATGGTATGATGTGGCCTTGTTTTTTTGGGTCCTCATCATTTCGGTCTCAATTTCGGCAATCTTTTATGCTGTGGTCATTTTTAATTAAATTATGATTGTACAAAAACAAATTTTGGGTTCAGGAGGATTCAAGATGTCAGCCGAAATAGAAACAGGAAACAAATCTTAGCAATAGCATATCAATAATGACCTTCCAACCAAGAATGAATTGTTTAATTAGTTGGGAAATATACGTGATGATGACTCTGTTAAAGCTAATAATGATCACAGATGGAATCACTTTAGAATTTCTAAGCAATTAATTCAAATTACCGTATAGTAAGAACAATTGAATTACTTGCCATCTAAACCCCCCACTCCTTAAGTGATTAAATAGGAAGTTAGCACTTAGAGACTGACTTCTCAAAGAATTAGAGAAAATGCTGGAGGAGCGAAAGCAACATTTGAGTGGAAATAGCTCTCAAGAGATATTAAAATTCGATTTGTATGAGTGGTATATCCAAGTCAATAAGGATTGCTGACATATTCTCATCGTAAAAAGTCATTATCTTAAAAAACACCAATCACAGAGGAGGATTTCTTATCTGCTATTTAACCTTAACCGAAATATGGAGATCAATTAAAACAAATGATCATCAATTTAAAGTAACTCGACCATAACCATTCAATTTTGATAAGAGAGAAAAAGATCGTTCTTTTTTTATTAGAGAAGGAAGTTTAAGAAATGTTAGAAGAAAAGAAGAGAACTAATTCATGTAGAGTTTCAAGGCCAAAGCAGTACCACAAATTGTGAAATAAGATGGTCTGTATGAAAAAATACTGAATGATAATGAAAAATTGACTCTTAAAAATAAGAGACCAATTTCTTTTTATAAAAGAGACAAAAATTCATCAAGAATGCCACGTAAAAAGTATTGGAAAGAAAGATTAAAGTTTGTTTTTAAGGCAAAAGCAATACCTTGACATGTTGATGTGGAATGACTTAGAAAAATGGAATAAGATGAAGAGCCAAGAGATAGGAAAGTATAGCTAAACATGCTCAAGAATTAACAATGAATTCTAGAATGCCATCCAGGATGAGAGATAAATATAAGGGTAGCCATAATCACACAATTATATGAAAACTCAAATATCTTACAAAACCAAACCCATTCCAGACTTTGAGAAATTGCACTCATCTTTTTAAGACCAAATAAATCGAAATAAACTATAAATGAGAACCACTAAATCTGAACCTTTTAATTTCCAATAATCTCGCAAAGGTGTAGATAGACCATATCTTGATAGGGAGAATGAAACAAAAATCAATCCAATTAAGGAATATCAAACCTAGATAACCACCATCTATGAAGAAGTGGGAAAATATTTGCGAGTTCTTGAAGTAAGAAAGAATCAAGAAAGTTAAAAAATTGGAATAAAAGAGTGAGAGTCTAATAATCAGAAGAATTTAAGAAATTCAAAAACTAGAATAATAGAGGAAAGATAGAATTGCTCAATTAAAAAAAGAATCCAAAGAATAAGAAATGAAACAGAAACGCTTCATTGAAAATTGTTAGAGAAAGCCTACTGAACAACCTTTACTTGTTGAAAGACGTAATATCCAATCAAAAAAGTATGATTAGCCACCAAAAGGTCTGTGTAATTAGAGAAGATGAAAAAACTGAGTAAGAATGATAAAATACTAAAATAAAACGGAGTCATGAATAGAGATGAGTATTTCGATAAAGAAGAAAAGGTTACAATTCTAACAATATCATATTTAATAATCTTATTGAGTTATGTTATTTGATATGATGAATAATTATTATTTGATAATCATAAAATGAAATTAATCTAGAAAGAATAAGTAATATATTTAATTAATAAAATTCTGATATCCGAATATTATGAATTAATAAAATACTTGATTAGTTAATTTCAACGATATTGATATTCGTACGGCTAATGAAACTTTTGATAAGATTGCATCTGAATTTGATTTTCTTAAATTGAATTTCCATAAACTGAATTCATTGTTGGTTCTAATCTGTTTGAGGAGGGTACCATTATTGTTGACTTTGTTTGTTTTTTGTATTGAATTTAACTTCCAAAATAAATAGTGGGCTAATTGTGAATATTGACTTTTTCAGGTTTAAATTTCATATTTCTAGTCTTGTGATTCTGCAATTCTTTAACTTTTTCACACTATGGACATTTCTCATAATTTCTATTAATACAACAAACTCCAATTACATGTTTAGAACAACCTATGTCTTACATCACATTGAACTCATCAAAAGGAGACAAACAATATGAACATAGCTAGTTTGGGAATTTTTAACTTTATTCACAGAATTATTATGATCGTATTTCTTCCATCTTACTCATCAGTTCGAATGGATGTGAGTTTCCCTCTTGGAAATGATCTTTACCTTAAATTGTTTGTGGCTAGTAAGTCCTATTTTCCCATGGTTGATAATTTAAGCCATAATATGATTATCTAAGCATAATCCCAGCATAATAACTAGGATATAAACATAAATTACTCATTAGGGTCTAAATCAAAAATTTGTTATCTAGGGAAAGGATAGCCATACATATTATCATGATTTTGTTGAATTCGTTCTTGATTTTGTCTCTTATATCGATTTGAATTATCCATGGTTTTTGAATCGTATCTCCTGATTTCATGGGGATGATCATAGATTTGCTATTATTTCAGATACTTTGCATCTTCATATTTGGATTCCTTTTTACTCTGATCTCCTTTTGTGTCCATTTCATAAAATTGTCGTGTGCATAAATGATAGTCATTCAGTATTTAACTATCTTGAGTTTCTTTTATGGCATCTTCCAAAAACTCGTTTTTCAAAATTATTTGTTCGCACTCGCATTTGAAAAAATTGTCTTTTGAGTTCTACTTCTAAGTTTAGATACATGTTAAGCAAATGTAATGTTTGCAAGTCAATTTAATATAATACTAAATTTAAATATTACACTTTGAACATGGGTATTTAGGCAATTATTTAAATTCACAAGGAGGGATAAGGAAATAGAATTCATTATCGTTTTTTAAGAGTAAAATTTATTAAACTCCCCTTCCATATTTTTCATTATTGCTATGCAAGAGTGTAATTTCAATTTATAAAAATAATCCTATGCTATCCAAAGACGGCTTCTAGTTTTTCATTAGGAAATGTATTCTACACAGTTCATCTAATAGCTTCTCAATCTTTTCATTATAATTCTATTGTTTTGATAAATTCCTAAAAAATTGTTATATTGGATTTTAATCTTCAAAACTTTGGAGTATTAATTATCGTAATTATTGAGAATCTTCAGTCAAACTTTTTCCATTGGTGTTCAAAAATTTTTATAGTGGTTGAAATTTTTTCTTATTCAAGAAGTAATGAATGATAGAACAAAAAATAGCGAAGTTTTGTTTATTTCCTAACTTTTACCAATACAGCATCCTCTCTAATTTCTAAAATTGACTTCTAATTTTACTAGGAATGAAACTAGTGACTAGCATATGAATTAAATCAATTAAAAATAATATTTATAGCAGAATCTAAGATTATAATTATTGTAAAATGATATTCATTTCTTGATTTTTTCAAATAATTTACAATATTTATAAATCCTTTTAAATTTGAAAACCTACTAATGGCAAGATTAATTTATCATCCTATAAAATAACGTACTTCATTTGAATCATAGGAATATAATCAATTGAAGAAAACATTAATAGTTTACTCAAAAATGAATACAAAAAAATAATACTATTATTGAATTTTTTGAATTTTATAAGTAGGGAATGCATCTTAATATTCATCTACCATCAGATCCCATTTTTAAAATAACCACAGCTCCTTATCTAGAGTTAAAATCATTTGTACTAAAAATCAAATCCCAATCTTGATATAATTCATCTTAAAATAATAATTTCTCCGTTTATAAAAGTTTAATTATTAGTTTTTTAATTCTCTTATGATTTTCATGTTATTAGAAAATTCAACTATCTTCTAAGATTATTCTAGTATATGTAAAACATAAAAAAATATAATATTTATACTTTAGATGAAGATTTATCATAAATATTTATAAATTTTACTTTTTTCAATTAATTCTAATTTTCATTCCTATTTTCTCTTTAGTCGGTAAGATGATTTATTTTATTTAAGTTTAATTTTATATATTTGTGCTCTAATTTCAAACAATTATAAGAAATCTTTATTTACTTTATTCTTACTAATATAATCAAGAGCAATACAAGCATAATAGCCTGAAAGATTATAATTAGATTTGTCAACCTAAATTGGAAATATTGGGCTCACATGAATTTCAAACTCTACCCTTTCTCTTAGAAGCTAACTAAACAAGTGATTCAAGCAAAGCTTAATTTCTGTGTAGTATTATTGTGGTTTATCAATTGAATCATAAATTATAACAACTCGTTGGTTTAATTGTACAGAGACTACATAAAAAAGGGTGTCCTCTTTTATAATGAATGCAATTTTTTAATAAATGTACCAAAATTAATATTAAATGGCTTACAAATCATCCAATTAACTTAGGATCAAATCTATACAAATATCATTATTCTATTTATAATTTAATCTATACTCTTCTAAAAAACAACTTGGAAAAATAAATAATCTTGGATAGATTTATCTAATTTTTTTTGGCAATCTAAAATAAAATACTTATTCTTTAATTTATAACAATTCAGCAAAAGCATTAATTTGGTCGCTAGTTATATATTGAAATTCTTATTAGCTTTATTCAATATATCCATAACTATACTCCTAAAGAAAATCAGAAGTTTCGAGGCTGTCTAAAGCTATCCATTTTGTCTTATAAGGTTACTAAATCTTCTAGGGAGAATAACTAATTTTTAACAATTTTAAAGTCAGGATACTTTATTATTCTTAATTTTAAATTTCGTCTTATGTAATTAAATTTTAACCTAGATAATTGTTTTTATAACTTTCTATTAATTCATTTATATTTTGAGTATTTAGAACAACAGCCATTTGGCTTTCAGTTTAAAATTGTTTTTAATCTATCTTTGGTAATTAAGATTTTTAATTTTCTGGATTTTTCATTTGTTCTGTTATTTCATTTTTTTAATTTTAAATGCTAATTATTTGGTTTTTTAATTTGAAATATTTATTATTATAATCTTCCTTATTCTACTGAATCTATTTTTCGATATTCGATGATTCCTCTTTTAATGCTTAATATTAAATTTAAAGATTAGACAATTCATTTTTTTCTTTTTTCAAATTATCTTCCTTAAAATAATTATTTAGAATATCCTCTTCATATTTCCTAATTTATGATCTTGATTTCTCTTAATCCATTCTTAATTTATTTTTCTATTCTTAAATTTAATTGAGTTTTTCATTTATTTCTTATTGAAGTCTTTGCTTTTCCTGCTTTAAGGCTTAAATTTAGTTTTCAAGTTAAGCATTAATTTATGAGGATTTATGTTATTCAAAATTATGTCTTCTACTAATTACTTTCCGTGATTGATCATAACTTTAAGTAGATTGAAATTGCTAATTTTCATGTATTTTCATTTTTAATTATTAATTTATTGAGTTCAAGTAGTTGTTCAGACTTTTAAGTTCTTCTTCTGTATTTTAATCAATTTTTATTATTTCATAATCTTTTATTTCTATCCTTTTCTATAAAATTTATATTCTCCTTTGAATTGTTTCATTATTTGTTTATTTGTTGAAATTTTAGCCACCCTGCTCAATCTTTTCAATATTTTCCATCTTTTATGAAATCTGCAATTCGAACGATGGATAATATTGAATTGTTATTGTATTTTTAATTTACAGCATATCTTCTTATTCTTTATGGTTTAGAGATTCAATTTCAATTTGCTTTTACAATTATTCCATTTCGCAATTTTTTTAGTATAATAATAATTCTAGTTTTGATTAATCTTTTTATTATATTAATTATAAAGGGCTTGGTAATTTTTTTGCTTCTTTTCTTTTTATTGAGGTGCCAATTTTATTATTAGCGAGTAATTATTGTACTCTAATCGTATTAAAATTTAATAGTACATATTTTGTTACGGATATTCTAAACTCGGAACTGCTCTTGATTGAGGTGGAGATTGTGATTCACTAACTTTATCTTTAAATACTATTTGAAACTTCTAAAGATTCATGATTTTAAATTATTCAATAAAAAATTAGGCATTATTCATCTTGAATCTTCTAGGTGCTTATACATTTGGCTTCTTCTAAGTTTTATTCTCTATAAGTTTTCTTTAAAGTTATAAACTATATAATGCGTTTTAACCTCCTTATGATATGCCTTTCACTTATGTTAATTCTTTCTCACTTGCCTATATGATAAAAGTATTCTACTTGTAACTTGATGCTTTATGCATCTGCATATTACTACATTTAGTTCAGAGTTTCAAAATTAATGACTTAATGGATACGGATATTGTTTGATTATTATTTTTACTTACTCATATTAGAACCTAAGGTATTGTTTAATAATTATGCAATATTAATAATACTATAAATTTTACTTTTATATGCTTATAGAATTTGTATGATAAAAATTTATATTTAAACATTTCATAAAATAGTTTTATGTATTTAATAAAACTTAGAAGAGAATAAAAAATCTCATAAATGTTGCGGGATTTTTGAAGGCAATCCTTTCTTTGCTCTAATATCTTACAATATTTAATGGGCCTATAATCATAGACAATATCTACTTCAGAGCTCTCCTCTAATGGATCACTATTTAGAAGAGACCAATGATCAAAAGAACTTAAACTGTATGCTTTATTTTAAGTCATCTCATTTAATTAATCATGAAATTAAAATATATTAGGACCATTCACATATGCGATGATCTGGATTATAGATATATGTACTTTTTGGAATGATGTTTTAGCGAAACTCTTTTCCTCAATCACTATCCCTTATGCATTATTGATACATTTATAAACTTAGTCTATGACCTATATATTTGAGTGTATTTCAACCAAAAAGACAGGTTCCTGTAGCCTCGGTTATGCTTACAATTGGCATCCATAAAATAATCTCCTTGCTGTTGGTAGAATTTAACCTGCTCCTCTATGAATAATATCAGCATGAGATAAATATTTTAGAATATTCACCTATACTCCCCTTTATTCCTCTTCACAAAGTGCCCCTTCTTTTGTAAACCATTACCAAGATGTATTCAAATGGTCTATAATTTCAGAAATGTGATGGTAATCCTCAGGACTTGTTTTGTTTACAAGAATATTTGGTCCTAAATTGTTTGGACCAAAAGCAAATATTTGTAATTTATCGCTTTGATACCAGTTATTTGAATTTATTTTTATGGATTATAGAAATGCCATAGATTGGTAATCGGATTCAATTTAATTCAATAGATTATCACTTAATGGGGTTGCTTATGCTCCAATTATGTTATGTTTATTTGGGGTTTTTAATTCATTATCTTATGATATGCCTGTGATAGTCTCTTTGTAACTAACAAAATAATTAGATTTTCTAATTTCAACACTTTTTAAATATTTATTAACTAACTCATCCAAAAAATACTGTAAAAAGTGATAAGAATTCGCAGCCAAAATCAGACAAGGATCTAATGTTAAAGAGATAGTAGGATTCAATTTTATTAACTACCTAATGGCATCAATTACAAAAGTCAATTGGGCTGGTTCTACAGGGGTAATTGTTATCTTTACTAATTTATCTTGTTGTAATTGTATAGGCAACATTTAGATTGAAAGTTGGACATCTGTTATAGTACAAGTTCCTTTGATAAATTAATCAATTCCTTTAATTCCCACAATATTTCCAGATGGCACCTATTCTATATAAGCGGGTTCACCTATAGGAAAATAAAATGTTTATCCTACTGTTGATTAAAATAGATCAGATTTAGAGCCCTCCTTATATTGAGATCCCAAGATTCTAATTTGCTGTCCAGTATGGATTGTTCCAGAATACACTCTCCCAATTGATATGAATTCCTATTTATATGGTATCATTAAGCAAATTTGTATCACCAAAGGCCCTTGTGGATTGCAGTCTTTAATTGATTCTAATAGTTTGTCTTCCTTATCCAACTTGAAAAGATGTGCTGCTCTGTATTTCTATGCAACCCTGGGAGGAGGTATATGGAATACACATGACGACATAATAGAATCTGCTAAATTGATCCAGGAGTTTAGAATTGCTGACAACAATTTTTTACCATCTAACTATCGAATGTCTTCACTTAATTAAATTCCAATTCGCTCTGTCATTTAAGAGACAACATCTTTTTGACCATTCACAATTGCTTACGATAATTTTAGGATGGGATCTAAGATGAAGGTAACAAATGCTCTCTTTAATGGTTAACTCTCTATAGATGCATTCTGAGTACTCCACTATTTTTTCGTTGCATCGAAATAGTGATCACCCCATAGCTTTTTTGCTAACTTTTAATGCTCAATTCCAAATTTTATTTCATATTATTATGCAAATTATAAACAAGTAAATCCCCATTATTGTTTTGCAGATCCAAATGTGATTTGACCAAAGGCAGGATTTATTACACTGTCTGGTTCATAGAGATAAATTATTTGATTGATTTTTTCAATTATACGATTTAAATTTAAGTAAATTTGTTCTCCATTAAGGTTTAGTTTCAAAAATGCTTTGTCAATTTTGTTTATGAAAAACACCATACGGTTTTATTCTTTCAAGAATGCTCTTATTATTGTTTCAATCTCATAATTTATTTCTAACTAAAAGTTAATTATTACAATGGCTCCATCTGACAATCTTGCTAAACTTTCTGTTTATCCGTGATAGTTATTTTAAGATTTCATTAAATTTATCAGATAACCATCCTCATTTCCTTTTTTGCTATTGATTGGCGTATAATATAAATTTTTGATGCCACATTATGATTAGAATTCCTAGTAAAATTGCAATTCATTATCTGTAAGAATCGCATCCTTATTAGTTTATACACCCCATTTTTGAATGAAAATGTCATGTAGGTACTTGGACCCATTATCAAGTGAACCAGATATTGCAATATTTCTAATTTAATCTTGAGATTTCTATGCTTAAGTCATACTCTTTATCAATTTGGAGTTGTCTTTAATCATTACTAAATTGTTAATTCTTTAATAATTTTATTATTATTGTAAGTATAGTCTAAAATCTGATATAAGGAATATCATAATACAATGAATAAATATGTATTAGACTACTGATGATAATTAGATCGCAATTAAAATGAATCAATTATTTTAATAAAAATTTAACAATATTTTTAATTAAATAATTTTTATTAATATCTTTGCAACTAAATTCAAATTAACCTATTGAACTTTCCTCATTTATTCAAAGCTATTTGTTAGACTTATTTGTAATAATAGTCTCTATCTTAGATCCTGAAATATAGTAGTGAATAAAACTATGATGGTTGAATTTAGGTATAAATTAAATTTAATGGTAATTGATGTAAATTAAAATGTTATTTTATGTAATAATCATTTTCTTGCATATTTCTCTGGGTTTTCAAACACTTCATACAATACTTTATTTGATTTGACAATGGCACCACCATCTAAGAATCTATGATCAGCACAAAAGTTCAATTAAAAGGTGGGTGTAATAACAATCTATCCATCCTTGACGAGTGTCTTCTCTACAATTTGATTAACAGTGACCATCAATAAATTTCTCATCATGGGAGTGAATGGAGCAATCGCATTTTTAAATCCGAGAGTTCCAATAGAAGTCACTGTTGCTATTCCAAAGCAATCCTTCTTCAAACCTAATGCCTTGATTGTAATTCCCAAATTATATGTAAGAAAAGATGTAATTTAAATAAGTAAAGCAATGACACTATGAATTTAAACAATAAAAATACAATGGAGGAAAGAACCTGAGCATGCCTGATCTTTATTGATGTTCCTCATCCTTTCCTTGCTTGGTCATCTTAGCTTTACCATTTATGTATTCAGCAATATCTTCAAAGGTTTTCTTATCAGCATTTTAAACCAACAAGGCTGCTAGGTCGTCTCCCTCTCCTATGTTCACCAAACATGAGACATCAATAGTAGGAAACTCAACGAATTTTCCGAAGACTATCTTTCCGCAGATCTTCTTTCTGGTGGCACTAATACATTCAGCTACGGCTCTAATACAGATGTGGGTTAAGGTCACACGGGAATCTCTTAATAAATTGATGAGATATCTTACTTAGCCTGTTTAGACTGGAGATATTTCATGGTGTTGGTTAGGTCGATTTCCACTAGGTTATAAATGATTCCTTCAGTTGGAGCACTCCAAAGGGCCTAAGACAATCTTCTTCTGCCAGATCCATAGCCAACATTGGGATAGCACAAATAGGATAATGCTTGATAAACAGCTATTGGATAAGATTGAGTACTACCTATGATGCCAAGAAATATGTATAGGAGTCTAGTGTCATAAAGGAATGAGTAGATTAGTACTGACGCTATGAAAGCGTTGTTTACGATTGTCATAAAATAAATTAATTAATCAAAAGTATATATATATTATGGGAAACAGTATGATTATAAAATAATTCAGATTTATGCGGATTGGAGGAGGAGAAGAAACATGTTTTACATCCGGAATCCAAAATCATCACAACCAGAACAATCGGTAAAAGCACAATCTCAATAATCCAGGCTGACGTAGCTGAAGAATTGACAGATGTCATTGGTACCAATTGCAATTGATATTAGTGAATGCATCTCATGAGCCGGCGTGGTCATATCTATCAAAAAGGTATTATTTTTAACTATTCCATTATGCAGAGATAAGAACAACAAAGCCAATGAGCTCACCCAGCAAAGTATGTTATATTCAAATTCAACAATAGTGAAAATAGGGGAAATGATTAAAACTAAAAGCGAAAATGTTAACTCTCTAGAACTATATCACGTGCGTTTACCATATTATTAAGTAAGACTCGATATTATTCCTCAAGGATACAAGGGATTTATTATTAATATTTTAGAGCTATCAAGCATGTTTGAGACAAAAGGGATTCAACTCCATATCCTTTACTGAGTAGAACTCCCCCAACTTTGCAATTCCCAAGCAATTTCACGCCGAAGTTCTCATCAGAGCAATCTTATAGTTATTGAAATGATTTATCCCTTAGATCGATAACAGATGACGAAATTGTTTTTGAACAGATAAAATTTGTTAGTTTAGATTAAATTACTCTGAAGTACTTCTCATATGAGTTGATGAAATTATTAGATGAGTTCAGAATACCTGAATTGTATAAATGTAGACAATAATAATTTCTCGATTACTTATGTAAGATCATTTTTTATACTGAGAAAATACTGAAGAATTAAAGCCGGAAGTATACTTATTCAGTACTGGCATCACTACTGAAATAGAATAGCCTGATGGACAATAATGAGTTTATTTTCATCATAGTTATTTTACCTATCAATTTTTTTAGGATATATATATTATTATAATCCGCTTTTTTCTATATAAGTCGTTAATTAACTATTATCTTTAAATCTGTCACAGGATTAAATATCATTGAGAATAACAGCTAAGAATTGCATAATTTTTATATATGAAACTTGAATTATCAATAAAATGCATAAATAATCACACTCACTATCAATGTCCACAATGGTAATTACGTTGGTTTCTCTTTCGATTTATTGGCAGCAGATTCAAATTCATACTTCTACTTTATGCTTTGCAATTAACTATCCTACAATGAAATTGAAGGCAAGTAAACTGATTTCCAAATTCTTTTCCAAAAGTTTCCAGTTTGTATCATCTCAGTGACATTCGTAAAGTAATATAGATACTTATTAATTCTAATGTACTTGGGTGGTTTCTTTTAAAATGGATTGCTAGAAACAAAGTCCTCAATATTTTAACCATCCAACATCTTATAAACAAGGTGAATCTAATTTATAAACATTACAATTTACTAAATATAAATCTGAAGGATTTTCTTATAAGGATGCAAACCATAATTACCAATCCAATCTAGGTTGATGAGGTACAACAAATGGTGATATTTCATTAAGCTTTCCAGGTTTATAATGGAAATGATATTCTAACCATTTGTTGCCATCATCGCTGCCTTCAAAAATAAGTTCAGGTCTGCCATTTACACCAGTCATTTTTCTGAATAAGCCATAACTATTAAAGAGATGAAAGGGATATGTGTAACCTTGAATATATTACAAATATTGCTATGGTATGATGGGACTATTAATTTGTCTGAGACCTATTCCTTATTGGAATGTCAGATTGGACATGCTAAACATAGTGATAAACACAACAATTTTAATCAATGTTTGTGTGATGGCAGCCATAGTGCTTTGAGCAGTAGCATTCTGAAGATTGAAATATGTAATATAGAAAAAGAAGAATGTCAACACATATAGTAAAAAATAAGTTAAAGTATCTTCTGTGAGAAAGTACTTTCCAATATCTTAAACAGTGAACGGGAGTTTCTTGCCCTGCATTATAGTTTCGTAAGGGAAGAAGTTGTAGATTAGTACTCCAGTCATATAGAAGCAAATGACAATTTCAGAGTATTTGTAAATTCTTTTGTTCTCTTTTTAATCAAATTCTTCAATTGTTTTAGGCATATTAATAAATTACTTTATTTGACTGGGGAAGTACTTATAAATGAAGTGATCATCCAACACTACCATTGCAAGGACAATGGATAACAGATTAAAAAAGTTATAATTTCCTGTTAGGATGATGCCGATTTGCATTAAGAATTGCAAAATGAATCCAAATATTCTCATAAATCTTCTGGGGAAGTAGAAGTAAATAGCTCCAAAAATAAGTACATAGAAATTGGAAGCCACCATCAGTTTTTTGAGTTCCCCTGGTAATTGATGTGCCCACCAGGATAGAAAGTGAGGTATGCATTACGATGCAAAATGATGATGCAATGCAGTCAGATTCCACCATGTATCGCATTGACTTAAGAGTTTGACCAATCCACTGGAAAAGTAGAGTCTAAATGCAAGCCAACGAAGCAATTCTCTTCCTACAATGGGTGTAATGCAAAAGATTATACAAATGAAGCCAGTCTCCAAAAGCATTATGTCCCATTGGAATTGGCTGAAGTCCTAACCTACTGTATAAAGGGAAAGGTACAACACCCACAATATAAAGAAGGTGTACCATTTAATGAATTTGGAGGATGCAAATGCTAATAAGCCAATGAGGGTGCCCACAATTGTAATCATGGTAAGAAAGGATGCTTTTTTATATAGTTGGAGGAGAGTGGGCATTTTGGTGACATCGTACCATTCCATTTTGGATATAGGCATCAATCCATTGTTAGCATAGAGTGCTGGTATTTGGTAGTACCAACTGGAGAAGGCAAATGCATAGATTAGACCAATCAATCTCAATATCAGTTGTTGCAGGTATTGGATTTTCTCTCCTTGACAATTTTTGGAGGTAAGCATTAATAATAAATAAATTAATAAATGAGATTAAATACTTTACCGGATGTTCTATTTCCAAATCCCATTCAGCATCCGAATTACAAGATCTCCTTTCTAGGGAAGGTCAAAGAAGAAATCTTTAATGTATATGCATGATTTGAATGTAGAATCAATTCTAAATTGAACCCATGAGAATGAGCAGATAAAATATGACAATACGTTCACTAAAGAGAGGATCAATTAGAGTTGTTAGTGCATCGAATGTCACATCTCAAAACAACACGCAAACTAATTTTAGATCTGGATCTTCAAAGTTCAAGATAATCAAGGAGCATTCTCAGATAGAAGAAATGGATGAAACATTTTCTCGAACAAGGACACCTTCTCAACTAGTAAGACGATTAAAAAGAGGACTATCAATGTTTGAAAAATAGCTGTGATTAGAGATTTTTTAAACGCATCTTTTATCAGTTCACAAAAAATTGCACAAGATTTGCCCGATTGCTTAAACCACTTGTACTCTTCATCATCTTTAAAGTATGTCCATAGTGGTTTATAAATATCTGTTCGATCTTTCTTAAATCTTCATTATCTCTGACGGGATATGTGTTGTTATGTATTTATTGCATTTTCTATTATATTACATTATTACTAATTTGGTAAGAATGAGTTTATTTTGCATGTTGATAATCTTTTTGAATATCTACGTCTTAAGATATTTTGTTTGCATTCTACAATGTCGTTTACTACTGTAATTTTAATTAGAATATTGTAACTAATATAGAATACTCCTTAAGCTTCCTTTTATATCTAATCGATCAAAATTAAGATTTTAATTTTTCTTTAATTTTAAAGTTTAACCAAGTAGAATTAATATAAACAATCGACTACTTTTGTACTATTTTTCGATATTCTATATATCTAATTGATCCTATTATTGTATTCAATTATAAAGATCAAATAGGAATACTTCATAACATCTTCTGATTTTAGGGATATTTCAAAACATAAAACATTTCATTATTTTTAATGAATCTTGATGGCCAATAAAGAGAATAGTCATGATTATGTTAAACAATTGATTGATTTGAAAGTCTTTCAAGGGATAAGAAAATAAAGTAGAAATCCATCAAGTGGTATTGAATCAATTATAAAACCTGAAAGACAGTCAACTTATATTAGTCTTATCAGAATTAAACAAATAAAAATCTGAAACTATTTTCAAAAGATTTAATATGAATCAAGTTTGATCTTTGATAAAAGAGATAATTATTATAATATTTAATGTAATAATAATGAAATAAATAGATGATTACAATTATTTCATTTTGAATTATTTTCTATCTAAATTTATTAATAAAATGAGGATTGATTGTGAAGATTACCATAAAATTTGACCTTCACTTCTCTTCATCTAAGGAAATAGATAAAATCAAAAAAAAATCGAATAAAAATTGAAGTATTTAATAAACTGAAACTATTTGACTTATTTTTTACATTACTATGGTCTTACTTAAAAAGCTTAAGAGATAATACTAAAATTTAATAACATTATTTATATTTAATTCTTGGTTCAATGCAAGATCAATAGAGCATGCTTTCAATATACAGTAACCCTTGGAATAGGTCGAATATAACAAAGGAAAGAGGTTACTTCTTGGCAAAGTCTATTGATAAGCATCCAGAATTTAAAACAGAAATTTTGGATTCTGCAGGTTAATAATAAACTAGGAACATCTTTAAAGATCCTATAAGTGTGTAATTATGCAAATACGACTCTACGATTGGTCCAAAGTTAGAGAATAACAAAATTGTTGTGCGATCAATAGTTGGTAAACCAGACATTTTCAAAAGGAAATTGAGTCAATTGACTGGATAGGATCCAAAATCAAGTAGTAGAAGAACAATTGCTAAGGGAAACACCACAAACACTTTTAGGAATAACAACACAATAAAAACATAACAAGTATTTACAGGAGAGGAGTTATTGGCTAAAGTTAATTTGATTGAGAAGAATTTGTTTGAGTCCAGATTGAAAGAGGATCAGGAATTAATGAAGATGCCATTCCAAAAGAAATAGATTTTGTTGAAAGAAACCAGGGCATTGGAAGAGTATTTAAAATTAGAGAAGGATTAAAACAATGTATTGATGGGGGTGTCTAAATAAGTGAATAAAGATCCAAGCAAATCATTGATGATAGATTGCTATAGATTTCGTAGAAAACAAGAATATTGTAATACCAATGACTCTTTGAATAGAAATAACGAAGACAAGACTTTGAAAATATTGTAATTAACGTTTTTTAATTAGGGAAATAGATGACGATAGTGGTTATCCCTTATTCATGATGTCATAAAATGATTAAGTGATACGGAAACCAAGTATCATTAATCAGGATGAGACTACTCAATCCATATTGAAATAATTGAATGATGAACCAGTTTATCGAAGCTTCTCTAGCAAGGATTACTTGAAATCCCAATCGAATAGATATGCTAAGATAGCTGCTGATAAAATCAACATAAACATAGACAATTTGCTTGTTTAAGGATATAGTAAACTGGATTAGGAAATAAAGTTTGACACTAACGGGAAATACTTGCTTAAGACAATCGAAAAGGGCAATGGAGAGGAGACGATTACTGAGAACTATTCAGGATAATATAAAATAAATTATAAATGATAATAATTAAAGTTTGCATTAATTGTTAAACACTATTTATAGAGATGGATAAATATAGATTTATCAATATGTTGTTTATATATATAATCAATAAAACCAAGCACCTTTTTTTATAATCTCCTCTGTCCTCTCAATCGATTTTCATTCGTTCCCATACCTCTAAATGAAATGTGTTCTTGCATCCACCAATTATGAATTAATGATCCAATACTTAATCAATGGTCATTCTTTTTGCTGGATCTGGCTCCAACATACCTTGGATGAGGGAGCGGAACTCATCATCATATTTTTTTTATTTGTCGACTGCCTACCAATATTTAGCCCATTGTCCGTTAGAAATTAATCTCCAATAAGGACAAGCCTTAGTGGTTTATCTGAAGGGAGGATGGGCAAAGGCGGTTAGGAAGAGACACACTCCCAAGGAGAACACTTCTGTGATAGGTAAGGCCTCAGTATTGATTTGGCCTTGACCTTACAACTCTGGGGCCAAATATCCCTAAGTACCAGCTGATCTGGTAACATATCCTCCCTTGATTGCTTCAGCAAATCCAAAGTCACAAATTTTGATATCCAACTTCTTGTCCAATAGAATGTTTTCTATTTTGATGTCTCTGTGAACAAAACCCAATTTATGAATATATTGGATTGCCGCTGTTAATTATAAAATAATGTATTTAATAGAAGCTATTGAGAATGGTTTCTATCCTTTGGCTAAAATGTCAAAGAGATCCATTTTCTCGAGAAGCTCTGTTATCATGAATCTTTCCTCATGATTTCCATCTACTAAATGAACAACGTTATGATGGTCTATTTAAGAAAGAATGTTAATCTCTTTTTTAATTTATTGTGTCGAGATGTTATCCTTGAATAGTTTGATAGCGTATTCTTCACCCTTGATCTATACTTTTCTGACTTCGCAAGTCAATCCAGAACCCAAGATTTCTTTTGAGATATTCATCACTTAAAATTTTAGTATAAGTTAACTAGTTTAAATATTTTTAAATTAAATCCAATTCACTTTCGTCGGGAATTATTAAATTCTTTTATAAAACTTATCAGAAATTATATTTAATCAGAATAGTAATATAGAATTCATTAATCAATGCACTAAAACTAGCAAAAAAGGTCAGTTTTCAAAACTAAAATTCCCTTTTTCTCTCTCGATCTCTTTCAACTTAAGATGGACTTTTTGCATCTCATTCACATACTCAATTTCATTTACAGGCTCAATCCTATTCAGAATCTCATCCAAAGTGAATCGATTTTTTGGATTATTTTAAATCATGCCTTGAATTAATTCTAAACAATGAGGGGGAATCTATTAGGTCCTCCTCCTCTAAAAATGAAGCCAGAATTCCTCCCATCTGTTTTCAATTATTAATCTATAATAAACACTCGATTTATTCGCCTATTTGAAAGGGGGATGTCCAAACAGTAAAATGAAATATAAGACACCCAAAGAATGGATATCACATTCTTACAGATTTAAGGCACTGATCTCCCCATAGTGATTAATTTCTGGTGCCAAATAATCAAATGTGCCCACTTAATTTTTAACTTTCCCTTCATCCAAACTCACACTTACATCAAAATCACAAAGTTTGATTTTGTAATTCTATTCATCCACTAACACATTATCCAATTTTACATCCCTATGTGCAATTCTTTTTTGATGCATGTATTTTAACCCTCCAACCAACTATTTTAAAATGCAGTTTGAAGCATTTACTGACATTGATCCTGCATTTTTTATAAAATCAAATAAACAAAATGGACTCATTAATTCTGTAATTATGTAGTCTTTATTTCCCGAAATGAAGTTCACAATGTTTGGATGCTTCAGCTATTAATGAATTAGATATTCATTTGATCCTTGTCTACTGTTAAATTGTTTGATTGCATATAAATTATCTTCAATTTTCACCTTCTTTACGTAACCAACTGCTCCTTCTCCTAAAGAGATCTCAATAATTTACATTTCAAATATTAATTAATGTTTCCTAACCTTATTATGTTAATTTCTATTTATTTATATTCTTCTAATTTCATTTTCTATTAAAATCTATTTTAATTAATTATTACAAAAATTAAGCATTATTCATTCCATAAAAATATAGATTAAAAATCAAATCATTAATATCATTAATTTTCAACTACTTATTCAGCATATATCTATACTTCATTCAAAATCTATTGCCCTTCAGATTTTTGTGGTGTTTCATTTTTCTAAAAGATTATCGAATTATTCTCCTATTGTGTTCTAATTATCTTTGAATTCATTATTTCTCTCTAAGATATTTATATTTTGTATTACCTATGTCGTTCCATTTGTTTCAAAATTATCTCCATCTATTTAATTGAATTTATTTTCCTCATCCTGAGGTAAATTCTAATTTAAAGGATGCCTCGATTACATATCTGTTTCGCGTTATTCAGCATTATGAGACCTGATAATGCTTCGGCCTTCTAGAAAAATGGATTTTTTAGCTTAAAAATTTTAATTTTGAGGGGTTGAGCATTAATGACATATGATTTTCTTATGTATTTGACTTTTGAATTAATTAAAAAACCAAAATTTGCAGTGTTGGTTATCAATACACCTTCCAATTTTGCTTTTGTAATGTTACTAGAGGTAAAATAATTGATTTTCTAGTAATGTTTCTTTATAAGTTCTGAACTTTTCAAGGCCCAAAATTTATAAAATTTACACTTGTAATTTTTAATTACAAAGGCACTATAAAGTAGGAGATGATAGTTGTAAATTGTTGTAAATAAATTAATCAAAACAGTCAGGGTGATAAAAATGTTAACAGGGAGTGGATATTATATCTTATTTAATATCCTGATGACAATAGAAACAATTCATGTTTTGATAAATAATTTATGAGAACATTTGGCTTGATTGTTAAATTGAAATTATGCTGTAAGGAACTTTACCTTCATTATTATCACTTAAATCATACTAAGTGCTCATCTCTGATTTCAAAATTTTGGTCTATGTATTTTCTAATTATGATTAGTTATTTTCAATTGATGACTACTCTCTTATTTATTATAATTCTTGGTAGTCAGCAATTAGCGTATCTATATCAAAAATCACTACTTTCAAAGGTTAATTATCTTTGATATATTTATCAAAACTATCACTAGAGTCACAAGTTATGCCATCAATTTTAACAGCTATATCCTTCTCAGCCAGCCTATATTGTTCACATAAAAATTTTTTAATCTTCTCTATTCTACTAACTACATATTAATTGTTCGGTTCATTTTTATAATCAACCTTGATAATTATTTTGTCTTATTAAGCATTCATTTAATTATTTCTATTAATTATAATGGCTTTTTCGTACTTTATGAATGAAAGATTATTAATGATCTTTATTTGCTTTATAACAACAACACTATAAAAAGGAAAATGTAGAAGGCAGCATGAATTCAAAAAATAATTGAAGCAAAAAGAAATTTTAAAATTATAACTATATATTAATTTAAATTATAGTTTTAAATAGAAGGATGACAAGAATAATTTCAAGAGATTAAGGAGATTTGGAACCACATGCGAAGATGTTTTAGATACTAGCTAAGTAGATTAGTTAGCAATCTGGGTAGATATTAGAATGCGAAGTTTGTTGAGATGTTGTATTCAACTTAAATATCATTGAATGAGTGGACAAGAGTTTATAATTAATATAAAATATTTATGAATTAATAATCGTTGTTAGTGGAGAAGAATCTAATCTATCGTTTGTTTGAAAAGGACAACATTATAGGCAAGGGCAAGGATTTGATTCACGGAATAAGTTCAAGCATTTACAAATTGAAAAAAAATAATCATGTAACTTCAGATTTTAATGGAGAATGGGGATGGCATGCTCTTCAAATATATGAAAACCTCAATCTGGAGGTGTTTGAGACCAAAGTAATTCAATTATAGAAAGCGATGACAACTCATTTGAATCCATATTCAACAAGAATAATTTTAATTGGAAAAGAACAAGTGCATTAATAGTAATTTAATTTGCATGTTGTATATGAATTTGGATCAGTTAATGATGACTTCAAAAGCATGAGGGATTAGAAAGAAGGTCTGGATGACGAGGAAGCAACAAATTTCTTGAGTTTCTTGTGTCATAATTATATGTTGGGTTCTCAATTTACAAATGAATTTTTAGATATTAGTCCTCAAAACATATTCTTTACCGACTAATCCTACATTGTATCTAATTTTGGAATAACCTATGCTGGAACCAAATTTCATAGATCCTATTTACCCATCACAGATCCCATTTTAAAGGAGAAAAAGCCTTCTAAAATTAATATTTTGTATTCATATGCCTTTAGAGCAGGATTGCTTGTTTTGACTCAAATGACATAAATAGATCCTAAGGATTTATTTTTTGAAGATGGCTAATTTAAAGAACAACTTTTAGATAATATTTTATACCTAATCTAAGATGGAGATGAGAAGGAAAAAAGAAAGGATAAGAAGTTCATCACCCAAATTCCTTAGTTCTTCGATACTCTAACTCATTCAAGAGAGCAGGATTATAATGAATAAAAGGCTAAAAATCAAGGAAAGCAATTTAAGTATGTCAAATCCTAAAGGTTTCTACAACACAAATATCGTAAAGAGTTCTTGGACATTCTTAAGAAATTGCTTAACGTGAATAATATCTAAAGTCGATCAATTTTCTAACTTTTGATTGCTCAACCAGAAAATATACTCTAAGTGCAAGCCCCTTATGATGAAAGATCGGAGGACAAATACAATTACTCGAATGGGACAATTGAGAATAACAAATTGAATGGATGTGGAATCATATCAATAGATAAAGGAGATGAGAAGGGCAAATAGAAAAATGTTGAACTCATCCAAATGTGCGGAAGGTTTGAGAATGGAGAGGTTAGTGATGCTTTTAATATCATCACCATTCATAACATCAAATATGAATGCAAAATGTTCCATTTGCAATGTGACTTAGAGTTTAGGTATGTCTATAATGAACTGTTGTATTTGAATGAGGAGATTGTATCTCCCATAAATCCGATAGGAAAACTCAAGAAGGAAACCATATACTACTTCAAGGGTTAGATTGAAGAAGGGCAATTTAAATAAGGAATCTCATATCAATTGGACAATACGATATTTGAGGGAGAGTTTAAGAACAATCAACCGTATGAAGGGACTTTGACTTATCCCAACTAGGAGGTCTTTGAAGGGACTATGGACGGTTTCAATAAAAAAAAAGGTAGATTAGTTGTAAAGGGAAGAACATATGATGGCCAATTTATGAATGATTAATTTTTCAAAGGACATATAGAATACGAAGATGGGGGAGTATTTTATGGTAATTTTAAAAATGGATAAAAAGGTATTCTTAAATCTTGATTATTAGTCAAGGCCGGAGTTTATCAATATCCGAACTCGTAAATTTAATATTAAGGTTTATATGCTGACGATCTCAGACATGGCAAAGGGTAATTCATTGACAGATCAAAGGAAAATTGTGTTCAAGAGGTTGTTTACAATTATGGATTGTGCGAAACTAAACTCATTGAGCATTTTGAAAAAGCCTTGAAAGAAATTTAAGAAAAATAGAAACAACAAAAGAGTCTCAAAAAACAAGGTTAACAAGAAGAAGATAATGATGAAGAAATAGAAGAAGATATCGAAGAGAATCCAGGCGATGACAATGAAGACGGAGATGAAGGCTGATTTTAATATATATCTATTATATTAATGTTGCAATAATACAATTCATTAGTAGTGGATGCCAGTTTCATTAATAAGAACTTTGTCTAGGTCAGTGTAATTGGAAAAGGCCTTGATTTCTATCTAGGAATCAGCTCAATCAGTTACTTGATGCACCATAAAAAAGAACAAGGCAGATACATCTTACAAACCTATGAAAATTTAGGACATGATCTTTTCAGAACCAAAGTTGGGCAACTACAGAAAGCTATGTTAGAATGTGTTAATGATGTCAACACAAGAATTATCCTATTAGCTGAGAAATAGTTGAATGATAAATAGTCTGATTTGCTAGTCCTTTACCAATTGAATGAACTCAATAAGAGATTAGATCAACAGGAATAACTAAACCCGCAATAAGCAGAACAGCTCTTGATTACTTTCTGCTAAAATCTTCTCATCACAGGTTTCTTATTAATTGATTCTTAGGTCGTGTAACTTATGAATTTTTAGACCTGGCTCCTTAGAATATCTACGTCGAAGAGAATCGTTTCGTTATATCAAACATGGGAATCTCCTATAAAGGGTCTAAATTTCATAGACCTTATACTCCAATCACAGATAACTTCTATAAAGAGAAAACTCTAAAACATATGATGCACACATATTCCTTTTAAGCTGGTTTAGTTGTCTTGTGTGCTATTACTAAAATAAACTCGGCAGAATTCTTTTTCGAAGATGGTTAATTGAAATCTAACTTATTATAAGATGTTTTGAAATTGTTTAAGGAAAATTAGCCAGATTTAGAGAAATAGAAGATAAAGTTGAAGAAGTAGTTTGCATCTTTGGCTAAAGTAGAAAAGCCATTTGACGCTAATATTTCAAAGATCATCCCCTTTCTATCTCTCATACTCTCTTTAGATCAATAAAAAAGATCTATATTTTCATTACTAATATGTCATCCAGAGAATCCACTTAAAGTAGAGAATCCATTTTTCTAATAAGCATTAGATGTTGAATAACAATATGTGGGATTTGGAAAATTGGATGGTGTTAAAATAGTACCTCATGGATATGGACATGGAAAGTTTGGTAAAGAGTATCATTACGGAATGTTCTCAAATGGAGTCTTAACTGATGATGGTACGATTGAGATTAGAGTGCAGAACAGCATTATTTATATACTAAAAAATCTGATAATCTCTTAAAAATATCAGAATGCAGTTGCAGAGCTTAATAAGCATATATTTTGGGGGGAATTTGATAACAAATCATATAAACCTAATGGGTAATGTTTATTGCTTTATGAAATTAATACTTAAAAGCATCTGAATAAAAAAAGATAGTCAAGTTATTTTGAAGGAATATTAAAATAGGGAATTAAATAGGATGGTCAGGAATTTTTAAAAAATAAAACAGAATTTGATGGAACCTACTTAAATAATTAGCCTGCAGAAGGTAAAATAGTTTATGGACCAAAACATGTTTTTGATGGAATCATCTAAAATTACTAAAGAGTTAAAGGTATCTTGGTATACAAGAATCAAGTTTTTACTGGTGAGTTTGAAAAAGATCGAGTAAAGGAAGGAGTTATCAATTATTCTGATGGCAGTGAATATGAGGGTCAACTAAAGGATGGATTGAAATGTATTAAATAGTAGTATAATAGGTTCTTAGGAAGGTAAATTTAGATTTTGGAATCATAAAATAGAGTATTCTGGAGGATTCTTGGATGATGAATTCCATGGTAAAGGGATGTTGACTATCTTGTAGAATAATGAATAATTGGAAGTGGAGTATAATAAGGGGAAATGTTTAACTGAGATTCCTGAGGCGTTTAAGTAGTTAATGTAGAAGAAATAAATGTAAGAGGTCAAAAAATAGAGTGATGGTAAGAAAAAGGATCAACAGTAGAAGGAAGATGAGGATGATGGAGGAATAGAGGAGGATATTTAAGATGATGTCCAACAGGATGATAATGATTTTAATGAGGAGGAGGGTTGAAAATTTATAATAAAAAATTTAATGATAAATAAGTAAACAGAATAAATATTCTCATAACTGTAAGGAGCCTTTGCGTGGGTTGAGAAGATGAGAAAGAAGAAGCCAATGACTTCGGATATGCAAATTAAGGAATTGTTATACTTTTTAAATATTGATGCTACGAATGAAGAGATTGAAGCTTTGAATGAATTGGCTAATCCTGAAGGAGAACAAGACATTTAATACGAGAAATTATACAAAGTGTTTATGAATGATTAGCAATAAGAGTAAAGAGAGGTGTTGGAGGCCTTTAGGTTGCTATCAGGTTCAAATAGGATTGAAGTAGATAAATTAGAGAATTGGCTCTACATTTATGACAAGAAGTACCGAAATAATGTAATTTCAATTTAATAACTAAGACCAAACAATTCATAGCTTAATTGAAGCAGTCCCCAAGTTATAAGCAAGGATATTTGGACTTTGAGAAATATGTGAAAGAAGGTTGATAGTTATAAATAAATTAAATGTAAAAAACAAATATAAAATCTGTTACTGCTCGAAATGAGTAAGCGAAGGCTAAACTTACAAAGTATGAATGCATTTGAATCATTAGAGAATAATTTCTGACTCTAGCCAAAATGTGTTAGAGTACGAGTACTCAATAATTGTTGAATAAGAAATAGCCATCCCAATAAAAACCTGTGTTGGCAAGTTAGTTGAATATTACTCCAAGAAATAACACTCCAAAAAGTTGTAGAACTGCACAGGAAGTATATTCATTGGTTTAAATCATAGATGAAATATTTTCTTTATCAAAAGAATCTAGTTAAAGACTCAATCAATAAGCCTTAGAATCATTCTTAATTGCTCCCAAAGACTAAGAACAGTTTGCATCGTAATTTCTCTTAGTTGGAAAAATCATCAAACAGCTAGTAGAACAATGGGTAATCAACGGCACCGAATACTGTAAAAAAAAAATACAATTTGCTTTCAACTGACTCAGCAAATAAACTAGATTATCGTTTCTCCTCTGTTCAGTTTGCATAACAAATAGTCTAACAATTAAAAAAGAAGTTTGAACCGCAGTAACCACAACAAAAGAAAGAAAACTTGCATGTTAGCTTAGATGACTTTGTGACTTAAATAAACAGACCACAGTCTATTATTTCCCCCTTCAAACAGACCAAATCGTTATCCCCTTCAACAAGAGTCAATAATGTTCCTTCCAAAAGTATTCATCCATCTTTCAAATTTAGAATCCCTTTATTATGTCTCATCCTTGGTGGAATCCTTCAGACACATTTTGCCATAAAATCAAGAACAACAACTCTTCAGGGATCATGCTGTATAAACATTTAATTGTGTTTCGTTCTGTGTAAAATTGCAAGAAGCAACATAACTGATTTTGGAACAAAAACGAATGGACATCCCTATGAAATCACATTATAAATGTATCATCAATTCTATAGATATGTAGTCAAGAAAACTGTTGTATTCGATCTAGATGAGACTCTGATACATTGTAATGAGAATCAAAATCTGAAGGCGGATGTCTATTTACCAATCACATTCCCTTCTGGAGATACAGCCCAAGCTGGCATCAATATACGTCCCTATGCTAAATGGATCTTGTAAGAGTTGAGCCAACTTTGCGAGGTCATAGTTTTCACAGCATCTCATCAATGCTATGCTAGTTAAGTGATTAAATTTCTGGATCCAAATTCAAACCTCCTCTCTGGTTAATTATTTAGAGATCGATGTGTGTTGTCCTAAGATGGAGTACACATCAAAGACTTGAGAGTCTTGAATAGAGATCCCAAGGACATAGTCTTGGTTGATAATGCAGCTTACAGCTTCGGAGTTCATTTGGAGAACGGAATCCCAATAATTCCATTTTATGACAATAAGGAAGACAAGGAATTGAAAATGTTATATGATTTCTTGGTTGACCAGGTATTGCCTGCGCCAGACTGTAGAATAGTTTTGTAATCGGTTTTCAGATTAAGGGAGTATTACAACTATGGAGAACCAAAACAAGCGATAGAGAAATTATATTGATTTTATATATAGTTTGATGATTTACATTTAACAGGGAATTCGCAATTTGGAGTATAATATAAGGAAATTAAAATAATTATTAATTTTTACCACAATTAATGACTCTTTCTATAACCATTTCTCAATAGATCAAGGCTTATAATTTGGCTGCATGTCCAACCCTGCCTGAATTCCTGGAAACAGCTTACAAAACTCAGAAGTCTTTGAAAAAGAACGAGCAATTTCGCAAGCGCATTGAGGTCATCCAAGGGTTTGAATTCAACACTGCCTCAACCCAAATCGAAGAGAGCAAGGATCAATAGTATATTGTTGCAGCAGGACTCTATGCTCCATCAATAAAGATATTCGAAACATCATAATTGTCCATGAAATGTAGTCGAGGCCTTGATTCAGAGATAGTAAAGTTTTGCATATTGGGGGATGATTATAAAAAAATAGCTATGGTTTGTGAGGATCGTAATATTGAATTACATGCCCAATATGGAAAGCATTTCAAACTGAGAGTTCCCAAATAACCAACTGACATGGTATTATTTATAAGTACTATTTAGATTTATAATCCTTACAATTGTAATTTATTGGTGTCCTCTTAGAATGAAGATATCACTAGATTGAATCTAGAACTTGGTTCATTTGTAGAATCATACACTCTTTAATAAGAGACAGGTGTGAACTGTTTGAGTATGCACGACTCATTGTAATTGGGTCTTGTGGGAGGCAATAAATAGCTGAGTATCATAGACTTTAGAACCGATTAAGTTGTTTAGCAATTGGGAGTGAGTGATGTCACTAGCATAGCTACTCAGAATCTTTAGGTTGCTTTGGGAACTAAGGAAGGCTAAATTAAACTATTCGATTTACGAAAGCACATACCAATTCATGTCCATTAACATTAATATAGATTACCTATCAAGAAGATCGTTATGAATGATGATATGATTGTGTCTTGTGATGCAAAGATATTAAAATTCTGGTAGGGAAATCGTCTGTTCACTAACATAGAACCATAAAGTGAGATAAATTCATTTACTTGGGTTAAGAACTCAGGAATGTTTTTATTAGCATTGGAATAACCAAGAATGGGTATTTATTTCATTCCATAATTGAATGCTGCTCCTAAATGGTGCCCATTTTTGGATAATTTGACTGAAGAAATGGAGGAAGAAGAACAATAAACAGTTTATGATGAATATAAGTTTTTATCATATGAAGAGTTGGAGAAATTGGATGCATTGCATTTATTAGAAACAGCCAATGTTAAAGCCTTATTCACATGGATATCTTATTCATTTGAAATTGTATCTGAAATTAAGATAGCAAAAAGGTTTGGATTTTGAAGATTACAAGTAGAAAAGAACTTAATAAAATTATGAAAAATAATTGGAAGCTGAAAGAATCAGCAAAGGTTATGTAATACCTGAAGAACAACCAGAAGTTGAGTAGCCTGTAAAATAGGTTGATCCAAGATTTTAGAAGATGTTAAAGGATAATGATTTCACAGTAGATAAGAAATCAGAAGCATGGAAAAGAGCTCATCCTAGTGAAGTAAGAGTCAAGAAATAAATAAATAAGAACAGGAGATGAATTTTTTGATCTATTTCTAAGTTTTAGTTTGTATATATAATTATTTTATATATAAATTAATGAACAACTTTTAAAAATTTAGCCATGATAATTGAAGAAATCTTTGGCAATTAAAGAATCTATATTCCTACCACTTCGATTGAAGTGATTTCTCATGAATAAATAGTATCAATAAAAATGAAATGAGCCAAAAAATTCAATCAAAAAATAGATCATCAAATATATTACTTTATGAATCTCATGGAAAGAGGAGACATCTACCTTTATTCCAATAGCAAATATATTTGTTAGATAAGTGATTTTTGTAAAGGTTGATATTATGCAGCACAATAATATATTAATATGCATTATGTTGAAGTAAATATTTATTCAATTTATGGTCAGTGTAAAATATGCAAAGAGTACTAGTGTACTAGATTTTGTTTATTTGTAATGATTTATCTCAAATCATTCGATCTATACATAATTGGTACACAAGATTTAAGTTAAAATAAATTGGTTTAGATGTTGGTGGTTCAAGAATCACATGTATATCTGAGACTAAGAATATTCCTTAGGATGATTCAGCTATAAAGTCTCTTTTTGAATTTGTGCTCTACTAATTTGAGAAAAGTAATAAAAATATTGTAAACATTTACTTTGTCTACGTAATATTCGAACCTGGAATTCATTAATTCTTAATATGTATTACGGATTACAGAAATGTTCCATCCTTGATCTGACTAAATAAGAATATTAAGATGAAATCATATGAATTAAAAATACATACTTAAATATTAAACAATATTGAATGAGTTAGGAATTATCATTTATAATTATTACAGACTTGAGTACAAATTTATAAGGATTAAATGTCTTGTAGATAAAAAATAGAAATGTAATATTGTTGAGTGAATAGCTGAGGTCGAATGCAGTCTCTTCACTTGTGTTGAGTAAGTGTAAGTATTCATCTTGATTGGTATTTTCGGTGAGGAGCTTTTGTGATAAAAAAATTATTTTAAATTAAAATAAATCCTTATTTAAATATGGCAGAGGAATAAGTTGTCACTGTGAAATTCGCCAATTAGCCAAAACTTTTCGGAAAGTGGGACTACGATGAAGTCTAAGTAACAGACCAATGTTTCAAAGACTATATTGCAGTTCAAACATCTAAATCAAGAGTCTTCGTTCCACACACTGCTGGAAGGTACAGCATCTGAATCCATATCTATTTAGATATTAGAGAAAGAAGTTTAGAAAGGCTCAATGTCCAATTGTTGAGAGATTGGCTGGTGCTCTTATGTTCCATGGTCGTAACACTGGTAAGAAGGTGAAGGCTGTCGCTATTATCAGACATGCTTTTGAAATCGTTCACTTGCTCACAGGAAAGAATCCTCTTGCAGTTTTATCATTGGCTGTCCAAAGAGGAGGAGCAAGAGAAGATTTCACCAAAGTCGGAACAGGGGGTGTGGCTAAACAATAGGCCGTTGATGTTGCTCCAATCAGAAGAGTCAATGAAGTACTCAGACATAATAATTTAAGGCTGTTCACAATTTGGCTAAGGGAGTTAGAGATTCAGTCTTTAAGAAGATGAAGACCATTGCAGAAGCACTTGCTGACGAGCTTATTGCAGCTGCCAACGAAGATGGACAAAAATCATACACAATCAAGAAGAGAGACGAACTTGAAAAAGTCGCAAAAACAAATCGTTGATTTATTTTTAGTATAATATATTATCTATATTTAATATACATTCAATCAAGCATTTTCAATTCCAATTCTGTGCTATTTTGTGATATTACATATTTTTTGTTGTTGAAATATTTTGAGTCTCTGTAGAAGAGCAGATAATTCATTGAGGCTCCTAAGAATGAAATCAGGAGTAGAATTCCCAACATATTAGAGTAAGAGGCTTAGGTTTCCTCTTAGACTACTTTGCCAATAAAAATGGACGCAAAGGAAATTCCCACACTAATACTCGAATAGACAAAGCCAAAGGCAGTTCCAGACAATTAAGGAGACACCACCATTTGAATGCAAGGCCATAAGGTTACAACATAGGCAGCAAAAAATATTCCATTCAATAATTAGCTGATGGCAGGAATTACCAAACAAGTGGTCTCACAATTTGGCATGAGATACACCAATGAAAACACACTCATTTGAATAAGGCTTGTTATTTATAATCCTTGCATTCTATACCCATGTTTGTCAACCAAATGACCTAAATATGGAGCTATGAAAATAGCCATGTAACAAGGCAGTCCATAGAGTGTGGCTGCAGAGTAAGATGATAAATGATACCTATAAATGAATGAAAATATCATATTACATAGTCTTAAACATTTCTGCATTATTGTAGGAGTATATGTAATAGCTTGTATAGCAGAAGATGGAACTCAATGCAATGATGTAAAAGTCAACATTGAATTAGGTTAATAAGGAGAATGAAAAGTGAGGCATGCTCTCTTGTTTGGCTTCGACTTAATACATCTTATCAATAGCTGTAACAGTATTCAGACCGATAAATGAAAACATAGAGAGCAAAAGACACGATAATATAGCCGTATCCAGGCTATAATTGTTGACTAGGTAGGGTAGCAGAATTGTAGATGCAATGGTACCGCCACAAATGAATGCGGTGTCAACGCTTATAATAAGGTTACTGTTACCTATAGGCAAATGAGGCCTCTTTAAACCACTTGGCTAAAATTTTGTAAATTCCCACATAGCAACTTTCCAAAAATAATCCCATAAAGAATCTTCCTATGAGCATCAGTGTGAAGCAATTCAAAATAATTGACAAGTAGCAAAGAACTAATATATAATTATTCTTAACATGTGCCAAAAATGATGAACAGCATAAATCCAAAGAGTCCTCTTCTTGTTCCGTATCTATCCAGCAACATTCCTCCAACAAAGGGCATAACAATATTGGGAAAGGATCTGAATGAAAACAATAGGTTTATTTGAAATTGATTCACGAGGAAATGATCCTTGATCTCAGTAGCCAATAGTGATGGGTAATCCACGAAGGCTCGGAATGAGAATTAAGACAAGCTTGTTAGAAAGAGAATGACCCATTTGGTTTATGGTTTCATATAATATTTAATTGACGTATTACTATAAATTTTAACAAAGTGCTAATTTAGAAATGTGCTTACTATCACGCTTTATATTGTAACTAATTTTCACCAACCAATTGATTTAGTTATCAAGATTGCAACGCTTTCTCTTCTAAAAGAGAATCACCAATATTCCGAGTGGAATTGAAACTACACCCATTTTTTTGGGCCTACAAAAATGTGTAGCCATTTCTCTTCAAATTCAGTACTTTACTCCTAATTGTGTAATGGATGGGAAGTAATATAAATTTACTATTCTGAAATTACATAATTTATCATTTATATTAAATTCAGAAATTTTAATCTTTAACCCCTTATCAAGAAAATTAATTGAATCTTTGGACAGCAAACAAAAGAATAAATATATGTATTGAATTCTAATTTTTAATTCTTCCATGACCTGGAAAAGTGTTTTTATCAGGCCATGAAACCCCAATATTGAATAATTCGAAGATAAAATAAAATGATTATAATAAATGTTAAAAAGTTAATCAACAGAACTATTTGTCAGTCCTGAGGAATTACAGAGAATCACATTCTTTGCCACTCAGAATCAAAGAAACAGCCATAAATCCAATATCCCCGCTGCCAAACAGGAGGAATACACCTTTAAGCCTCAGGTAAGAAATAATGGGACAATTAATCGTAGATCAACAAGAAATCAGCCACCATCCAAAGAACAGTTGATGATCTCCTAAGATGGAATGAAAGGAAATCACAAAGATTGCAACAGTGCTATGATGATACTGTAAATGTGCATCCCAATCAAATAGACATAAGAATTGCAATAGAATGCCAACCGCTTGACACACGAAGTTGACACAAATTAGCCGAGTGTTTTCGAGAGATTGTATGTAGTAAGGAAGAGTAATGAAACCATTTAATGTAAATGTTCCCTTGAAATTCATTTATAATTAGAGACCACCAAGCGTAATACCTCCGACTCGCATCCTTACTTCACCAAGAATATGTCCAACACACTTTACTCTGAATACAAAAAGTAAATCAGTGGCTCTCCAGAATAACAAGAGAGTGAATATCAACAAGTCTAAGAATAAGAAGTACCAACTCCCCAAAAAGCATGTCTGCCCAACAGATTCTATTTTGATCAATCAGAACAGCAACAAAATACTGAACCTGAGGTATCATATTATATCCTATTCTACAGCCCAAAGTCACAATTCCATAGCACATGTTTGTAGATTTTAGATAACAAATCAAATAGATTAATGAGGAACCAGAACCAGTACCTTCCAAAAAGCCTTTGAATAGGAAAGAGATAGATCTCATGGTGGAAAGGTAAAGTATACTTAATATCTGCAATTAGAATGAACAATTGGCTTCAAAAAAGAAACTATAAGGTCTAAGAACAATGGGATAGACAAATCCAAAATGAATCCAACGAATGTACTTTCTATCCAAAACTTAGCTGCGTCAAACAACCAAAAGCACAGCAATCTATACAAAATTCTCAAAGAGTTTCATAACAATCCTCATATTCCAATTTATTCAAAAGCAAGAACAATTGATATTTATCTATTTCATTATATATATATAAGTATTATAAATAATCGGTTCCTCACTAATCCTCCGCCTCCGTTTCTGACATTACACTACTTATTATATTATTAATACTTTCTCAAGTTCTCCTTAACTTAATTCACCAATAAGTCATAATCTTATAATGCCACTCCCCACACTTTACAAAATGACTTCACTACTTCTTCCACATTGTCACTCCTTCTCAATGCCAACCTCCCAACCTTACTAGGACCAATCTTGATGTCAATATAAAGAATTGGAATTTCCTTCTAAACCTTGCCTCTCTGTAACATGTCTGGTGGAATAAAAGCCATCCTTTTCACTTTTTCATATTTCTCCCCACTTGGCTTATGGTTTAATTCAATTTCTCTCAAATGCCTTTGATCATTTGCTCTTCTCAATCTCTCAACTGCCTAACCATACCCATTGACTCCAACCTGCTCCATATCAGGCATACACCCATTTATTTAAGGTTAAAATGAGCATTTACTAAACTCCTAGTCTTACTTCTCAATTTCATTTTATTTAATCTATTCTTCCACCTCCTATCTTGTCTTCACTTTATACAACCTATCAACCACATTAGGCAATTCCTTCCTAGATATTATTTATGGTTTGAAAGTGCATTATTTCATTTCCTCAGTTTCCTACTCTAATTTGAGCTAATTTATTTTTTAATTCGATTATTATTTCTTTCTATAGAGTTAAGTCACTTTACTATCTGTTGATCTTTATGAATGCTAAGATTCTTGATTTTCCCTTTTGCATGACTCCCGTAACAATGCTTCACTAATTGGGTTGATACTTGGCTTGAATGTATGTGTTTTCTCGTATGTATCTATTAGATTCTATGCTAGATTAGCTTTTAAATAGCCTGTTTTAGCTCCTGATAGTCTTGTTTTTTGATACAGCTAAAATTCCTAGCAAAATCTCAAAATAGATTCGTGATCAACTTGTTTTTCCAAAATCTTCTCCAAGTAGTCTATCATTAGAGATGCTGACTTTGCTGGCTCCAAATTGTTTGGGTCTTGGATGATTCTAAAAAAACAAAAGGCTGCTTGAATATCCGCGTATTCCTCTCCCTGTGATACTATAGCAAATGCCTTCTCATGTAAATCAATTTCTAATTGCCTAAGAGTAATAACTAATTTTAAAACCTTTATGATTGACTGTTGAGTCCCTAAACTTCCATTTCATAATTTTAATCGTATGATATTGCTTGGAATATATCTAACATTGTAAATATCCTTCCCATTTATTAAATATTCACTTAACCCTCGTTTTTCTCATCTACCTCTTGCATTATCTAAATTTACAAATTTCAAATACTTCATTTAATTTTTACTCCAAACGAGTTGCTAATAGCTTTGTACTTGATTAACTCATTAATTTTTATTAGCTAAGTACTTGCTTACCAGTTTTGTTTGATTTATTATTTTTTGAACATATTTGCTCTATTAGTTCTCGTTCCCTTTCCGATAAATTTATCATTATTGTTATTTATTATTTTTAATTTGTTTATTAAACATAATCAAAATTAATTAACGATTCCTAAGCTGGACTCCCTACTTTAGATAAGACTTAGAGTTAATTTAAATATCATATATATATATTATTTAGCAATATTTTCATACCTCGATCCTTATTGATCTCATTTATATTATAATAAATTCAAGATATGAATTAAAATATCAATTATTATATATTTGATGCAAGGTAAGTATCAATTAGAAGCCATTTTAATTGTTAGTTTTTCAATTTTTGTATTAATAATATGGTAATAAGAATCTTAAAAATTATATATAATAAATATTTAAACATCTTTTTCATTAATATTCCCTTTCTTATAGGCTCTTATTAGAATGGTACTAAATAATATAGATTATGGAGGAATACCATTTCACTAATTGATTTTTATGATCCAATTGATTTGGTTTATTTTTACATCATTTTGCCTGTTTTATCATATTGATCGATAAATTCTTAATTCTCATTCTCGTCTTCAGTCTCTGGTTCAATTAACTGTAATATTAATCAATGCTATATATTTACTTCAGATATATGAATTCTTCTATCAATAAATTCTTCATCTGGCAAGACTTCTTTAAAAATTCTCTTTCTATCTTCTAAATCCATTCCATAGAGATTTTCTGCCTTAACGATATCTTCTGGAGGAACCTATACTCCATCCAGATTTCTCAAACCTGGCAATTTGTATAAGACTTACCATCTATAGTATCTTCTGTTTTATATTGGGTTGTAACAAAGATCAAGGACACTAAGAAATACTAGATTTTCCAGAAAAGACAACTCTTTAATCCTGGAAATCTTATTGTTTGCCATTCTCAATTCTCTGACTGAGATAAGATCAACAATTCCATTTAGACTCTTAATTTAATTTTGAGAGAGTTCAAGTTTCCTCAACTTTGGTAATTAAGTCAAACCATCCAGGATTGTAATTTCATTCCCAAATAGATCCAATTCGGTCAGATTCATTCCATCCAAATTTTCAATATGATCAATATGGTTGTTAGCCAATTTCAAAACTTACAAGTACTTGTTTTTTTGAACTCCTTCAATCTGCCTAATCTTGTTATAGGAGAGATTCAAATAACGAAGAAAACGATGACAACTGAGGTCTGGAATTACTTCAATTTCGTTGTTGCTGCAATCTACATCCATTATTTGCAATGGAATATGCCTGATATATAATAATGAAATACTTTAAGTCCAATAATTTTGTCAATCTGTTATTGCTAGCCTTTAATGTAATTATATATTTCAATCCATTTAATGGTTTGAGTGACTTAATAGAGTTATTGCTGACATCAATGTGTTAAAGATGTTTGAATTTCTCAATCCCCTAATCATAATAGATATGTGAGTAATACATGTAAACTAGTTAAGTCTAAATTATTTGCCATGAAACTCAAATATGCATAATGTTATCCTTCAGCAGTTTTACCATATGTAGTTAGAGCCTTCTTCAACACATCTTCTGAAATCGGTTGCTTTGCTTCTTTTTGTTTACCAGCCTATTCTTAAGCAAAAGAAAACGAAGAAAGAGAGACCTAATAAAGCTTTTCCTTATAAAAGGTGTCCTTGATTAAATGTGTCATTTTTATAATACTTTATTGATAATATAAGAATAAAATACTAAAATGATTAAATATCATGAACAAAAACACCTATCCAAAGGGGATTACAAATTATGTGAATAATTGGTTACTCAAGGATTTATAGAAACTCAATTATATAACGATTGAATACACTTTATTGGGAGATATTGTTTGGTTACTAGCATTGATGATCACGTAAATTTTTGATTATTATTATAACTACATTTGCATTGAAGCTGATTATTATAAAAGGATTTACTAAATTAGACAGAACTATCATATTTTATGAGATTGGGCGATTAAGTAATTTACAATTATATCATGTCATATTTGATTTTCTTTTTAATGTTCAGTCATATACTAAATATATATTTGAATAATATCTGTTCTTGTGATTGATAATTCAATAAGTTCTTTAAGACTCTTCCTCACTTGTTAATAGACATTGAAATAAAATTTTAAATTTATTAATTTTGAATATATAACTTTTATCCATACATTTATTACTTAATAATATATATCTCAATCTTGCTTTTAATTTTATTAACTCTTTGATTTGAATAACTTATATCCTAAATACAAGATAAATGAGCCAGAAAAAGCTGATATTATTCCTACTTTCGACTTGATTCCACTCTTCACAATGAATGAAGAAGCACCAGTAGCAACAGCAACAGAAACACCTAATATACCAATTTCTTGGGGCACTTATTAAAGTATTTACGAAAAAGGTGTATTAGTATCACTTTTGTGAGATCTAATTGACGATTATTATTCGATATTAGTTTATGGTAACAAAGGTTCTTAATTTTGAACTTATTAAGTTTGACTTTCAACAAATTAAGGAACTAATTCTTATTTTTAATTGAATGACTTATTCTCTTAATCCACTTGCTATACTTCTACTTTAACAGCAGCATCATGACTTACTTAAACTTATAATTATGGCTTTTGTTCAATGACTTCTCTTTTCTCAACATTAACTATTTCATGAGATGGTTGATTTTCTATAAGAGTTTGAGCTTATTATATAACATGAACCTTCTCTTCTTCTTGAACTAATTGTGTTTATTGTTACTTTGCTTCCACCTTTACTATTTATTAAGGTTCAGAACTAGCTTTAGTATCGTTAACCTAAATTTCTGTTTAAGGAGCTTTGACAGAAATTTGAGTCTATTTCTATTATTCAATAATTGCTTATGATTTATGTTCAAAAGAGTGTGGACGGGGTTGAACTTATTCGATGAATTGATTGACCTCTAGATTAACTACAGAGTGTTCAAGAAGAGTTGTAGTTTATGCGTTAATTGGAATTTCAACTTAAGGACGCTTCTCCACTTGATTCTCTAAGTTTCTTGATTCCAAATTGATTTCTGGTTTTGAAGCATCTTAGTGAACTTCTAATTACACAGCTGGTGCTTCTTATATGTACACACTTTCATTTGGCTTTTCTGTTTACATTTTTGTACTCTTCTCTGTCACAATTTTACTTTAATGATTTTAAATTTCAGTCTAAGCCTAGCTTTGATTTTCTGATTTCTGTATGATTACCTCTTATCTATTTTATGGTTATTTCTCTACTTCGATTTATTAGTGTTATTCTATATGTGTTTTTGGTTAGATTTCAATATGGGTTTGTTCCACTTATTTATCCATTTTTTATTCTTAGACTCTCTCCAAAATGACTTCATCATTTTATTTCTTTAAATTGGTTTTTGGAGCACCTTCTATAAGTACTTGGTCATTTTATTTTTCCACAACAATGGGAGCCTATACATTCAAAACAACTTCCTATTATTAAGTCTAAGCATTGAGAGGTTACTAGATTGGATCCTATTAGTGTTGTTAAACTTCTTTTTATTTTTTTTGGCTTGATACACTTGGTTTTGAAGAGGGTTTCATTGTATTTTCATTTGTAGAATCAGGTGCAGATTAAGTTTGCAATTTGAGTTCTTCAATTTAATGTTATAGTTCCTTTTTATTTTATCCTTGAGTTTCGTTTTCGTATTAATGATCTTGATTTTTGATACTGTCTACTTATAAATTAGAAGTTCCAGAACTAATAATTTCTACTTTTTCCTGTTATTGTTGTTATTACTTTTCAGCTGTCTATTAAATTTAAGTCGTAGATTTGTCTCCTTAAGAAACTTCTTAAGAGACCTACTCTTGAGGCTATTGAACTTCTTCTTATGTTTTAATTGACTCTTCTTGGGTCTTTGTGATGCTATCCTCTTATTTTTATTGTTACACATCTCCAAACTAGTTGTGGTCATTTTCCTCATCTTTTGTTGTTTCCTGATGAGCATTATGAATATCTTTTTGTTGATCCTATTGTTATTATTATGTAATAGAATTTTAAACTTAAACTTATTCTTGTGCTTATTCCTTATTTTCGACTTTCTATATTTATTCTTGAGCTTATTCAATGTTTTAATCTGAAATAAATTAAATTACTACTTTATTCATTTTTAATTTCCTAATCCTCTACTTTTTTATCTATGTCTTGTGCTGATTGTATTTGATCTTCTTATTCGGTTTGATCTGTATTTTGATCTTATTTATTTTTTGTATTTTATCTCTTATTTTTTCTTGGCATAGAAATTAAATTTATTACTAATCACTTAATTCCCATTGATAAAATTTATAGTAAAATAACTCTTATATATTGTAAAAACTAAGTCATCACAATCAAAATTAATATAAATGTATTTTGAATAATATAAGCCCCGTAATTTTAACCATTAATTTACTTTGACTCTCTATTCTCCAAACTTACTCTACTATACATAACCACGTAGGTCTACCACATTTAAGCTTCGTATTTTAATGCACTTTAATAAATTCCATATTCCCTCTTGTTTCTTCATCATGGCGATAACAATTTCCTAAATAATGATACCAGCATTGTTTATATAAAATATCTATGTGACTAAAATTATCGATTGCTTATTTGGTCATCATTCAAAATACACTTCATAATTAGTAATGATAATACCTCTACTCAATTACTTCTCTAATAAATTATTACTTAATTACTACATAACCAAATAGATTGTTTTATCTACTTTATTTTCTTCTATTATTTGATCGATTGTGGAATCTATAATTTAATATATTTGATTGATTCCAGTAATTAAAATAATTACATTTCATACTCACTTACTGCAATAACAAAATTTAGTTCTCTTTTCACCAAAGAAGAGTATAATAGATATGAATAATAAACTTTCAATATTATAATGAATCTCATTCTTAAACAGCCTTAGCTAATACAACAGTTGAAAATGACACTTCATTTGGATCTCTTTCAAAGAACTTTTGAATGACTTTAGACACATCAGCTAAAAATGTTTCTGGAGTCGATTTGCCATGATTAATGGGAAATTACTATTTAATTTAAGATTGTAGTTTACTTTACAGCCATCTAATTCATAGATATCACCATCCTTTAACACAAAAGCTATGAAATGACGATCGACATCATCACAGCAAGCGCTTTCCCCTTATTAGACAGCCTCTTTATGAACCTGTTTGACCTCTTTAGCTTATTTTAACGCTTATCCAATTTCCTGAGGAGTCTTCCCTTAAGCTTTCTTTTTAAAATCTGCCAAATAGCTTCCCTCTTGAATGATGGCATTGTCAGCATTAAGAGCCACATGAACAATGGCGATTGTGCCACAGGCATTCATAGCAAATTACTTCATATAGAAAAGATTTGGAGAAACATGTTAACTAAATACATCCACTCACGATACCCTTTCTCTTAAATTTAAGCTGCTTCTTATTCTACAAATTGCTTCGTGTTCTCTTTGAGTGGAAAATTAAACAACACTCCATAGATTGGTTAGGGAATCATCTCGAAAGCCCAATCTTCAAAACCCAGCAGATCATGGAATTAGGCTAGTTCCAAATTAATGCCTTGTTTTGTTAATGCTCATAAGACATACCGAGTTTGATTGCTTATTCGTTCATAACTTGGGGATTGGATTCAAGAGGCATCCAATTATCATCTTCTTATTCAGCATCCATTTAAAATGATTATATTATTTATTATTATGTTACCCAAAGATTTAAGCAAATATGTATTTGAAATATGTATTCATGTTTGATCAATTTAATTTTTTGAAAGAATCTAATTTAGTTTAACTCTTGATCTAATCAATTCTCCCCAAAACACCAAGAGTCACATAATCTTATTTGTTAGACATCCAACCAGCAGTCATAATGGTCATTTTGTTGATGTGTTTTAGGACATTCTTAGCCTTCTAATTGTTAACCTTGGTAGTTTAAGATTCACACCCAACTTCATCCATTTGTTAATCTGTTATATTATTCATAGTAGTTTATATAGAACCCAGAGGGATATCAGTCGGACTAGTCTGAATACTGCACATTTGAGATTACAATTCATCAATTATCATAATCTATTTTGACAATTTATCTTGGTAATCCTGATTGATTATATCTATTTCTTTCACCTTGTTGTCTTCCACATCTACCAACTATTATTTCAATTCAGTAATATGGATTATCATTTACTCTTGTTCCTCCTTCAACTTTCTGTTTTGATCAGTTGTATCATCAATAACCTTCTTCAATTCTAGGATCTCCTCACTATACTTAACCATGAGCTAAGTAAGTTAGTCTTAGATGTTCGCATCGTTCTCTAATTGTCGATTCAACCCATCAACTTTCCAATGGTCACTGTCCTTAGAAGAATTTAGGTCATGTTAACCAACTTCGATGTCACTTTCCTTATTAAAGATCTTATAGAAGTCACTTAACTATTATTGCATGTCAGCAATTATACGTGTCTTTGTATCTAGTATCTCATCTCTTAATTGTAATTCTATATATATATACAGGGATTAGTACCTTATTCTAAGAAAGTAATTTGATCATCACTATTAAGTTGAGCATTCTTGTTTTTTTGGTTAGCTGATGTCTGACATCGACTTCTAGTTCTAATATTTTTTATTGGATGTTCATCATCTACAATGGCATTGACTTGATTTTGAGAGTCATCATATTGACATCCAAAATCAATTGAAGGAGGCTTCTAATTAATTTATTAATTTTCAGCTGATTATTTGATTTCAGTATTAAATTAACATGAAAAGTCTTGTTTTAGAGACTATTCCTTTTAGAATTGTAAAGTAAGTTGGATCTACGGACAAATCGTATTCTACTGAGCGCGTTTACTGCTCAATAATTTGATCTCATCGATAACAGATATGTTAGATTCATTATGATCTTGAACCAAATCATTCAGACCTTGAAACACCATGTATTATTTCTGGAATTCAGTTTGGCATTCCTAATTAACAAATGTACATTGTAGTTTGGATTGCTATAATTATGACATGTATTGAGAGAGTCCCACTCCTGTAAATTATTATTCTTTGTCATCGTTCTCTGTGTTCTCTCTCGGAAAGCTCATCTTACTTGAATAAGCCGTTTGACTATCGTTTAGTTTTTGCTGTGTTTTCATTATATTAGTATTTTGTATAGACTAAGCTAAGGAACTATTGTTTTCATCCTGCAATTATTTTCTTTCTAAAATGTTATTCGATAATACATTAGTACTTTTCCAAATACCGCTCCAACTTGTTTTTGCTTGTACTGGATTCCAGATTGCCTTTAATGGCAGAAGAAGGTTTCTGAGGTATTTTGGAATTCTTTGAATTTTCCTGGAGATGATTGCTTTTTATGAAGACGTCTTGGAGAGTTCCCAATACATCCTATTTTGAAACATGATATTGCATATTGAAATCACAAATATAAAATTAATATCATAATAATTCTGTAATACATTGAACTTGTATTGAGATTATTAAACAAGATTGAAGAATATATAAAAATTAATTCATTCTTTATCGAATTTCAGTATAACTTAATTTAAGATTTATAATCTAATTTATCTCACTCATAAAATTCATAACTGGGACTGGATTTCCACCTTCCATTCTCCATTTTGGATTTGAACTCTTTAATTCCATCCTTCAAATTTGGGTAGAATATTCATAATTCAAAATATTACATATTCCATTCCAGGATATCTTTCTCATTTAATCCAAATTATCTCATTCCTAGCATGTCCTCTTCTAGACATGCAACACTTGAAGTTTTTTCAAAATCTAAGATTTTCTTAAGTTTGTTTGTCCAATGGTTAATTTATATTTATAAACGACTCTCAAAAAAGAGCAAATGAATTTACAAGAAAGATGTAGTTCTAAGAAAGGAATAAATATATTTCTATCATTTATAATAATGCTCTTTTAATTCCTAAATCTAAATTCGCCTTATCATATCCATTTGTTTCTTGATGAAAGCCTGTTTCTAAGTATTCTTTTAATTATAAGGTGACTTCAGGAGTTGGAGAAGTTTATTTGATTATGGAAGTCTCCTCTTTGAAGGACTCCGTGCACTGTTTGGATTTCTCAGTCCCTTTTCAACTTGAATTTAACCAGCCCTAGGACTACCTGGCCTTGTAGATAGAGGAGTCACATACTTAAAACCCTTTTTCACTTCTGGCAGCGTATCTCTGCTGGGTTTGCTTGTCTCCTAGAATGTAGAGATTCCAATCATACCTGAGTCGAACCTGAGATAAGTGAGGAAACCTTCTCCTGCTTATCTTCACCATAAAATTGAAGGCTCAATTTCTAATAAAATTGGTCGATTTCATTATCAATATTGTTATCTGGATCAAAGCTATGAAGGGAAAAATGTTCATCATCTGACATTTTTTGTAAAATAAATTATTAATCACTACTTTAGTTTCTTAGCCTAGTAGTGTGCCTCCTAGTCTATTTGACTTGAAATAGCAGTACTGTCTTCAGTTGACTATTTTAATGAATGCAAAATAATGCTTAGGATCTCCAATACCTTGAGTGATTTCAAACTTCCTGAGTTCCTCTCCTTATAAGATCATATACTATTTCTCACATAGTTGGAATAAATGCTTTTGAAATCTCTCACTAAAATTCTTCAATCGTTGCATCACTTCTCCAAATTCTACATTTTGATCATAATTAATAGTCACTTGGAGTTCGGCATTTAACTAGTAGATATTTTATAAATTCATGAAACTTCTTAAAATTACTCCTTTTTGGTATCCAAAAAAATCAATATTTAACAATTGATAAGCTTTTGTGTAGTTTTCAACATTTATGATGAATTTACTTAATTTCACTTTAATTTAAGTTGTTGAGACTTTTAAATGGTTAGTATAAATCTTTATTGTATTAAACCAATTCAGAATAAAGTGCTCATATATTTTCTTAAGATTAATACATTTTGTTTTACTTAAATATAAATTTCAAAGATTTAACCTCCCTTTTTAGACATCTAATGAGTGGGTAATACAAAGGCTTTTCAAAAATGATATATTTGAAGTTATAGAAGAATCCCATAATTTAATACCTATTTAACTTAACTTTTAGATTCATGATATAATTTCATGGAGATATTGACTGATATAAATATTGTATTCAAGACAATGTATCAGAATTTATAGAGAATAGATTATGCTTAAATATGAAAATAGAATATTAAGACGTGATAGGGTTCTAGTGACAGAAATAGATATATGGTTATTCTATTGTATGTTATTTCTATTTAATTGGGTAGCCTCAACACTCTGGAAATTAAAACGGTGTGTTTAATGAATATTTTTCATAATTTATTAAATTGATTTAATATTGTAACATTTGAATTTATAATTAAGTTTTAAAAAATTAATTAAAAATCATATTTTGTCTAAATATTCGTTTAGGTCTGGGAGCTAAACCTTGATTCCCTTTCTCTTTCTTATACTCAGTACCAATTCATTAATTTTTGAACCAGGCTCTAGTGGATCACCATTGAGTATAGCCCAATGATCAAACACACACTAAGGGAAGGCTTAACCTTGAGTAAGACCTCTGAGATGGGCTGTGAATCCGAAAGACTCAGCAACAGGCAAATATGATCTAATCTAAAAATATTAAATTGATATAATTACTAATGATAGAGGTGTTCCTGGAACTTGTTCTTCTTCAATAATCACTCCTCTTCTTGTATTCAAACAGTTATACACACCACCAGTTGAATCAATAGGCACAGTAATTTCTGCTAAAAAGACGGGTTCTTAAAGTTTAGGTTATGCTGTCAATTCACAGGCATAGTACAATCTTCTGGCTGTTGGTATAATTTGTCCTCCTCCTCTATGAATGGCATCAGCATGTAAGACACAATCTAGGATATTTACTCTGACTCCCCTTTGGTTCTCTTCACAAAGTGGACCTTCTTTGCTAGACCATTACCAAGCACTTTCCATAGATTCTCTAATTTCATTCATATACTGAACACCTGATGTTTTTTCCATCAGAATATTTGGACCTGAATTGTCAGGACCGAAAGTCCATATCTTAAGGGCATCATCCTTATCCCATTCATATTGTTCTGATAGTATTTTAGCTCTTCCTTTATTATCATCCTTCGCTGTGACTTCTCCTTTCTCGATGGCATTTTGAAGTCCTTCATGAAGTGGCTCTGCTTAAGCATAGAGTCTGTTGTGACTATTAGGAGATTTGGCCATACATACAATTTTGGATGTAGCTGAAACAGTCTCCTTATAAGATACGATGGGATCTGATCTTATGATTTCAATGTTAGCGAAGTCCTTCTCTAAATCATTCAAGCATATCTCTACATGCAATTCTCCACATCCTGCTACCACATGCTATCCTGACTCCTCAGTTGTACAAAGCACCAAAGGATCTGATTTAGCTAATCTCTTCAACCCCTCTACTAATTTTGGTAGTTCTCCTGGGTTCTTAGGCTTGACTGCCACTCTCACTACAGGTGATACTGAATATTTCATTGATCTGATCAAATGACTTTCAGGATTATCTGAGATAGTACCTGTCTTCAATATGACATCATCCACACCAACTAGACCAACAGTATTACCACATGGGACATCAGGTATGTATTCTACTTTACTAGCCATCATCAATACTGTTCTTTGGACTACCTTCTCAAACAAGTCTTCTTTCTTTCCAGGCTTATAATTTGGTCCCATGATTCTCACCTTCTATCCTGTGCCTATGGTGCCTGAAAACACTCGACCAAAGGCAAAGAATCTACTTCTATCAGAGGTTGGTACCATCTTTGATACATACATAATCAAGGGTCCTTTGGGATTGCACTCTCTCATTGATTAAGCTATGGCATCATCCTAAGGTCCTTCATAAAGATAAGAGGTTCTGTATTTCTAAGCCTCTCTAGGTGATGGCAGATGACAAATAATCATCTCAATCAAGGTGTCTGCAGCATTAATCCACTTTGACATAACAGCTTTCAAGAGATGCTTACCATTCAACTTCTACTCTTCCTATGTAAGTTTCAACCCTAAGACATTGAACATCTTATTAGCTACTTCCATATTACCTTCCATGATAGCATTGGCCATCTTACATATGGGATCCATAATGAAGGCAACGAAAGCTCTCTTCAATTACTTTCCTGAAGCTCCTTCACTATCCTTCCTCCAACATTTGCTCTCATCATCAAAGTAGTTGTCACCCCACAATCTTTCTTGTAGTTTCTTTGGTTCAACCTTGAATTTGGCAGCATATATCATGGCGAATTTCGAACATGAAAATGCCCAGCATTCCTTACCTGATCCAAAGGCTACCTACCCAAGTTCTGGTTGTACTTATAGTTCTCCCATGTCCTCTTGTTGATAGGTGGAAATGATCACGTTCACATTATCAATGACTCTGACAAATTTCTGGTACATAGTCTCACCATCAAGTTTTTGTTCCAGTATTGCTCTATCAATCTTATTTATCATCACCACTGGCTTGATCTTCTCTTGCATGGCTTGTCTGAGTACTGTCTCTGTCTGCACACAGACTCCTTCCACACAGTCCACAACTACCAAGGCTCCGTCAGTCACTCTGAGAGCTGCTGTGACTTCAGAACTAAAGTCTACATGTCCTGGAGAGTCTATCAAATTGATCAAGAACTACTCCTTGACGTTGTTGTAGTTAATATCAAATTCATAGTACAATGATACTCCTGTAGACTTGATTGTTATCCCTCTTAATTGTTCATCCTCTCTTGTGTCAGTCATTCTCTTGTCTCCACTCTCTTTGGCTGACAAGATCCCAGCCTTACAGAGCAAAGAATCGGTTAGAGTTGACTTTCCGTGGTCGACATGAGCGATGACTGACATGTTTCTGATGTTCTATTGCTTATTCATGATCTCTCTTATTTGATCTACAGTGAAGTTAACCATTGTTTTTTATTTTTTATTTTAATTATTGAAAATTAAATGATCCTAAACTGCGCTATTTAAGCCAAAATTTTCTGGTTAATTCCGGTAAAAAGTAAATTCTTTACTAAATTTTTAAATGATGTTATTATAAATTAATAATAATTACAATTTTAATAGTCAATATTTTAAATATATATATAGTTAATTAAAATCATTCTAAATGCCATAGTGTTTAACTACTCCTTCCTAAATTATGTTAACTATAAATTTTAAACTAAATCGGAAATTCGGAAATTCTTCTCATTATGGAAATTAATCATACTTTTATCTCTTAAATCTAATTAAGAGTTTGCTATATGAAGTAGAAATAGCAACAACTTCTACCTATATTTCATTAATTATAATAGTCTCTTTTATTATAGCTCTATGTTTCTTGAAGTTCTTGATGTTCTTTGAAAATAATGGTCTGAACCCCTTTAGATTGTTCTTAACCCTTTTTAATTTATTAATTGGAAACTCTTACTTATATAATTTGTTTAGTTTATGTAAAATACCTTTTCTATTCTTTAATTTACATTAAATTAAAAATAAAAAATGAAGAAAGCAATCAAACAGAAAGTAAAGATGTTAGGGGCTTTGGAATTGGATCGACAGATTAAACGCAAATTGGAATCCACTAATTACTCAATATTATAGAATTTTGATGTATATCAACTCCCATATTGCAGTACTTTCGATCTCTTTTAGGAAGACCTCATAAACACTATGCTGATGTTGAGTAATTGAAGAAATTCTTATAGCACATACCATATCTCAAGGAAATCACTGAAGGCATGTCGATGAGATTGGTTGAGAAGATCATACATCAATTATCATTAAAATTCCTGCCTGCTAATAGTTAATGTGATTCTCAATTTCAGATAATGTTGAGTGGAGAAATCCAAATAGGCTAAAGAACATTTGTTTAGACTGACACTCTGAATGAAGTGGGGACAGTTATAAGAGATGCTTGGGTTTTGGTATTAAGTAACGAGGGATACAATGACCTCATTAGAGAATATCATGAGAATCTGTTGGCTTAGAAGTTACATCTGATTCAACAATATTCAGTATTCAGCAAAATCAGCATTCAGAGGTTGAAAAATCAATTGGATTAATTTAAATAAGAATAGGCTACCAACAACACAATACTATATTAAGAAAAACAACCAGCCGATTCATTCTATTTAATAGTTTAGGGGGAAATCAAACTGATACAAGAAGATATTGAATTATAATTGTTGGGACCTAAATGTGTTTTTGGAGAAATGGAATTGGTCGAGGGAAATGAACTCAGATTACACAAAGCCATTGTTACTCAACATACATCTTACTATAGAATAGGATATCATCAATTAAAAATACTCTTGAATTCAAGTTGCTTATATGAAACATTTTGTTAGAATTATCACATTAAAGCCTAATTTTGGAAGGCGAGAAAGTAACAATGCAAAAAAGAAGTAATTATACCCATTGACTACTCTGAATTCAAACATGAGATCCCTAAGACATATCATAACTACCTCTCTGCTTCCAAATTGCTAAAGTATGCAAAATAAAGCACTATTGTTACATAAGATGATCAATAAGAAACAAAAGAGGATAAAGTACTTGAATATTACAAATAATTCAATCATCAAATCAAATAAAATTTTAAAAACAACCATTTACTTAGAAAGGTATTAATTTAGGCTAAGTAAACTAATCATGACTTACCCATTATGAAGGGATTGCAATTAGAAAGATACTTACCCAAGAACCATTTCACTCATAAGAAGTCACTTAAAATTATTAATCAGTTCAATGAAACAAAACAATAAGGATTTGTATTAGATATAGAATCATATCCAACAACAACTACGTTTGTGAAGGGATCCAGATTATTTAGTGCTGCAACCAGATAACAATCTGCTGCTACCTGTAGGTTATAATCAGCAGCACCAAAGTTATTTACAAGTCCTTCGTAATTATAATCTTACAGGCCGATGACAGCAGTTTAAAGATCAAAAACAAATGAAGCTAAATGAATAAATCTAAGATTTTATATACTGAAAACACATCATATAATCAATTTTTATGTTTTTTTGTATTAACTTTTGTATTACTAACTTTTTTATTAACAATTTTAGATTGCTTTTTGATTTTTTTAGATTTGGTTTAATTGGTCTTGGTCTATTTTTGTGGATATTCCTTACTTGGTCTTAATTTGAAATCTAAATTATTGATGAAATTTACTATTCAATTTGGGAGTGACTTCAAACCCAAAGGATTTACACAATCTCATGGGATTCAATTTCAAGACATCATAATTCTGTTGATCTAATTTATGTTGATAAGTCTAGTATAAATTTGATATTGTACATAGACAAAATCTTTGTATGCCTTATCAGCTAGACAATTAAGATTATAGTTGCTAGAAACCAATTTCATAACTTCCTGAGTTGCGAATTATTCCTATTTATTCTTCTCCAACTTGCTTTCAGTACAATTAGGTATCTTCTCTTCTGGCAGAACAAAGACTAAGCCACTCTTCACTTCTGTCAAAGGGGGATCATAGTAAATTTACAATGATTGATTAGCTGGTTGTTAGTACGTCCTGAAATTAGTTTTTATTCCCATTAAGATAAAGAGCTCTTACAAAAACTATATGTTGTGAATTGACTTACATTGATTTAATTTTCAGAGAAGACTACGACAGTATTGGATTTAATTCTCTTCACGATACTTATCAATAGTTAAAGTCTTTCATCTTGCTCCACTAAAATGTAATTCATAAATTAAATTATAATTAAAATGTCTCTTATATTGAGTCAAATCAATAAGGATAATGTGAAAGTGGGCAAGGGTTGTTGTATAGCTTTGGGAGTGTAAATACTCTCAGAAGTAGGGGAAATCGTCATTGGAGATTACACGATTATAGAGGAAGGATGCATCATTAGAAATAATCATTTCAAGAAGATGGTCATAGGTTCTTATAATGTTTTTGAAATTGGATGCAAGGTTGAAAATTCTAATATTGGTGATTGTAATGTATTTGAAATGAGATGTACTACTATATCTAATCAAAGGTATGATTGAAAGTGGCTGTACAATCGAAAACAATTGTAGATTCGGTATTAATTCAAGAGTTCCACCCAAACAGAATTTTCCTAACTTCTCTAGGGTGTATTACCCTTTTAATGTCTTAAAAGTGCCACCCTACGATTCATCATAGCATAAAGAAGAAATCACAGAATTGTGTGCTGCATTATTTTAGATTGGATCAAAAAAATGATATTTACATATGTTTACTTAATCAAATTTAAATAAACATATTGTATTTCAAATCAACTCAGTAAAACTAAACTTAGATGATCATTTATAACTCTTTTTTTAATTTTGACATTCTCATAAGTGTGCTTGAAAGCTAGAATGAATGCTAATTAATTAGAATTATTCGATAATCTTATTAGTATTATTGTTTATTAAATATTATATGCTAAGCACTAAAAATGATTTTATTAGCAATATTAAAATCTTAATCTTTTTTTATCTTAACTTAATAATTTAACCTCCTATATTATTATTCTAAGTAATCAAGTATTTTTTAGGTTTGAAACTATAATTAATACATTTTATACTTCAAAATAAATATATAATTGAAATAATTCTTTTTGGAGTATTTAAAATATATATACAATTTTCATTAGAATTAATAAAAATACTAGCCAAATGTAATTAAAGCTTAACCTTTAGAATTATCATCCTATTCGTATCCATAATACTTACACAATTATTTATTTAGGAACACCTTCAATGTTTTGAAACATATGAAACTCTTGAATCTTGTTTGAAACTATTTTTAATTGTTAAATTAATCAGTTCTTATATTGTTTTTTATCTGGGTTTTATAATTTAACTATACCCTCATGATATTTCAATTGCCTCTTTTTTTGATGTGAAACATTCGTATAAGTTATAAACACAAATATATTTTCTAGATTTAATTGATATAGCATATATCGTAAATTATCTTTCTTCCATTTTAAAATTCAACTGATGAAGTCTAATTTATTAAGTAGTACTATTTAGAATATTTCATGTCACCGATATTTAATTGTGATAAATACTAGAAAGAGATCCGTCGTCAGACTCAAAAATAATTAAGGGTAGGTGTGAAAATATATATTTAAATTTTGTTAGACTTAATCCATATATATCAAAATATCAACATTCTTCTCTGTGTATGATTTTCATAATTATATCATCAATATTAGTTATAATGATTAATCGATAATAAGAGATTTCGTTTTAGTCTCTCTTGGAATCAGAGCCATCTATCTAATAGGTCAGATCTATCTAGATCTAGAGCAGCAAATACAAAACTTAAAGGAAGGTGAGTCAATTTGAGTCTGAAAGTTTGGATAGTGTAAAGAGTGTTTTCAATTCTGATTACGATCAAAAACCTATCTTCGAATCTTCATCTCGGATGAGCACAGCCAATACAATCCATAAGAAAAATAGAAGGGTGTATGGATTTTAGAATTCTCAAAATGTCAATTAGAAATTAGCTTAACGAAAAAGAATTCAGTCGTTTCGATTAGATGAAGATGTGTAAAGTTACGAGGAGGAGGAGAGTCTCCCTGAAAAACTGATGGATGTCGATCTCTACTTTAGACAAGATGCTATTGTTTCAGTCTAAAAAATTCTTGAAACAAAAAGAAAGCTTTCATGATCCAACTTTTCACATTTATCAATATTATTGTATATAAGTCTTTATGGTTTTCTTGATTCAGAATGCGATAGCATTTGATGGTCATAGGAATTAAAAGCTGATAATTAGAATTTTGGTATTTTGATACTGAACTCATTATTTGTTGTTTGATATCTCAATTTTTATAAACTCAATTATTTTTATAATAAGAATTTTCCAACATTTAATAGAACATTCGTATATATGATGTAACACACTCCCTAGTTCTCTCTTTAGACTAATTTTAACCAAATAAATGCCAATTAACTAAGTAGCATTTCATAAATCACTTATCTGATTATAAATTAAATAATTTAAATTTAAGTTAATATGTTAATAACACTTTACAACTAAAATATTTGATCACAAATCAATATAAGTATAAATCAATCAAATTTAGTTTATTCACAAAAATGGTTATATTTCTAAGCATGATATTGTTTCTACTATTAAACTTTGCAATTGATGCCATAGTAACAATCTTCTCTCATGAATATGGGTTCATCATACTTCATGCATTGAACATATTTAAATATAATGAAATTGATTAACTTCCTATGACATAACCAGCATATTGGCTAAATAGATATATATAAATAATTACTGAGTTTGGAGATATTTTCACACTAATTTCTTATAATGGATTATTAAAAGTAGCTTTGTTTTATTCAAAATAGAAATAGCCTTTGCTTATGTAATTTTCCATCATAAAGTTAAATATTGTAGTCTAAGGTCTTCCTCCAAGATGTTAGATTAATCTCTTATATTCAGCGGAGTTTACATATTGATACGGAATTACCATTTGATGCTATATATTTTTGACTAGCATAAATTTTTAAAGTGCAGCATTATTGCAGTCTCCATAATAAAATGCACAATGATATGCTTTACATATACAACATTACATCTGCAACACTTCATTGTCTGCCTCACCTAAATGTATTAATAATATACTTACTAGGATCTAATTTTGGCATTAACCTGGCACAGGAAGCACAACCTACATGTTATTGTAGGGGAGGACATTAAAAGTTCTTCCAAGTTTGTCCATTACAACTCTTGCATACTTTGTTTGGTTGCATGAATTATTGTTAAAATACATTCTATCCAAAACCTAGTTGGAAATTATTTTGATGAAAAAAGGGTGGCAATGCTTGGAAAGCATGATTATTTTGATGGTATTACAAAGGAAAAAGCTATTATTATTAAAATTATTAGTTCTATCTATTATCATCAAAGTTTTCATCATTACTTAAATACTCATCGTCCTCCTCATCATGAGAATAGTGTTCACCTTCCTCATCCTCATCCTCATCACTATTCAATTCCTATTAATTCTATATATTTTAGAGCAATTAGACTTTCTTCTCCTATTTATCGTAATTTAATTAGGCATTTAAATTGATATATTACTCGGGATTTTTATAAATGAGATTTTCCTCTTTCATCTTATTCAATAGCTATTCAGTCCTTTTTTCATGGGGATTAATCTTTAACCATTTCTCAACGAGATTGTTGATGGTTCTTGCCTACATTACTCCAGTTAGTTTAGCTCTGCAATTTGGACATTCGTATGTTTACTTTTTGAACCAATTAGATAAGCAAGAACCGCAGAAATGGTGATTACAAGGGTTTGCTGCAACAGCCTCAAACAAGTAATCATTGCAGATTGTACATTGTAATTCATCTTCTAAACCATCAATTTTTGGGACATGAATGGGTGATTGTTCTTTCCTTTTGGGTGGTTCATTAATAATTTCTGTGTCAACTATATTTTCAACTAATTTTGTGTCCAATAATTTCTCATTTTATACTTCTCTTTTTCCATCAGAAATTTATCGGTCTATTGATTCGATTGATATTTTGGAAGCCTGTTACTCATTGTTTGAGCACACAAAAAATTCAAAACCAATCACTTCATAGTCCTTAACCTTCTAAATGGGTAACAAATGAATCTTATCTCCATTTAAAATAGATACTGTGTTTCCTTTACCAATCTTTTTTTCATTGATATATGTTCCATTGCTAGATAAATCCGTCACCGTAAATTGGGAATCCTTGTATTCAATTGTCAAATGGATAGAACTTACCTTGATATCCGAAAACACTTTGTCATTCTTCTAATCTCTTCCTAATGTAAATATAGGTTTCGATATTTCAATCGATGGCGATGTACTAGGATTAAGAGAGAGTAGCTTTGCAAACATATCTAGAATAATTTAATTATAAACTATGAGGCATTAATAAATCAATTTGAAAATAGTCTTTCTAAACTTTAAAATCCTAATAAATCACAATAACTTCCCTCAATTCTTATAGGTTTCAATTTAATAAACTAGGAATTGCTGGATTGTTAATAAGAAAATTTAAACTTTGTTTTTCAATTCCATCTCTTTCTCATTGTTTCTAGCTCAAAAAATTAATCGATTTAAATCTTATACTATATATATTTACTCTTTAATTTAAGGATTCAATCTGAATTTATAAACAATCATTTAGGATTATTCAATTATGGAATAGGAAATGTTTCCAAATCATCTTAAATGTACTAGTATAAAAGTAATTAGAGAATTAATTAAATATTGTCAATCCTCACAAATTAAGATGTTTTATTTTCTTAGAATTATGCAATAATAAATAAATTGCCAATTAAGAAGTTATATTCAATTTGATTAAGAAATTGGATGAGATGAATTATAAGTTTACTTAGATTTGTTAACAAATACACTTGCTTTAGAGACTAAATGTATTTTCAAAATCATAAGTTAAAAATGAATTTAATTATAATGATAGAATATTTTGTTTAAATTTAATCTTTTGAAATAGCCAATTAATAGTAGTTATCCATGTAACATTATTAAGATCTTACAAATACCAAAAGACCTTTCATTTAGTATAGGCGATTATTAAAATATATTATATTGAGTAGTAATTTAAATAAACTAATATAATGCTAGTGCAGCCTCATCCAAACATTCAATAAGGTTCTTGCTCTCGATCGATGTCTATCTCAATGGATGATTCAATATACACATAAATCCAACCGATAGTCTAAAAAATGACTGTGGTCAATAAACATTAGCTACAAGTCAGAAAGCCATCTGATGTAGCCTAAGAAATGATCCGATCGCCTCTGACTACTAGTGTTACCCCTCAGATTGCATCAGACAGACAGCCATAGAGCGAGATGAAGGATTTGCTACTAATAAGGGAGGAACCAAGCAACAAAGAACACTCAGTCCAAATCAGTGATCGTTGTAAGAGGACTCATAGAACAAGAATGAAGAGCATAAGTTAATAAAGCATTTTGATTGATGAAAAGCCTTTGCATTCCTATAGCGATGTTTAATGGAGTGAATTGATGTCATTAAAAACTGTGAGTGCTCATTCCCCCTTGTAGCAACATCTTATATGTGATAAGGCAGCTGATATATATCAAAATAACTCAAGTGGGAGACGTTTCCAGCCTAAGAAACAAAATCGATATTATCATGCTAGCAATGCTGCGTATTGTTTCTATATTTGTTTCTTTATGAGCTAAATGTTGATTAATTTACATGAGAGTTTTTAAAAGCAAAATGCTTATTAGATATTATTAATAGTCTTTTAAGTGATCTACATTCTCAATCAAATTCTATTTGAATAGTATGATGATGGTGAAATCATTAACAACATGGAATAGTTAATACAAATGTATTTAAAAAGATAATCAATTTTTGATTTAATCACACTAATTCCAGTGATCTTCGCCTTATCATCAGAGCGTTGTCATTTCATCTAGCTAGTACACATAGTTCGTCTTTGGAAATTAAGATAATTAATGAAAGAGTTGGAATAACTCTATGGTAGAATTTTCAAGTACATTTATTATCTTATGGAATTCCACTTTGTCTAATTTATTGCTTTGTCTATACTCCAATATAATCAAGATAGGAGGATCAACTTTTATAATGAGTTCATTGTATTGATTTACAGGTCAGAGGACAGTAATGCAATAACGTATTTTATTCGAATGCTTACTCTGATTTATTACTGCTTTTGTGTTTTTAGATTGACTATCAGAGATGATGCAGAATTATTAAATAAATTGGAATTGCGATGCTGCACTAGGTAGTAAATAAACACTTACATGAATAAATTGAACTAATAAAAACCTGTTGATTTGAATTTCCTATCTCAATTACCTTAGACATTCGTGGATGATGTCAAATCTTAGCGTTATCTTCATCTGCTCTAAAACATGCCTATTTTTAAATCTTCTTTCTCAGAAAACACCTTGAAATAGATTTGCAGTTTGATATAAGAGTACACTTACATCCCAAATTAAGTTGTTTTAATGCAATAAACGTCTAATTAACATTTGTTCATGATATTATCAGGTGGTGTTTAGATCTCCTAAAGGAAGGAGGGTTCTTCTAATCAAGACTTTAAAATTAAAGTGCTTGGAAAGAATTCCTTTTTCAACAATCAGGCATTCTTCAAAAATGCATACTCCAATATCAATGCAACATCAATAGGATACTCTCAAATAGCTCAATTAGATTTGGATCAGTTTTTAGAATGTATAAAATCTCATTATTAGGAAAGATAAAAATATAAGATGATGGTTGATCAAATAGTACTGTATGAATTTTATAGTTTATGTTAATTGTGTTGTTATGCATGTGGCAAATTTCATGACATCGATGAATGTGATCATGTACATTATATTCCAAAAAAATCTAAATTGGTAGAATATATCTAATCAAATGACTTACAAATTCGTAGAAATTATTTAAGAAGAAGGAAAGGTAAACAGAAACAAAGAAGATTAAAATCGAACATTCTCAAAATAGAGGAGGCTGCTCTTCATTATTAACAATAGAACTTTGAGTCGGATATTACAGATGATAACAAAATATACTAAGATGAGGTGATCAGTATTCAATAGGCTTACATGGGAGAAATGAGCCATCGTTAAACAGAGAGATAGAATTCATTGTAATAATCTTAATAGACTCAAAGAAGAGGTTCATAATGCTCCATGCGTGAATCATTGCACTCTTTGTAATAGCAATAACAACAACCATAATAACAACAACATCAATTGATGGATATCCCAAACATTAGTCCAGTGTAGTATGTTCAATAACCACAAAGTGGAATGTCTCACAGTTCTTTTGGTTAATTGTTTAAAGATGTCTCAGTTAATCGGAAGAACATCAATGGATCTTCGGATAAAAATTCGAGTGGTAATGTGTTTTCCTTACCTTACAGCAGCAATGGCAGTAAGAACACTGTAAACAATATGATTTCGATATAAGAAAAGGATGAGCTATTTAATATTCAAATGAAACGACTCATGTTATAAGATAGTGTGTATTATCATCAGAAGCGAATACAGAATCAGGTGGATAATTGCAGTCAGAATACGCTATCAAAATATCAGAAGTATAACACAACCCAACCGTAATAGTAATAGTAATAAGCATAAGCAATACGTTCAGATAGAAAGTCCAATTCCTGTATCTCTGAATCAGAGATAGGGGATCATCAACTACTATAGCAATAAGACTTGCAACCATCCAGATATGGGATTCAATCGTCCAAGTTTACAGGAGAAACAGCTAAACAATTCCTGAAAAACCCGTTGGAAATGCCTAATCTAGAATTTCACCAGTCTTTTGAGAATAGTAGGTAATTCAGTGAATACTTTCCTCAATACAATGTGGATTACACCATATAGTGTTACAAAAATTATTAATAAGCTCGATCGAGTGCATATAAATGAATAAATTATTATGTTATTAATATGATATCCTGGTAATATTTTAAAGGAGTAAACAAAATGAGGAATCTGACATTTTATTCTAGTTTTTATTTTATTTCAATAAAACAAAATGAGCGCTCTCAAAGCAAAGGGGAGAAAAATCTTTGAAATTCCAATATGCACAATTTGTTTGGAACCAATGATAAAGGATCTGTGTGTTTTTACAGTGTGTGGACATGTGTTTCACTATAACTGTGGTGTAAATTGCCATTAAAATTCAAGAAAATGCCCTAATTGTCGTATGAGATCTACAGAAATACAGTCATTGCATTATGCGGTTGAGGAGATAACAGGTATTGACGAATAGATGAGCAAACTATTGAATGATTTGAGTGTTGATTAGAAATAACACATGTCGAAATTATTATCAGATCACGAAGAATTACTGCATGAAAATCGAAGAATAATGTAAAGAAATAAATTTGTTGAAGAAAAGAATGAATCCATATAGACTGAAGTGTAGCATATCTAAGCAGAACTAATGCGAAGTTTGGAGAAGAGTAAGGAATTGGAAATAAAAGAGAAATCTCAATGCAGTTAGTTGAAGACACTAGAAGTTTGTTTGCAATCACTTGAGGAGGATAATAAAAGATTGAAACAGGAAGTTGAAAATAATGAGATTCAATTGAAAGGATATCATTATTTGGAGACTCTATCTAAAGTAATTAACAACCCAAATGAGGATACGTATTTAAAATTAATTAGACAAAAGAGTCCAAGTGAGTAGGCAAAGCAGATTTATGATTTATATGTGATCAAAGTGGGACAATTCAAGACAGTTTAAAAGGAAGTGACTCAGTTATAAGAGTAACGAGAATAACAACAAAAGAAATACGAATAATTGCAGTAAAAGTACGAAAGAATGAAAGATTTGTATGAGGAACTTCAGAAGGAGAATATGTCCATCAAAGAGCTTTCTAGAACTCAAAATCAGAATCCTGTGTAGAAGATTATTGAACATTATGAGGATCAGAAGTAGGAGACTGAATTAAAGGAGGAAACCTGTGAGCATGTAAAAATTAGTATCATTTGGATGCTCTTAATTAAGGAAACAACCACTGAGTTAAAGTTTATTGAAAAAATGATATTAATTAATTTATGTCTTAATTACCTGAATTCAAGATTCCAAATGTCGTGGATCCTAAATTGTGGCCAAATCCTCGTACTATGACTCCACAGTAATTGCAAACATTCACATCGTTGGACATGGTCAAATTGAACTACACATTCAAAACTTTGAAGAAATCAGCACCATACATCGTTGGTGTGTTAGCAGGATGCTTTTTTACAAGTCTTATTGTTGATAAAGTTGTGAAAGTACACATTTTTGGTGAGAATGGTATTCTTTTTATGTTATCTGTAGGAAATGGTGGAACACTCTTGCAAATGAAGACATACAACAGCATTGGCGATTATACTTACAATAGATAATTCTAGAGAATGAGATATCTCACAGAAATGCCAGCAGGTACACTTTAGTTGTTCTATATATAGGCGATGATCCTCTTGTGAAGACCAGCGATTATTTATTACATGACTTAGGTGTTACAACTCAATAAGTTGGTGTTTAACATGGTATTGTCAAGAAAGTGCCACACGATAAGTATCTATTGTGAGTAATACGGCAAATATAATATATACAATAAATTAATTCAAAATATACTACAATTTATACATGTTTCAGAAGATTTCTCTTTGATTTCATTTGTTATTTCTTTCAAAACATTGATCCTCTGTTGTTCGCATAATTCATAGGTCTGTGATTTGTTTCTACCAAAATGTTCTATAAATGATATATAAATAGTGACTCACTTTCATTGGTTGATGAATTCCTTGAGTTTTCAAAATTAGTGGATTGTGACTCGAATTCCTCATATTAAATGAGTTTTTATTTCAAATTTTCAAGATTCTCGATCAGCTGATTCAAATTTTTGAACTACATAGAACTTTCACATTATTACATATTGTGTGATGATGATGATATTGTCATCAAGTAGCATTTCCTAATATGATTGATTAAGGATATCCAAGGAGTGACTATTTGCATTATTGGGATTGTTTTCTATCCTATTGAAATACTCATTGACATATTCCATCTCACTTTGGTAGATTTGCACCACTCTCATAATATCCAAATGCTCAAATTGATCATCATCCTTATTCTCCAGGTTTTGAGACTATATCTATTGAAATTTGGGATGGATTTCCTGATGTAACTTAAAACCGTCTTTGATGGATTGTTCCAATTTGGCAATGGAGCCCTTCAAGAGCATGAGATCAACTTGCTGGTCAAAGATGATTCGACTCTTCTTGATCTTGCTCTGTTGTCTCTTTGGACTATGAATGAGTTCTTCTTGACAGAGCAAATCATTGATGATCTTAGAAACAAGACGAAGCTAGGGGATGATTGCATAGAGATTCTTACCTCTGTGATCTTCTTAATCAAATAAGTCTTGTGCACCTAATTGGATTTCATTTGATCTAAGGTGGCAACCAATCCCGAGATGCACTTGATTTTGTCGCCATAATCCATAGTATCAAGCACTGATTCGATTGGTAAGTCTTATTTCATCTGCGATTTCAACAGTACGATTAATTATAAAATAAAAAAATCTTTGCTTCTCAAACATAACAAATTTTGAATATCACTCGTTTGGATATTAGTAAGAATCACTTGGTTTAAGTAAGTGATTTAATTTTATAATTAATATTAAATATGTTTATATGTTGTGCTAGCAACAAGAAGCCGAAAGTTGTGCAAACTTAAACATAAATACCTCCTTTGCAAGCTCAAACGAAACAACCTAAATATCAAATAAGAACCTCAAATGATCAAGATCAACATTCCACTAATTTAACCAACATGGAAGGAACAAATGATAAGATCAATCTCAGTTTGCAAGAAGTCGAGAAGTTCATTTTGCATGACAAGAAAACCTTGGAGCAAGAACGCGAATTAGTTACTAAATTGATTGAATTGCCTGAGAAGAGTCACCTCATCGAATTTAACTGGGCCATTGCATACACCAATTACATCAAAAATGCAGGATTACATCCAGGTGAGATTAGCAACAAAATCCTCTATGACAAATACAAAGCCAAAGAAGAATTGGTATTGGATAAGGATTACGTATTGGTCAATGATTAGGTCTGGAATGTGTTGGTGAACATCTACAAAGGAGGACCTATGATGACAATCAATGATTTGGATAGAAAAAGTGAAATCAATATCTTGGATCAATCACTTAAGGTATTTGCATCACCCTCAATGAATGATCTCGACATAAAACAAGCCAAAATTAGACACCTCAAATAAATGTCAATCAAGGAACTACAAATAGTTGGACTGGAGAATGAGATCTACTTTTGCTACCTGAATAGTGTCTTATAATGTCTGATGGGTATCCCATAATTAAATTCTTACTTTCTGATTTCCTCTTAATCTGAGTGCAAACTCTTTAGTTATGCCTATTCACTACTTTTAAGAAAGGCCTCCAAAGTGCATTACAAAGCACGCATAGTGGCCAAAGAGTTGATCAAAGTTCTACAGAAGCATTTCTCAATCTACGAAATGCATGATAGTTCTGAATTACTGCTCTTCATTTTGGATAAATTCAAAGAAGAAATATTCATTAATAATGCTCTTCAATTGAATCAACTTCAATAATGCCAATTCAAGTAATCTATCACATTTATTGACGAATTATTCCATGGACAACTCACTTCATTCATTAAATGTTCAGATTGCAATAAAATTAGTCAGCATCAAGATCCATTCTATGATTTAAGTCTACCACTAGTGGGTAAGAATTTCATGTAGCGAAAACTAACAATATAGGAATGTTTAAGTAACTATTTCAAAGAGGAAATGATTGATGGGGGTTGGACTTGCTCTTTTTGTAACCAGAAGTTTAGGACCATCAAACGGCGTGTTAAAATCTCGTTTGCACCTAACATCTTGGTTTTGCAATTAAAAAGATTCCAAGTCTACCCTTTGTAGAAAAAAATCAAAGAACCAGTCGTCGCTGATATGGAATTGAATATAAAGAAGTAGAATCATCATTTTATTGATTTAGTTTTTGTGTATCAGAGGTAGTTGATACCAAATATGAGTTGCACTCTATGATTGTGCATTCAGGCACTATAGATTAGGGTCATTATGTGGCTGTGGTCAAGCGGAATCAGAATGTATGTTTATCTTAATGATTTGTGAAGTTTTATCTCTTCAATGATGATGAAATTGAGCGTCTCTCCCTTAACCAAATCAATCGAATCGATTCTGCTTATCTATTCATGTATCATAGGAAAAGTGATTGATTAATTAACTTTTTTTATTATATTTTCTGTTGAAATTTGAATGAGTTCCAACACTCTCCTCACTTACCTCCAAAATCAAATCACCCAATTGACACTCAACATAGAACATATACAGAAAGACATTTCTCTACTTCACACCCAATTTGAACAGAAAATATTCACAGCCAAAAGAGAATGTACTATCATTTTTAACATAAATCATAGTAAATAGTAGAGATGACTCAAACCAAATTTCTATTGAACAAATCAAATAATAATTTGATTACACAATCAAAGCCTTAGAATTGAAGATGTTGCAAATTGATGAAAACAAAATGGATCAAAATGAAGCTTATTAAATGATGGAATCCAACAGAAAAACCATACAAGAAGATGTAGATCTACTCAAAAATGAAATGGCCTATTAAAAAAAGTATTTTGACGATCTCCTCAATGAAAAAATACGCCGTTTAGAAATCTCCACTCTGACTGAATAAGTACACTAATTCAAAGATCAGCTCAAACAATACTATTAAGAGGAATAGAGATAACTAAATGAACATCAAACACTTACCAAGTCTCTCCTTAATGCAAATAAAAAAGCATTCTTTCAAGAATTAGAAAGAATAGTTCAATAAGTGGACTCTATGAAAATAGAAATTCACGATTAACAATAATTATTTATTAAAAAACCTGAACTAGAAACTAAAATCAATTAGATTAATTTACAATTAGAATTAAAGTCAGATTTGATTGAAGTGTAGAATGCTCTAAATACATAATAAATCGATATTGCCTAAAGATTTTAAGAATTTAAAGATGAAGTCCGTACCGTTTTGGAATTACAAGGAAATGAATTTTATCAATTAATCAATAAGAAAGTATACATATTATCTTACAATAGGCAAATCACTCCGAAATCATCTCCCTCTTATAAAATAAAATAGATATGGAAGCACTTCTAATGCATACAGAAGACAAAGTTCCTCTCAAAGATTTTCATTAACATATGTCATTGATAGAAAATATAGCAGTTGATCTAGGAAAGAAACAAGATGCAACTACATTTGTAGAATACAAAGATGCCAATAATTTGTAAATTGCAGAAATGTAAAAGGATCTCCAAAAAAAATTATCTAAAAGAGACTTCAAAGATGTCCTTGACAAAAAAGCAAATCATGAGGATGTGTCTAAAGCCTTCAACGAAATTCAATAAATTTTATCATCTAAATTTAGTTATGAAGAGTTTAATAGATTCTAATTAAATCAAAACACTCTTAATGAATAATTATGTAGCCAAAATATAATAGGAAGATGGCTATTTAAAGGGAACTTTCTAAGTCCAGGAAGTCTAATCCCTTGGAATATATAGGCAATTAACACCCTGACTGAAAATTTCTTATGGGATAAAGATAAACCGAATATAATTGTGGTGGCTCCTGGTATCTATGAAATAACACTCGGATTCTTTGCTAAAAAAAAACCTAAAATTGATATTATGGTTAATGGAGAAACTATAATAAATGCTGTAAACAATAGTAGGTACCAATCATTTTTAATTTAGTTATGTAGTTCATCATTCATCTGGGAAATTAAAAGATACTAAGACTTCAGTTACCGGCCTAACAATGATTGATTTTATCTCTTTACCTTCTCGAGCAAGAATCAATATTGCTTACCAAGGAGATTTAGGAGAAGGCTTTTTAAGTTTACGCAAAGTATGAATAAGAAATAGAATGATGCTAATCGACTTTTATAATAATTTAATCCATAGTAAGTTTAAATTCTCTCTCTTATTAATCCATATTTTTAATTTAATACAGTATTTAGATAATAATTGTATGTATTTGTATTTTATGTTGAATAATTTATAACAACAGAATCTTTATAATCAAAGTTGAAATCAATGAGAAATTAATATATCTAATAAGATCAACTTAATAGTTAACTGTTGATGGATTTAGAATTATAGATAGTTTCAATGAAATTAAGTATTTAATCTTTATAATATCAATTAATTGATGATTTTGTAACAGCTTCGCTTGCTTTTTTCCCTGTAATCGTTCCAAGAGCAAAACCAAAGGCTGCTCCAATTTTACCTCCCAAACATCCTACAGCTGTAAATAAACCTTAAAAGAATAATTTAACCTTAGTTCTTCTTCTCATTTAAACATAATTAAAAGCTTAGTTATATTATTAAGCATTGTGCTATTGATTATTTTGCAGAGTTCCTTATTATTTATCTATTTCACTTATATTTTCATTATCTTTCTATAGTTGTTAATCTAATTCTCTTTATAGATTTTTAAGTTGTTCCATTTCTTCTGCTATTTTGAGCAATTCCTCCTCTTCTTCATCCTTTATTCTTTTTTGTACATATATTGTCTTTAATACCTAATTCATTTATTCTCTTTAATCAGTAAATTGAGCATTATCCTTAGAATTTAAAACATTTTAAATCAATCCCATAATCCCAGATATTTGACTATTCATTTCAATCCATTTTTTATCATTTTTATTTTTATTCTTCTCATAAATTCTCTAGAGTTCATTCCTAAGGATAATTAATTTTTCTTCAATCTCTTTTCTCTTATCTATAATCAATTAAGTTTTATAGTTATTTAACAATTCATTTACCTTCTAAACATCCTCTAAAGCCTCATACATAAATTTTAATTAATACTAATTTCAATTCCACTTCTGAAATATAATTATCCTCATATGTAAGCAAACGATTTTCCAACTCCACTAGTTTTTTCTTATATTGTCTTCTATCCAAAAAACTCAATTTGGTGATTGCCTCTTTAATAACGGTGAGCTATTTCCAGCCATGTCCTATTTAAATGCCTTTTAATCTCAAGTCCTACTCTATAAGAATATGAGCTAAAATCTTGTCCAAATTATCAATTGCCTCATCTAAGGAATTCATGAAAATTAATTCGGAATGAATGAATAAAAATTATAAAATAATATCGAAAATTAAATGAAGATTGTTGACTTATAATTACTTTTATAGAACTACTATAAATTATTCCATTTAAAACCAAATAATCATAAATATGGAACAATTCATAACTTTACAATTATATTAAATTTTCAATAATAAACTTAGAAGTTTAGGAGGAAATTATTGTAATATTCAAGGGAGATGTTAAAATATTGAAAAATTTAAAGATTTCTTCTTTTAAAATAAAAATATTTATGTCAAAAATATTGTGCTCAGAATTTTATTAATTAATGAAACCAAAAATATATAAAATTATCTCCTAATTGTTAACAAACTATGAAAATGAAATTCACATGCTTCAAAATGATTCAAAAAACGATAAATTTTTGAAAGCTATATTAATATAAATAAACTTTTGAAAACAATTATTAAACAAATTAATAAAACTATATAAACCAAATCATTGCAATCTAAGTAAAAGATATTTACAGTGCTTTTTCATTTATATAAGGAAATAGTAGTAATGAGGATAAAAATTAAATAAGATTATACTTATTATAAAAGTTTTTAATCGAAATATATTAACCAAAAATCTCAATACAAATCTGATGAATAGTAAGATTAGATCAATGAATGAATATTATCGGAAGAGCATAAAAGGTCGTTAGCTTATATCTTATTGAGAGATATTTTTAAATTGCAAATAATAGAAGAAGGAGGTTATTCTCGATTTAATCTTATGAATAAAAGCCCAAAATAAATGTTGACGATTTAGAAAATTGAAGGATGTAGAGTTTTCAATTAAAGTTAATGATAATAATATAGAAATTACAATTATTAATTTTGAATTTATTATAATTTTAATTTTTTATTATTTCTAATAGAATTAATAACACTAATTCGTAATCAATAACCTCCTCTCAATCTCAATACTAAGTGAATTGTGGATTCCTTTTGGATGTTATAATCTCCAAGTGTTCTTCCATCTTCTAATTATTTTCCTGCAAAAATTAGTCTTTATTAATCAGGTGGGATTCCTTCCTTGTCCTGGATTTTTGATTTAATCATATCAATTGTTTAGTCTGGCTCAACATCAAGAGTAATTGTCTTTCCACTAAGATTCTTTACAAAAATTTACATTCCACCTCTCAATCTCAAGACTAAGTGAAGAGTTGATTCCTTTTAGATGTTATAATCTTAAAGTGTTCTTCCATCCTCTAATTGCTTTCCTGCGAAAATGAGTCTTTATTAATCAGGTGGGATTCCTTCCTTGTCTTAAATTTTAGCTTTGACAGCATCAATAGTATCTTCTGACTTTACATCGAGAGTAATAGTTTTTCCGGTTAGGGTTTTTACAAAAATTTGAATCATTTCTAATTATTATTATATTTATCAGATCCTCAAACAGGTCTTATAAGAAATACAAAATTCTATTATCTAACTTCTAATATTCAAAAAATTATTTCTATTAGAACATAATAGAAAAACCAAGCTTTTATTTCGGATATGAACTATTAAAATTTAGAAAATATCATAAACTTCTTAATTTTTACTTTTTTAATTTATATTTTGGATCTAATAGACACCCTTTATTTTTTCACTGAGAAATTCTCTAATTTGTCTTTACAATATAACTAAATTATTAATTCCACTAATTTCTTTAAGGATTATCAAGTTAGACACTATTGAAGAGTCTAATTTTGAAAAACAAGAATAAAATATAGAAGTTTAGAAATTCTCCTTAAATTTTATTTTAAATCATTAAATCTACATTTATATTTCCAATCTTTAATTTCTTTTTTATTTTAAGTTATTATTCTTTACTTGATATTAAATTATTTATATTTTTTTCTTTTAATAATATTTATTATTATTATGAAAACTTGAAATACATAACTAATTTATGTAATTAAAATCAAATAGAGAGATTGATATTTCTATCTGAGAATAAGTAGAATTAATGATTAAAAATAACTTGTCATTTTTGATCGCACTTTAAACTTTGAAATAAGATTAATTAGACATGAATCGAGAGAATGAATTCAAAATATTATTTATCTAAACATAAAATGCAAGTGATGAAATATAAAAAATTAAGGAATTTTAAAATGAATTTTTCACAACTCATGGAGTTAAACTATTGAAAGTAGGAGGAGATAAATGCTAAAAGTGATTAATTATATAATTTAAATATACTTTTTGGTTAATTCTGATGTCGCAAGTAATGCTAGTTTTGGGTCCGAATAGAGTCGGAAAAAGCAGTTTAATCGATGCACTCACTTATGGGCAATTCCATAGGGAATTTTATCCATAAGATATACATTTCTAAGTGAAATTAGCAAAAGTAGCATAACACAGAGTTTATGAAGTATAATCAATAGAATGGGATGGAAAACCTTTGGGATTGGTTTAATACTATTCGAATGTTGCTGATTTAATATTGATAGTTGTTAATATTTGCGGCTGTTACGATTAAATGGACTAGGTTCATGATATATACTAGGCTTTACCAATTACAAATAATAAATAATAAATAGTATTAATCGGTAATTTAAATGGATAAAATAAAAGAAATGAAAAACTGTGTTAGAGTCTGAGTTTGTTTGCGAAATTAAATGATCTTAAACTTTATGAGTTAGATAGCACAAATATCATGAGTGTTTAAATGGAATTTCATTTTATTACTCAACCCTATTCATTGTTTGATGACATTTGGAATAGAAATTAAAATTATGTTACATAGTTTGTGTCCTAAGCTGTATCTTTATTCAATTGATATCTTATAATTTATACCAATATAATCATCATAAGATAAATCCTAAATTGAATAATATCGAATTCCCAACTCTTAATTTTGTGAATTATTAATAAATAACAATCCTTAAAATGTAATCATCCATAAGAATGGTTCCTATTTTTATACTATTTATTAGATATATAATTATTTTGATTTATATTTGGTACTCTTCTCAATAACTAAAATAATGTCAGAAATAAATAAATTAGTTCTGAGAATACTTTTGTTTATGATAATTATTTATTATTCTGAATTGAAGGATTTTATGGATAAGAAAGTAATCATTGCAAGATTTTAATTTAAAAATAATTAATAATTATATTAGATTAGGATTTATTAATAAATATCCTAATTAGTCCATAAATTCTGGTATTCAACAGATGCTTGTTTGTTTAAGAGTACTTATTTCTAACTTGAAGTAACATTATATAATAATTAAATTTTTAATTACTCTTACTAGTCAAGTATGAAATAGGGATTTAGTGTTGGTCAAAATGTACAATTTGAAATATTTTATATAGAAAGATAGGTTTGAATTAGTTAAAGAAAGATCAACTAAAAACTGTCAAATGTTCGAGCTTAGTCCTTTGTCTCCTCTTATTTCTTGAAAATAATTTTATTTCTTTTTACGAAACTTGACCATCAATGTCCTTAACTGTAACTACACTGTTGAAATGAACAGACTTTTTAAGACTGAAATCGTTTTTTAAATCATGATTCTTCTGACATTTTGGTCTTTAAGTATTAAGATTATATAAAAGATCATCAAATTTATCTTTATATTTTTTTTCTGATTTTGTATGTTCTGTATGCATTTCTTTTTTTGTTGTAAGACTAGATTCAGGGTAAAATCCCCATTGCTTGAGAATTTACTCTCCCATTTTACTCAATTGGGGCGATTTCTCTTTCACCGGACTAAGTTGCTAAGGAAGTAATAACGGTAAACTTGGAATGTGTGAGTGATGAACATTCAGTTTTAAATCTGGATGTTTGTTATGGGACTTAGGTTAATGAGTTTCTAAATGATATCTCATATACATCGTGAATTATAATAATAATAAATGATTCGTAAATTAAATTATCCTTTGTGTGTTAAATATTGAGACATGGATAAAACTATTTCATAATTTCAGCATCACAATATATCTGCAGTAATTGAGGAAAGCATGTAAAAAATATTGTGGTTTTTAATTAACAAAAAGAATTTATAATCACAGAATGATTGCTTAGGACTTAGAAATTCATAAGTTGAAGTGACTATATAATAAGTATTTGTGAATTATTTGTTGCCTTTTTTGAATTATTTATTTTATAATTTATTTGCTCAAAAGGGATGAGTGAAAAAAAGTTTTAAGAGTTAAGTGATAAAAGGCAAAGTCTTGAGAATGAACTAAAAGTCTTGGAGAAACAAATTTTTGATTTGGAGACAAAATATTTAGAAGAAACAGCTGCCACAGGAAATGTTATAAAAGGATGGGAAGGATATACGACAATAAAAAGTGGAAAACTAAATGGGAATGTTTCAAGGAAGACTAAAGCAAATGCTAATGATCGTATTTTTTCATAAAGCAGCAAAACATCTCCATTTGTAAGATTTATATTAATCCGAGTATTAAATTATAGAGACTGCAGTTGAAGAGCCCAAAAGTCCTAAGAGTCCATAATTTAGGCCTAGAAGAATAAAGAAAAAGAAGCACTATGGATACAAAAAAGAGTATATATGGGAGTTATGATAGTGATGTTGCAGAAAATTCATAGGGTAGTTCTTCAGAAGACTTTTAATAGGATTAGGTCAAAAAAGTTAAAGGGTCCAAGAAAATATGAAATAATATCTATTATTTATGTTATTTTTACATTATAGATTGCCAACATATTTTGGTATTCAAATTAATAATAGAATTCTGTATGAGAGACTATTGAATATATAAATTTGATTTGTTGATTCTATGTACATAAATTGAAAGTCAAGATGTTATGGTTAATTAAATAAAAATAATTATAAATATTCTTTGGAATACTACATGAATAATAATATAAAATCAAGTAGTATCAATATGGAATTTTAGAATCAATAATGATTCATTTAGAGAATAAATTCAAGTTCTGGATTACTTTTTAAGAAATTATTATGAATTAGATTATTTTGATATCAATAATAATTTCAATTACTTTAGCTTGCTCATCGAAATAATTAAGATGTGAAGACCTACTTGATTAGATTTCATGCGTGTCTGTTTCATCTCTAATGGCAACATGCTATTGGAACACAGAAACAAGTTAATGTGCAGTATTGAAAGCCAAATGCAATTATTATGATAATTAAGAAGAATGTAGGGGATAAGATGGGTGCGGTTGGAATGAAACTCATTGTGATAAATTGATGATGTAAAAGATAATCATATTATTTTAAAGAAAAAGGAAAGGAATTACATGTGATGAATTTAATTCATATGAATCATGTGTTAAAGTATACTCAACTACCTTATCATGTACTTGGGAACACAATAAATGTATACCAATATCTGAATGTAGTGAAATCAATGATTATATGTAATGCAGAAATGCAAAACTAAAAGACAGGTAATTATTTAATATATGCCTAGATGCCAATTGGTTATTAACGGTAAGGCATCCTCCATGCAAAAGCAATATTTTTATTTTGGAGATCTATTTGATGAATATGAATGTAGAGCATTGGATTGCAAATATAACTTAAATTCTTTATATTGTCCAAGCTTTGTGAACGGAAGAAGATGTTTCCATTATTTTGGTGAATGTACACAATGCTCTTATTTAACAAATAAAAACACTTGTTTAGAACCAAATCAATGCACTTGGGAAAATGGTGTTTGTAGAAATATATTGTATTTTATAATCAATACATTTTAGATGTTCAGATCTCAAAGGAAAAGATTAGTGTTTATCTAAACCATATTGTTAATTTAATGATGCCAATTTAAAATGTGACACAAGAACAGACAACAATTTATATTGCTATGCTAACAACATTACATCTGATCCAGTTAAATCAAAAAAAAAACAAGAGATATGAAAACTTATTGATTATTTTTTAGTTTTGTTAATCTATATATATTATATTCCAACCAATATTAAAGATAACAAAAAGTTTTATAAAAGAATTCTAATCCCTTTAACACATTAGAATTTAATATTATAAAGCAATAAATATGGTTATAGTTATGTAGTTGACATTGATTTTATATCATAATGCTTTTAGATATTTTGCAATCTATTTATTTAATATTCGCACCATTTTGCATAACTTTACATTTAGTAATAATCTTTTATAGGTTAACTTGTACCATTTGAACAAAATGCTTTTCTTTTTTCTTTTCTATATCTAAAATATTTTATTTATTGTAAATATGAGTCTTTTGTTATTCCATTGAATTTTCATTAAAGCATTACAAAGTTTTTTAGTTCTCAGAGTTGATTGTTTTTTGGTTTTTGGAATGGCTTTAAATTCATTAACACTGTTATTTTTTGGTGATTTAAACCCACTGCTAAAAGTAGGAGAGGAAATTAACGACTAACTCATTTTCTGATATTTGTATAATCTTATCCATTTAGATAAAGTCTTTATTAAAATTTTCTGATTGTGTTGAGTCTAAATTAGCCTCATTTTCTTTATTTCAATTTCAAGTTTTCGATGAATTTATGTAAATGCAAATTGGTGTAATTGCTTTCGTATTTTGTTAAAAGTGGCTTCTAATTAAACGAAAAATTCTTTTTTGTAAAGGGATTGTCTTTATTCTTTAACTTTGAAATAGGATATATGTGATGTTCTTGGAATTTAGCGAACAGGTGATTTTGATCTTGAACGTATAATTTGATTAAAATTCATATAAACACATAAATTTTGATTACTCAACAAAATGCCATCTATATCTTCTAAAATTTCAAGAATCCTAAATCATTGAATTCTAAGAGAAGCACTAAAATGGCTTAAATTCGTATTTACACTTTATCTTATTTTTCTAATAGTTATGACTAGAATAAAAATACTGATTTATATATAATGATCCTAAGGTTGCAATTAAGATGATACTTTGTAAAAATTATACTTGTAATCTGAGGGTACCATATGAATTTACAAAACTCTTAAATATATATCAACATTAATTTTTTTGAAGGATAGTTGAATTTCGATAGTTTTTTATGAATAACAGTATTGTTATTGGATTTTATAATAAATAAACATAGTAGTTTAGATAAATAAGTTTCTTTTTTCCAAAATTAATTGTGTTTTGCGTAACCAATTATCTTTTAATTTATGTAAGTAGTCTCTTTATTTACTTTTCTAAATAAAATATATTTAACCATTGATTTATTAGAGTATTCAATTTTATTCATTCTATTAGTTACAAGTATATTGATAATCATTTCAAGGTCTTCAGTAGATTATATGATTATATTTTTTTCTTGGACCATTTTTAATAAAATATAGTAAGAATTAAAATCTAACACCATTTATCAACTTATTATTCGTAAAATTAAATAGAAATAGACTTCGGAAACTCATAAGACATAAATAATATTTTTAGTTTATTACAATAATTACGAAAATACTCACTTATTTATTAATTATTATTCTTTTTATTAAGTCCAACTTAATGCAAATCTAATATTATTTCCTTAATGTAATTCTACTTTTTCATTGATATCTTAAAATGAATTTAGACTAGATTTTCTGCCAAGCATTGTTGTGTACATGCAATTTTTGGTTGAATTTTCAAGCATTCTTTTTACAAAGGAGACTTCCCCTCCTTCTACAAATGTTTCCTAAGTTTAAATAACTCTATTGTATTCTCTTTCTTCTTGATCATCATAAAATGGAGGATTACAAACTGTTACCATACCATCTTCTAAGAATTGAAATAGATCTCCAACTTTAAATTCACATTCTATGTGATTTGATTAGGCTATAGATCGAGCATGATTAATGGCTTATTCTGATGTATCGACTCCAATTCCTTTCCAACCGTATAATCTATATGCTAAGAAAATCAACACTCCTGAAAAGCCTGTTCCAACATCATATATTTTTGTGATGGGAAATTTGGATATATCAACTTATAGTTTGACCCATTCAATGTAATTTAGTCGGCATCCTAAAGCAGGAACCATCGAAGTTAAGGGGACTGTGAATTCTCTGATTCCAAAATAATAATCCATAATGGATTTGTTCAATTCATTTAGTGCATTTTGATTTTTGTAATCAATGATGGTCTCACCTTTGTTGCTGATTTGAATGTATTTTCTAAATTGAGGGTAGTGTTGAGCGAGAGTACGATTGTTAAATTTGTGTTTGAGTTTTTTAATTTACTTTTTTTAGATCATAGCGCACAAATGAAGTAGTATTTGTATTTAAATATTAAATTAAGCAAAGAATGTAGGTTGTAAATGTGTCTAATAAACAAATCAAGAACTTTAACTTGGACACCATTGTAAGAAATGTATGTTTATGTATTAGAATGCTGTCTATGACACACACATAAATTATGCAAAAACTAGATCAATCAACTGCAGTGACAATTTATTGGGATCAACAGATGGGTTCTCCTAATTCTAATGTCTTTACAACTTGGATCTGAGTCATAACCGTATAAATTAGTTCTTCCAATTGACTTCATCTTTGGTCGAAATCAATTTGGCTCACAATCTATTGGGAAGTGTGTTTGATGATTTTCAGAAATCTCTAAAATCATAAGGTACTCGTTTATATGTAGGTTCATTCTTATCGAATTTGAAGAACCTGAAAATAATCGATCTTAGTTATAATAACATATCATCAATCAGTTCCAACATATTTGATGGCAACACTCAACTTCGTAAAATCAACTTGAGCAACAACCAATTATCAGGTCCATTGTGGTGTTTTACCAAACTAGAAAATCTGGAGATGTAATACACTGTATATTATAATAGAATTGATGTTGGACATAATTAATTAAATATTAACGATTTAAAGCCTTTAGAGAAGTTAAAATTGGAGAGTTTAAATCTCAGATTTAACCCATTAGAAAACATGGATAAATGTGAAGAGAAACTGATCAAACTTCTACTCTACACTCGTAAGATAGAATTATCATACAATCAATTGGAACAATAAATAATAAATAATAATAATTCTAAACACAGTTCTAAATTAGATCACAGCGTAAACAGCAATGATTCTTTGCAATTGCAACCCACTGAGAGATCAACTGCAAGTCGCTTAAGCAAAGTGAGTAACAGACTTTCAAGACCTAAGACACCACAAAATACTAAAAATGAACCTTAATAAATTAATAGAACCCCTGTGAAGCATTAGAATCAATAGGAAGTTAAGAAATCAAAATGTGACTTGAAAAAGAATATCAGCATTACTCCAAAGAAAAACAATGGCAATAAGACACCCAAGTAGTAACAATAGGTTTGTCTGAAAACAGTTGATCAACATGAAGAACAGATTAAGCAGAGAGACTCCTATTAGTAATAGAAATCAACAACTAAAATACCATCTTTGAATTTACAAATGGTTAAAGTGACTCCATTTTAATTAAGTGAAGTTGGTTCTGAAAGGGAAGATTTTCCTATGTTATTTGAAGAGGATGATGAAAAGTAGTTGCTTGAAGAATTGAAGTTATTGGGGGAAGCTATAAAATAGAAGAAATAACATGAAATTAGCATTGAAAGACAAATTACAACTAATAAAAATATGATCTCATTAATGAAGATCATGATTAAAGGAAGTACTTTATTTTAATTATCCATAAGTTTACCTATACAATGTCAATGAGTATAATTAGGGTTTCGATGATGTTATGACTGAATTGCATAGAGAAATGGAATCAAAGAATCCAGAATTCAAAGATATCAAACTTAAACTGATGAGGTTCAACAAAGAACATTACGAATTAAATAAAATGTATTAAAGTTTAGAGTAATCTGAAAGAGTTGTTGATAATATTAAATAATAATTAATTTGAATTACTAAAATTATGGTTATAACAATCATCTCATCAATTTTATCTTAATTGACTCTAGAATTACTTAAGATTAAGTAGGTAGCATATTTTATTATTTGAATCCTGTTCAATAATAAGATTGCTGTGAACTTACAAACATTTTTTAGTCTAAATTAATATCATCTATAAATGATATTGAGTGTGAACTCCCTAAATAATATGTTTAAATAGAAATATATATAATAAATTTAGAGGCCAATTTTAGAATTATGATTAGTACATTTTATCTTTTAATTTCTTAAAATAATTTCTATAAATGAAATTATCAAGCATCTTCACCTTCATTAATTCATATATAATTCTGTATATACATAATTAGTCTATTCTATTTTAATCAATTATTTATATTATTATTTTATTAATGCAATAACATTAATCACAACCAGCATTCAATCCTAAACATTTATTTACAATGAAAAAGTATTTCAATGGATATGTACAATAAAACAGATTTTTCCACAAAAAAACTGAAAACAAATCAGAAAATGGAAATGATGTTTTTAAAGAAATATAGTAACTCCCTCAAATTGTATAAAGAATTGATAGAAGAATCGAGAATGTGAATTATAAATATAAAAGTGCTCCCATGATAGAAAAGAAGAAACAGAACTCACGTAAATTCTCTTTTCCAGTACTCAAGTATTCTCCAAGTGAGAATAAAATGTAATTGCAGAAGATAAAAGATTTGATAGAATAACACACCTCAAGAGTAATTGTTAAAGATGACATGCTTAAACATATGGTTGGTTATAGCAAGATTTCACAGATGATTATTTGATTATGAATCATAGATACTCTTATCTACTGTTTTCTATTTCTTTTTTCTTCCTCTTTCCTAAGATTCCTCCATACAAATATGATTGATGAGGATATTTCTGATTGGTACTCATAATTAGAAAAATTATAAAATTGTTGAAAAATAACCTACCTAATATGTGACTATGTATCTCTTAAATAGAAAGTCAATATATATGGACATTTATTATTCTAAAGTAATAATACCAAAAGGTTTAGGTTCTCTTATATATATATTAAATTAATAAAAATCATAATGTCTATATCAGAAAATAGAATTGATTAAAAATAATTAATAAAATGCAATAATATTATTATTAATATTTCTATTTATAATTAATTCACAAATTTAGAGAGATCTGTAATTCCTTTATTAATATTGATAATAATTTAAAATATGATCAATCAATTCTTGATCAGATCTATATTTACTTTAAAGTAATCTAAGCTATTAATTTCTAATATTTAATTAGACACAAGTAGATTTTGGAATCTGTTAAATATATTTTCTTTTATTAAAATTATTACATATATAATGTTTTCAGAAATAATACCTTCATTAATGGAATATTCTCAACATCTGGATCGTACGATTAAGGAATTGCAACAATAGATCTTGTAAATGGAAACAATTACTAATAAAACCAATTCACATAAAAGACCTCTTGAAATGAAATATATGTAACACAAATCCTCACTTCCATCTACTCTCCCTGAAATTAATAATGATATTGACAAAATTCTTTAGACAGCTGAATAATTTTTATCCGATCCCAACAAGACATAAATCGAACCTAAAAAATAAGAAAAGCAAGATTTTGAATAACCAAAAAGAAAATTAGAATCCTTCAAATAGACAAGCAACAAAAAGTAAATTCTCTCTCGGAAAGTGAGTCAAAAAAAGTTATCGCCTTCCAAAGTTTCGATGCATAAAAGATCTGGATCGTTGTACAAATAGGAAGTGACCCCAAAAGTTACTTAAGTTTAACCCAAGTTTCCTGTGTAATAGAGAGATTCAACAAAATCATTCAAGGATCAAAGCAGATTAATCAAGCAATCACCCACTAAATCAATTCATGAGAAAAATTCAATTCTTATTGAAGATCAGAGCAAAGCCAAACCACCTATTCCTACAGTCCAGCCAGTTCGTAAATAGCCATCATAGCCTTATTTATAATTGCAACCCATTTCATAATAATAGCAATAACAATAAAATTTGAATTCTTCATACTAATAATAATAAAATACTAGCAAGATGGAGAATAACTAACAATAGCAATAAAATGCATTAAAGAAATTCGATTTCAATGGGTACAAGGAATTGAGCAGATTGAAACGAATGAAAGATGCCATTTTTGTTGAATATCAATAAAGTTACACATATTTCAGAGATAAGGAATAAAAGTCAAGAGCTCGATTCCTCACTAAATTCCATCAACATATGAATGAGAGAAAGAAATTGTTATAATAATCTGCTTATGGAGATAGACAAACCTTTTTCTTCCTTAGCGATCAAATCCACCCATAATTCTTTTCATTCATAGAAGAACAATTAACCATTGGACAGCCAAAGACACTCCTAATCCTCAAATATTGCGAGTAAATCTAAAAAACTATTGATTCAATTGAAGTAAGTCTCTATTCACTATTTTCAGTTTGATGACGAATTACTAAAGAATCTTAAACGAGCCAATAAATAAAATATTTCTAAGATATCCTTAACAGAATTAATTGAAGTCTTTAAATTATGGAGTCAAGTCTAAATCATTCGACAAAATTATCAATAACTCACATAATTTATATAGCCAATTCCAGAATTAACATACGATTTGATTTAATGGATTTGTTTACGTCCTAAGAGTACCAAGAAAGACACAGTCTAAATGCAATTGAATCAAAAGATTATTCGTCATAATCAATATGCCTCAACTTAGGAGGAGGCTCTTGAAATTAACAAACTCATTATAAAAGAAGAGATCTTTCGATTTCTGTGGGATATCATCCAAAAATTAGTATTCTCATAATAACAACTTGACACTTCAATGGGTCTATTCAAATCCATTCTCAAATTCCTTACTAAAAACAACTGTAGTATCTATGTGTATAAGAAATCAGATTTATTTATTTGACATTAATATAAAATGCATAATTAATTACTAACTAATAGATCGAATATCAAATCTGATCGCATTTCCAAGATCTTATCAGCCTACACTGTTGAGAATGACAAGAATAACTAGTAGAGTTTTAGAATGCTAAGTTAGAAAATCAAGAAGAAAGTACAAATTTGAGATATAAAAAGATAGGAAATCAAATTAGCGATCATCAAACTCTCTATCCCAAACCAGAAATCAAAGACACTAAAATCGAAATCTCTAAATATTTTAGCGATCACAAAACTACCCAAATCTAAATCAGTGTTAAAGACTTACTCATGCATAAAAGTTAGATGAAAAAGTCTTAATCCAAAAAATCCAGAGATTCTAATCAGCGCTAAAATGAAATCATAGACAAATTGAATAAGACATAAAATGAAATCTATAAGAATTACATAGCCAAAAGAGATACTAATGGATCAAAAACCTATAGAGACTCAAGTAATTTCAGTCTCTCTACTTAGGGGATTTGGATATCCGTATCAAGTTGAATGACAAAAGTACTTAATCTCAACAAGCCTTACTCCAAACATTAATCAATAAGAGCAACGAAAAAAAATCAGTTGAACCAAGAGATTCCCCAGATTAATGTCGTACCCCACAACATAATATGCTTCAATCTACAATCCAAAATAGCCTACTCATACGCTCAGGAAGCCAAGGAAACGTTGCTTGTACCTCGAAAATAACCTCTAAAATGCAAGACCCAAAACTAAATAAAATAAGGAACTATCTTGAATAAGCTAAAACTCATCGACCTATAACTGATTCCTATAAATTGAGTTAAGAAATTGATAAGGTCAAAAAAAATAAGTTGGTCTCAGTTGAAAGAGAAAAGCTATTATAAATCTTGAAAATAGCACATCGAGCTAAATCTAAAATAGATCAATTTAATGCTTATCTAAAATAATAAGAAAAAATTTCATCTGGAATTTAGAGCTTTATATTGAATGAATGTATCTATTCTATTTATTTTAGTATCATCTGAAAATAGTATTGAATCAATCTTATCTTTAGAATGAATATTTTATATTTATTAAAAATCATAGATATAAATACTAAATTTCTTCAAAATCTGCGAATCAAGAAAATCAAACTTAGCATTAAAATTAAACTATGATTCTGAAATTATTGGCAGCAAATCTTAAGAATATTTAATTTTAGTCTAATTTGGTAGTTAAAATTATATTTCATTTTCTACTTGCAAATCTCAATATTATAAATTTCTTTGTTATTCTTTATAGAAATTAATATATTTAGAATATATAATGTCAATATGATCTGAGAATCTATATCATTAAGTCTTAATTTCAAAAATAAATATTAAAGAATTATTTAATGTTATAATAAGATGATAAACCTAAATTTACTTATCAAGTTCTATCTTCTCAAAAAACAAATATCTATGGTTTTTAATTAGCATTTATATGTGAAGAATCCAACTTATTTGGTTTTACTGAATAAGAAACCATTAGGATATAGGAATTTGATCTAAACTTCATGGATTAAAAATATAAGCAATACACTTACCTCTCCTATAAATTGGAGGGTCATACCAATCAAATCTATATCTTAGAATATAATGCAAGACTTAAGCTAATAGTCTCTGCAAATCTAGATGAAATGATTTTGTGGCAAAAAGACATTGATAAACAATGGAAAATTAAATAAAGAGTTATGATCTCAATTATTAATCGATTATTAGTTATAAGCGATAAATTAAACTAAATTATTTTTTGCCAGAGTAGAATTATCGAAGTCTTCTAAAACTAAGAAAAATAAAATATTTGTTTTTCTTAAACTTAACTAATATCCAATTAGGGAAATTAAATGAAATCTCTCAAACTAAATGAATAATAGGATTTATTGATTGTCTATAATTACAATTTTGAAATTGTTATTTTTAAAGTCCATCAATAGAAATGGTAAAAAGTACAGCGCCTAAGAAATATAAGAGATAGTATTTTTGTTGGATTTAAATATCTATTTTATATTGAGAATTTACCAAAAAATCTAAATAATATATATTAAATATTTGGACTCAATACGGACAACTAATTATTCGAAAGAATTAATTAGGTTAAAATTTAGGAATAAGAATTGAATTAGGATGAGTCATCATTTTTTATACCTTATTAAACAACTGAATGTTGTAGAGTATATCATTCATCTTCAAGGGGTGCTATCTCCTATAGAAGTAAAATATCGGGTTTTGAAAGAGTAATGGCAATATCATAAAATGGATTGTTTATTGTAAGACTTGATTTTTAAACAAAAACAATAAAAATATTTATGAATAATTAAAATGAATGAATTTATTTATTTTTATCTATGTTCACATTATTAATTATTTATTTTTACCAAGTTGAATAATTATAATAATAAATATTTTATTAATGATTATATTACCAAATTTTGGTAAATTCCTCAAATATGTCTTCTAAACTACTATGCAAAACAAAAAAATTCATTAAAAGATATATTGGATTAAGATCCATATTCCTCAGACTATTAGCTATTAATCTATATAAAATTATTCTTCCCACGATTGTGAGTGGTTCTGCAATCAATTATGATATTATTTTATTCCCTAAAAATATTGGAGCAACTACATGTAATTCTAATTGAATTTTAATCTTAAAATAAAATAAACATACTTCCTTAATGAAAAATAAATAGGGTAAAATTTTGGGTCATCATTAACATGATAATAAGAAATTGGCTAATCTATATTTTGCTTCAATATCTTATAAGCAATTCTCAATATTAAAATGATCAGAGGGTTCAAAAAATGAACACATAAATGAAAGTTATATTAATATTTAAAAACTAGCATTAAAAAAATACTAAGGTCAATTATAAACTGAATTATGATAGTATCTCTAAAATCCTATTACTAAGCGATAATAGAATATTGAAATGTTTTAATGTATTTACTAAAATAAAATTGAATTTTACTTTTAATTTTCTTTGTACACATTCAAATTACCTTTAAGCAGAAGATTTTTTTTATTTATACTTCTGGTTGGCTTAGGTTACTTAGTGTAGTTACCAACCTCTCTTCTTATTTGCTTTAAGCTTCTTTAGTTAAAAAATGTAAGTGGCTATATAGAGTAATAACAAAGAACTTGTACCAAATATTAAATCCAAACAAGATTTAAATTTATTAATTAGTATTGTTTACATTCACTATGAAAATATGGCCAAAACTTATCAATTTCACAAGTTATATCAATAAAATTGTTATTTTGAATGTTACTTTAATTATAAGAATAAGATATGTTAGAGTTAGTCTACAGTACACATAGAATTTGGTATTCTGATAAGATTTATGTAGGATTCTTACAAACTTGAAAGGTACCAAAGCTTGTGCTATAATAAGATGAAAAATTTTCACATGAGGAAAATCTATTAAGTAAGTTTTCATTTAGATATGGTAGTAATTTTCTGAGAATATTTGTAGGGTTTGGACATTAAATTCACTTTAGAGTTTATATTACAAATTTTAAAGGATTTGTTTGAAATTAAATAGATTGATATTAGATAAAATCTATCGAGTAATCTTCTTTAGTTGGTTCTGTATTAAACTATTGGTTGAATAATGATTTTATTCTTTTTTGTTCCAGCATAATCTCATTTCCTCTAAGAACTAAAGTTTTTCGTTTACTTTAACAATATTTTAAAAAGGTAAGAAAGTGTTTTAATTGTTGGCTAATTTGAGAGTTCAGATAGTTGAAAGCAAAGGAAATGATGAATCCATTGAGAAATAACAAGTAAACAAATGTTAGGAAATACAAAGAAGAGTTTTAAATCCAACAGCGATGACATGCAAGCTCATCTAACATACCAAGATGGCCGTATAGAAAATCTAGTAAGAAGCGACCTATCATTACAAAGTAAGTGCTTAAAACTATTAGAAGATGCACTAAGTAGATATAACCATGATCCAAAAAGATATTCTAACATTTTTTTAAGATGTATAAAGTTTTACCAGCAAATTAAAAAAATAAATATAAAACATTGTTTTTAATGAAAAATAAGATTAATTTATTCATTATGTTAATAAATTATTATAAATACTAAATTTTTCTTTTAAGTGTTTAGCGATGGATCAAGAGTCTCTTAACGCATCTTTTACAACGCAGGCAGAATAGATGGAAGACAATAACCTTCTATATGAAAATTTCACTCGAATCTCTCCTTCGTTAAATGCTGCTTTTGCCTATTGTTTATCATATTATAGAATGTTTTCAAACAATCGCCAAATTGTTTTAGAAAAATGGATAGAAACAAAAGAAATAATGGATTTTGCAAATGTTTTTAGAAAATTAACTTTTATATATTTAGAATGCGTACATTTACTCTTTGACGCCCATAAATTTGTTAATACGGCAGCTTATGCTTGGTATGTTCATAATTTTTAGCACTCCCCTAATTATGTTAATTATGCTATTGAGCTGCCTAAAATTTAAGCATCAGATTCTAGAAGAGGAGGTTGATTGGTATATCGAAAATATCACAAAAGAAATAGAAAGGACTGCAAAAGAACACTGCCCTTCTTTTTTTCAACCTGTTGCAGAGCAAGCTCCACTTGAAGTCCGCCATACTCATGCTGTCATTAACCATTCATTAGAACAGTTAGAATCTATTGCAGCAAAAATTACCCCTGCCAACGCCAAAGACTACACAAAAGAGACTGAACGCTATACATGGTGTTTAACAGGGATGGTCCCTTTACTCCCAGACCAAGAGCAAGACCCTTTTAAACAAAATGGCATTCATCAACGCTGGTAGAAAGCACGCAAAAAGATTCAACAGATCGTCCTTTGATATTTTTTAGCACCCTATACTACCTATTTGTATTGTCAACAATTATGAAGAAGTAGTATTTTTTTTAAGTATTACATATATATTTTTATCGCTTTTCACATATTTTGCAAGAATAATCCCTTTTTGTTGATAAAATTAGGATCAAAATATATCTCTTTAAGAGACAGGTCAATACCAATAAAAGAATTCCGAAGAAGAAAACAGTTGGAAAGATTTATCTGAAAGTCTTTCAAAATTAGCACATAGTATGAAATTAAATTGTTTTTTCGACGAATCGATTATCAATAATTGTAAAAACCTGTTAACATTTCTAAAAACAGATCTTTTAGAAATTATTAGATATTCTACAATAGAACAGAAGGGAACTTTAGCACCAATATATGGACAAGTAATATCTATTTTTTCATATTTTTTGTAAATTTGATAATTAAATCTCTGATAACTAAATAGGATTGTTTTTACTAAAAAAAACAAAAGCATTTTCATTATATTAATTATTTCTTTGAAACGATTCATCTATATCTGATGTATTTCTGACCTACACTCCAAGCTTATTGTACTCATTCATTTTAATTATTCAAAGAATTATAGATCTTTATAAACAGCAATCAAACTTTAAGTTCAATTCACTCATAAGAACCTCAATTTATTAAAGGAGTATTTGACAAATCCGAAGAAATTCGAATAATCATTTGACTTCAACACCACAAATGTATGATATTCAAAATCATTTATTGGAGTTTATGAAAATTAAAACAACTATAATTATAGATTATCAACTTTTATGTATGTATAGAATTCTTGTATTGCATCATAGAAAAATCATAGAAGATGGTTCTCATTCAACAGTTTATCTCTTGGTTGGATGTATAAAGCATTATGGGAAGAGCAAATAAATGGTCTTTAATTAAAATAAGAAAGGATTGCGTAATGCAAAAATTAGACTCTTGTTTTCGTGTGGCTATGATTATGAATAGAAATGGTAGATAGACAATAAAAAGAAAATAGATGCGTATTGAAGGGCATAGAAGAGGATCTAGTCTTACATTTAAAATTACATTGTTAACATTAAAGCTATGTATCTTAATCAAAATAGCCATCCTTTCAGTTGCATTACTCAGATAGAGATTGAGATATGAATTTACCTAAAATATACAACTTAAACATTATTCACTTAGGTTATAGAAGTATAAAATTTGATATGACATTCTATTACAATAAATCTTAAAATTTTACTTTAACAAATCCTACCTTGATCTTAATAGAAACCAGTAATACAAGGACATTAAGAATTACTGATTAATCAATTCGTTTTGTATTTGTATCACAAGAAACAAGTCCAACAGGATCTTTCAAAGTTATCGCAATTTTAATTCATTAGATTTTCATAATATCTAGCTATACAATCACAAGTATTCCCAGAATTGAATTATCTAAAATTATCAGTTGAATATCTTGAACGGTAATTGGAATTAGCACAAGTCGAAAAAGATGTATTACATAATTTACTCTGTTTATCAACACTTGATTCATACATTCCATCAATACAAATACAGTCATTATTCTTCACAATTCGAAATTAACCACAAGATGGACATTTGTCAATAGACTAATTACAAGTTTATAACTTGAAGAACATTACTCACAGACTCTATTAATTTTAAGATAACTCAATGATTATTCACATGTTTTAGTTTTGAGTTGAGCTCCCTAAGTTCATTAGCATTACATTAAGTACGATTATTTTATTAGATTTGCATGTAAGACAATTTGAATTGCATTTAGAACAAATTTTTAAACCAATTTCATTATAGCCCTATTAACATTTACAATTGGTTTCTATTTTTTGTTTATGGATATGATAAGTATTAATACAATAATCCAACAAAACTTAGACACTACACATCACATTTTTAGCAAGATATTGAATGACCATCATCGTAATAACCAAATAAACATTTACAAGTATTACTATAAAAGACTCTATTTTAATTACTCATAGCAACACATGAAATGCAGGAATTAGAAGCTCCCTAGTTACAACTTAAACATGAATAGTGGTATTTTGACAATTTTCAATCCCATTATCATAATATCCAATATCACAATCACAAGATAAGTTTTGATCATTATAAATTATATTTGACTCACATAAACGTAGTTCACATTTGGTATTAAATTTGCTACATCTAAGACATGAGTAATGGCATTCTAAAATTATAGAAATTACTAATACCTTAACAAACTTCATTTTATCCATCATCATAATATCTTCAAATGCATTAGCATCTATTAAAACTTGATATAAATGATCTAAAACTATTACAACTAATGAAGAAAACCTTTATTTGTAATATGTTTTAATTGTTTGATTTATTAATAACAAAACATCTGTATCCAAACAAGAAATACAGCTTTCAGGTAGCCTATTGCGTTCATTAAAATTTGTAACTGCATTCTATTGATTAAAGTCTAATAATACTCTAACAAAAAGGTAATTTTGCATCAAAATTTACTATTTTACAAATAAAAGCATTTCCTACTTAGTATCTAATATCAGAATCTATAAATGTAGGCAATTTCCTTCATCAATTCCTCCGTATGTTCGACAAGAAAGATGACATTCTAATGATGATTTTTATTATATACTTTCACATTTAACCAACCATTATAATGAAATTTACTTATTGCAGCTCCATCAAATTTAGCAATACATCTACAATATCTACATGTTTTATCATAAATTAATAATAATCTATATTTCCAACTAATTATATGTCACTGTTGCATGAAGTACAATTATCAAAACTATTAATAAATTCATAACAGAATATGCACTATAAACTAGATTTTGCATCTAAAATTACTTGTGCATTCCTAAACTTCCATTTCAAAATAATGTGGTTTACATATGCATTCATTTTCTTTAGTTCTCTATTTGCAATAAAATCACATGAGACACAATTATTATCATCCTAACCATAACAATTTTGCATTTGAAATGACATTCTATTATTAAAATATAGATTACTTAAAGAAGTTTTTCATTTACTTTGTCAAAGTATTCACCTGGACAATAACAACCCATGATTGGACCAAGAATGCGAAAGGAATTTAATAGACAACTTAAAAAATTTTCTGCATAAGTTCGAAAAGTTTAATATTTATATGAACATTCTAATAGATCATGAATAATAAATAGTTACTTTTACACTAATCAACTCCTAGTTCGTCCTAATATCCATCCATGCATTTACATGTATTGCCTTTTTACCGCCTAAAATGAAGATCTAAAGAACAAACTACACAATATTAACAAGAATAGTGGAATTCGACGGATATTGATAATAATTACTTGCACATTCTAATTATCCAATATCATAATACCCAATTGTACAAACATAATAAGATAATAACTATTGTCTATAGGTTGAATCAAATGTTAGGCAATTAGATGAATAAGGACCATAGTAAGTTTAAAAAGTGCAATCGCATTATTGAGAATTCAATGCCCATCATCAAATAGTTTAAGGATGAACATACGCATTCAAATTAAGTAGCTAATCGATCAATTGGTTACCTACTTTCAGTGAATTGTAAGCATGTATCTTTTCAATGCTGTTTGAATAATGGTATCCTATTAATTAGATTTTATTTATTATTACTTAATTACTATATCATCTGTTTAATCATCAAATATGAGGTTTTACATAAGCATTCTCCTTAAGATGTCAAGTATCTATGAGACCTTTCCAAACAAAATGTACAATGATGGGGTCCAAAATCATTCCAGACCCAACATGTATATTCAAACACTCTATATTTAATTTATAGTAAGATACATATGCATATTTTTGAAGTGATAAATTAAATATATCCTATTTTAAATTGGAGTAAAAACAATTCGCCAAAAAATAGAATAAATTCGTTATTCATAAATTATTGTTTATTTTATTAGCATCAAATGATGAACACTTATTATAAATGATTCTACTTTCTAAATGAATAAATGACAAAGCTATGCTACCTGTCTTAAAATAGTTTGAAGTATTATTTATCTATAAATATATCAAATAACTCTATATGTATAATATATTAATTAAATATTAAATTTATATATGGAAAAACTAAATTGTCACTTATCCTAATTATTTAACTTTTGATTTAATTTGAAAGCTTTAATAAACCTTATTGAATTTTACTTTAAATACCAATGAAGCTCTAGGGTATTATTACTTGAATCCCGATATTAGAATATAGAAAACCTAAATATTAAAATTATTTCTTTGAATAAATATAATAATAAATTTTATTATTTTTTTTTTATTATATTTTTTAATTCTAAACTAATAAGCACAATGAAAAATGCCTGAAATGATATGCTGGGGTCATCCATAACAAGAACAAAAATGGCCTAATATGCAACAATTTTTTTAATATATATCTTTTAAAGAATTTGTAAAAAATTCTCACTGTAAAATGATTAATAAATTCGGAATTACAAAAACAAAAATTAATGAATAGAATTAAATTACTTGAAAATTTAATTCAAGAATCATTAAGTAAATTAGAACCTTTTAAATTGTACCCACCATGAGCTGACCATTCATCTCTTTAAGGAATTCCTGCTCCCTATTGTCATCTAGAAGGGCATAAATATTGAGTAATTATTGCTGCAATTTGTAACTCTCTAGTAAATTATTATTATTTTATCAATAACTCTAGTTCTTAGAAACACATTAATGTTGATGCATCTCAGGAATTGATAGATATATAATTCTGGATATAAATTTCAATAGACTGTAAATTTAGAACAGTTATTGTAATTTATTATAAAAATTATATATTATTAATTTATGCTGATATAAAAATTTAATTGACGCTATTATGACAAAATTAAATCAAGTTTTATTCTTAATCTCTGTCAATTTCTATCAAAATTTCTATATTCAAGAATAAATTGAATTTAAAGAGACAACAGCCGAAACAATTTATAAAAATTAAAACTAAATAGTAAATAAATAGATATAAAGTAATAATTATAATATTATTCATTTTTTTTTAAAGTGGTCTATTAGATTTTTGCATTTATGAATTAATTTGATTAAAAGTTCTTTTATTAAAAAGAGTAGTTACAATCCAATAGATAGATAGATACATGCAGTAATGACCCATCCTAAATTATATATGAATTAATCATTAAACATAACAAAACTATCTTAAAATGCTAAAACAATAGTAATTCCAACAATAATTAGAACACCAAGATCAGGTATTAAATTTAAAAAGTATTATTATTTAGTTTCAAATGGATTATCTTATAGTAATAGGAATATATTCAATACACAAGATAAGAAACAAATTGTTGTTTGATAAATTGGAGTTGAATATAATAATACTGTTGAAATAATAAAGATTGTTTTTCTGATTAAATTAACAAATGAATAGCTCATAGCCATTCTTTGATCAGTTTTCAATTCTTCATAAAAACAACTATATCTATCATTAAAATGTTTATAATTCAATTGATTTTTATGAGTTATTGAAATCCTATATGTAAAATATAATAGATATCCTAATATCATTATACTTACATAAGCAAAAATTATATTTACTTTTACTACTATATATTCTGATGTTTATTAATTTGTTATCTATAATGTTATTGCTAAACATAAATCAAGAAAACTTAATTATACTGTCTTTAATAAATTTGCTATAAAACATTCATCACATTAAACACTATTTTTATATATTTATTACAAATATTAAGGAATATTTTAAAATTATTATTAATTAACCATCTAATCCTATTATTATTATTATTATTATTATTATTCTTATTATTCTTATTATTCTTATTATTCTTATTATTCTTATTATTATTCATATTATTCTTATTATTCTTATTATTCTTATTATTATTCATATTATTCTTATTATTCTTATTATTCTTATTATTATTCATATTATTCTTATTATTATTGTTATACCTTAATATTAACCTCAATTTGAAAAGCTTATTATTCTTAATCAAGTTGCTAATTTTATTAATATATATCCTATTATTTTAATACTTAGAATGATGGTTTATTAAGTTAAAAAAATGACTGTTATGATTTTATTATTTTGAATGTTTTATTTGATGTTTTATAATAATACTCAAGAAATCTCCTAATATATTTACAAAGTATTTTAGTACAAATTACTTATATTAAAAATATAAGAATAGTTTGAATGTTATTAAAGAATAAAGGATCTATTCCCTTATCATTAAACTTTGTAGGGGATTAGAAATAATAAGGATCGTTTTGATTATTAAATGTGTTGACTGAGGGAAATTGTACAATATTGTCCCATTAAGCCTATAAGAATATTTGTCTGACATTTTCAGGATATGTGACATTTAAGAAGTAAAAATTGTTCAACCAACTCAAAATATCTAAAATTGACCATATAAATTTAAATCCTCCCGCCAACATAGCAAGTGGTCCTAAAATAAGTAAGGATTACGAGACTGTTTTTGATGTTTAAGCCATTTTTTGTCCTTGTTCCTTTTATTCCTAACTTACATAAACCTATCTTTAAGGAACGATTAAAACTTCCTTAATTGATTCTTCATCTAATGCTCTCTTTTTATATTATCCTTTATACTTAATAATGACATGAATAACATTAACTGGTTCAACATTTTTAAAATATTCAATATCTAGATCACATTTAAGATCTGATTCTAGAATAGTATAATTATAATCAGTCTTATTAAATTTTTCAATATGAAGTGTTGTTCCTGTACAATTGATTGCTTTTTATGAGGTATCAGCAATGATTGAATACTAATTATTATTAGAGGATTCAAATTCCACTTCTACGTTAGGTTCAATAATCAATTCATTACCATCTTTATCAAATAAGTACCCAGGTTCGATTTAGCATTTACTACTGCATCCATCGAAATCATTAAGATTGCGATCATCGCAGTTCTCTGATCCAGAAATTATTCCATCTCCACATTTGGAGACACAATCTCTTAATTAATAATCATAATAGTATCCTAATTTTAAATTACATTCTTTAACTTAATAATAATTATAATTGTAATTAATACAATTCTTTTAGGTAGTAACACAATCTATACAGATTTTATCGCAAACAGAACAAGAATAGTATTTATCAACAAAGTATCCTATTTTACATTGTTTACATGATTAGATACCATCAATGACTACACAATTTTAACAATTAACATCTTTACATTATTCACAATGATTGAAGATAAGATTATCATGAAAACATAAATATCCTGGTTCCAATTAACAATTAGTACATCCATCTCTAGAAATTAGATTTTAATCATCACATTATTCTTTCAAAATATCCAGAATTCCATCTCCACAAGTGTTGACACAATTGTTGTTGATTAAATTATAACCATAATTGCAAGATTTACACACACCTTATTAGCATTCTGCACATTAACCATTACAATCAAATTTGCATAAATAACATCCATCAAATTGAATGTTATTGCCATCATCACACTATTCTCCCTTCACAAGAATACCATCCCCACAAATAGATTTGCATAAATTACCTGAATTAGTAGTCCAGCCTAGTTCACATTGACATTAATAGCAACCATCTAACTCATTAAGATTGCCATCATCGCATTATTCTTAGCCAATTTTGATATTGTCTCCACATTAAGAGTCTAAACAAATTTGATCATTATTTTTGTAATAACCAGCTTTGCATTATTAACATTGTCCTTTTATGCAAGTATTGCAATTCAAACATTCTAAAATACAAAGATGACATCCATCATTTTAAATTGAGTTTGCATCATCACATTCTTCATCCATTGTTGTGTATCCATCTCCACAAATAGTTTAACATTACTTATCCATCATCAGATACCCTTTAACACACTCGCAATTATAGCATCCATTCAATTAGACATCTAGTTATCCATTATCACATATTTCATTTCCCTACACATATCCATTTCCACAAACAGCAACACATTCTTTATTAACTAAACCCCAATATTGATTACATTCTAAACATACTCCTACTGCACAAGTTGAACACTCATCAGGACAAGAATACTAGCAATTATAGCAACCATCAAATGGTAGTATGTTTCCATCTTCACATTGTTCTAAGAATGGGTCAATTAATGAATCTCCACAAATTGGTTTTGAAATAGGCAAAGGTGCTTGATATGATTTTTATATTTTATTTTCTTCAATATCAAAACATGGATATATCTATGCTTCATTGAATGAGCATTCAGGATAACATTACATCTAAATGTTCATATATCCATCTTAACATAATTAACATTCTCCATTTACACATAAAGAACACTCTAATTGGCATTCATATTTGCACTGATTGCATCCATCAAAAGGAACTAAATTACCATCATCGCAAACTTCCATTTCCACAACAAGAGCATCTCCGCATATTGGTTAACATGTTTTAGTAAATTAATCCTCATAATAACCTGTTTTACAAACACAATTGGCTGATACTATTGTTCTATATTAAGTTTCATCGCAAATACAAGTTCCATGTTTTAGTGAAAATTTATCTGAACAAACTTTACATTGAGATCCTGTGACACATTATTTACAATAATTCAAAGTGCAATCTTAACATATATAATCTGATGTAGCGGCATCATAGTTCCAAAATTAGGGTGCAGGACAACTTTGTAAATCAGTTCCTAAAGTACACACATCAAGACTAGTGCAAGAAGAGCACCCTGTTACACATTAATGAATTACAATGAAATATTCTGATATTGCACAAAATCCATCTCTTAGATCTTGTTCTGCACTGCATTCGAATTCTATTTTGAATTGATTCGATGTGTGTTAGTAGTATTAATATATAAATGTCACACTTTCCTTACTTTCTTTACCTATTATGTTTATATCATCATTTGATTGTTATCTAATAATAGTCTTTTACCTATAAGAATCTAAATAATAATTAAAGACCCCATTAAAATCATCTCCAAATGTGATGTTAAATCTTATAGATATGGCGTAATGAGGATTAGTAAATGTATATGTTTTAGTGTATTTCGCATTGTTCCATGCTAAAAGACCGCCCATCACAAATTTATCATTCATAGTAGAGAAATATTATCCAGTTAAGAAATTACCTCCACTCTAGGCAACCGAATCAAAATGAGATGATATTTCATCAAATGTCATATTGGTGTCATAAAATGCTTTCACTAGATATTATGAAACTATTATATTAATTATTTGAATTACATGGTATTTCGTCTACGTAATCTAAACAATCATTTGAGTATATGGGACATTTATTGATGCATTCAGTTCCCAAAAGGAAATATCCTTAATCACAAACTTAACACGTGGTTTCATCCAAGCATATTTAGCAATGTAATTAGCAAACTCCATAATCAATTGTTATGTTGCTAAATCCCCATTAACTAGGAGATATCATTGTACCCTTAATTTGTAAGACTGGATTATTTGTTTTTGGATACATTACTAATTCAAATCTATATTATTAATCAATAATAGGTGAGGAACACCTGTCTAAATTTTCAAAGGTAATACGTGTTGAT